ATTTATAAGATTATTTGAATGGTTTGGAAGTGATAGGTCGTCCTTAAGGGACTGACTAATAAAAGATGACTGACTTCCACAGTCTAAAAGCGCACGTACACCTTTTTTATTGTTGGTGACGGGATTGATAATTTCTATGAATGCGGTGGATAATAAAACTGTTTTAGAGCAATATTGTGAGAAATTTACAACGCTATCGTTAGGTACGGAAGAATTAGCGTCAGTTGGCTTGAGTTTGTCAGGTATGTGCAGGAGAGTGTTGTGCCTACCCTTGCATTCACGACAAGGCCCGAGACGGCAATATCGAACCGAGTGTCCGGATCTTAAACAGTTTAAGCAGAGTTTAAGTTTATTAATATTTGCAATTCGGTTTTGTACACTTTTGGCCTTGAAGGACGGACAATCGTATATCCTATGATCCCCATGGCAAACTGCACATGCTTGTGATGTAGAACTTTGATTACAAACAACAGACTTAGTTTGGGGGTGTTCGAATTTATTATTGGAACTCTTTGTGGGGGTCGTTGAAAATTTGTTAAAATTATTTGAAGGACATCGCAAAAGAGATCCAAGCACATCCGCTCGATCGATTAAAAATTTATTGAATTGTTGTAAATTTGGTATCTCTTCTAAAGTGCCGCGCCATTCCTCCCATTTCGTGAGTGTACGACTATCCAACTTAGAACATACTATGTGTATAATGAGTACATCCCACTTATCAGTGGGGAGACCTAAGCCGGACAGAGCTCTCAGGTTCTTAGTGATATGATCCACCAAAAATCTAAGCGATCTGTCAGACTCACGAGTAATTTGTTGTATGTTTAATAATGAGTTTAAATGATGACTGATTAATTGCCTCTTATTGTCATACCTTTCACATAATAAGTTCCATGCTGTTGCGTAATTAGCACTGGATACCTCTAAGTTTGAAATAATTCTAGAAGCATCTCCCTCCAAATAGGAAATCAAATAATGAAACTTGTGTATGGGTGCTATACGTTCATTGTTATGTATAATCGACAAATATGAGTCCCGAAAGTCTAACCAGCGGAAGTAAGCACCGTCAAACTTTGCAATTTGTATCTGCGGCAATTTGAAGGGAACCTCTTCGTTATCAGTACTAAGACGAACAACAGACCTATTGCTAGAATTCAGATTATCATGGGCTGCATTAGTTTCACTCTTTGCCTGATAGCTTTGAATAATATTTTGAGCTGTGGCAATGTTAGTAACAAAATTCTGTTCAATATCATCTCTTTCATCAATTTCTGCTAACAACGAATCAGAGTTTAATACCTCTATTTGACTTTGCAAGTCGTCGAATTTATTAAATAGTGATTCAAATCTACTCAACTTCAATTTTAACTCGGATAATTCAAACGACCTTAATTCATCCTTAGAACGGATTTTCGCCAAAAAATTTTTAAACTTTGTAATTCTACCTTTAATAGAACTTCGCTTAATAATTAAGTACTGTAACTCTTGATGATCATTGTCACTGCCTTCTTCACCTTCCTTGGTCATTTTATAATAAAAATTGAATAACTTTGTGTGAGTACTGAATATTAACTGCTATTACTTAGTCGATAACAGTGAAGAAAACAAGACAATTGAAAAAAAAATGAAAATGCTCACGTTCCTTAATGAGGCCGGCTTGAATTCAGCTTCTATTATCACCTTCACTTTATTGATTTATTCCAAATTTTATTCTGTTAACTCTGCTGTTGCTGTTTAAACTGTTGAGAAGTTGTCCGTGTATAGATATTTCCATAAGCTGAAATGTTCGGCAAATCTCTTTGAAAATTCACATAAAAACAAACTAACAAAATATTACTGTTATTAAAAGAAAGACAATCTCTTCTTAGCAATATGTCTCGTTATTATTTATTGATTTGATTTTGTAGCTGTACTAAAGTTAATTTTATCAAAGTAATTTAGAAGAAATAATTATGCTTTTATATGACTCGATTTATTTGTTTTATTATTTATAGTAACAAAACAAAACTGCAATTAATAAGATGTGTAATTTGGTTTTTGTAAGAAAGTAGGTATGTTATGGCTAAATAGAAACGGTAATGTTCATTATAATAAGTTAATTAACTAAAGCTTTATATTACATATGTTTTATTAAATACTATAATTTTACGGAGTTTTTGTTAAATAGTATAATATATAGGGAAATGGGATGATGGAAAATTGGATATAAAAGACAAGGAAAGTCACTTAGCTGCATTGGCCTGGCTGCGGCACGATGATTTAGTACTAATTGTACTTAATGTAATCATACACCGGCTTGACTGCAATGGCTTATTTTCTTTCCAAACTTTGTCGAATAGTATGAATCTTCGTATCTTCAATAATTAATGATGCAACTTCTTGAAAACGTGGCCTTATGGCACCAACCACTGTAGGTTATATAGGATGCCAATTTTTCCAAAATATATCGTCCTGTCACGGTCGCCACTTTTTATGTCTCTTCTTTGGACATAAATGAAACTCCGTAATGTGGTAAACGTTTGTATTTCAATACTTTAACATGAAAAATCTAATTATTTTATAAAGCTAGTACGTCGCCATTACGTGAGAACATGTGAATGACAAAATCTGAAGGTAGTGTAAAAAGTAAAAAGTTCCTATGAATTAAATCGCTTTTGAGTCCATGAGAGATTGCTGCTGTCGAAACGCAGGCGCGAACACTTGTCTTGTCACAAATTTAAAAGATACGCACTTGCGGTGGATAGACTTAGACTGCGCTCGCTAACTGCACTTTGCACCGCGCATAGGTAGGTAGGAAGGTATTCAACGGCGGGAGCGGTCATTGCTCCCGGTCGCCCGTCTTCTGTTTTTACATTTTTTTTAGTAGTGCTTATTAGTTTTTTACTTACTCTGAGTGTTTAAAAAGAATAATAATTATTTAGTACCCAAAAGGAGGAAAGGACTTAAAATATAGTAAAAAAAAACAAAATTTTATTTTAAATCATTTCAGAATTCGATATTACTTCGTGCTAACTAATGTATTCGATATTGCAGCACGAACCAATATCTAATTCGAATAGCAGAATTCGATTTCAACACGTAGTCCAAGATTTTTAGATGTCCGCTCTGCATAAAATCCTACTACGTTATTTTTCGATTGGATTATGTCGGAGGGTGCCCCCCAAGTATAAAACCGAGTTTCTGTCGCCCGAAACTGCGAGCGTTAGCCGCCATCTTGGAAACCGTTTTTTTGCATATATCTCGGAAACGGTAAGTTTTACGTTAAAAACCGAAGAGATCTTTTTTGTAGAGAACAAAATTTTCCATCTTTTTTATACCAAACTTTTCCCCCTATTGTTGATATTTTCCGATATATTGAAGTAAAAAAACCATTTTTTTTGTTTTTGTAAAGTAACTCAATAATTTTTGAAGATACGAAAAAAATGTTTGAATTAAAGTTGGAGAGCATGAAATTTTCTACAAATTTTGTATAAAACTTTTTCTTGCAAAATGAGTAGTTGCTGAGTTCTAGCGCAATAAAAGATCATGAAAATCAGCGGTAAGTGGCAATACGTTACTCTCGCATGCAAACAAAAAGTATAAATAAATTCGATGTCTCCGCGTAAAGAATTGTTTTACAGAAGGTAAGTAATTTAAGTCGGAACGCCGTTAAAATGAAAAAAAAAATCGTAAAATTAAAAAAAAATAATAAAATTCTTCCGGTTGTAAACAACGAAAAATTTAAATAAAACTAGTTTTTACGGGTTAATGCACGAAACTTTATTTATTTATTGACGTTTCGCAGCCTTTTCAGGTCTGCATCGTCAGAATAATGATTTTTTATTTAAAATTGTCGAGCGAAAACGAAAAATTTTATAAATCTAACATCGACGAATAAAATTTATCAAATACAATTTATTAAATTAATATTCTGCGATCTTGATTTGTAAACAGCGCAAATGATAATGAATTTGGATACATGAATAAATTTTCATTCCTTTTTCCAATAATTGGTTAAAATATTTTTATTGTGCAAAATTTCCTTTTTAATATACTTTTTTGTTTGCATGCCAGAGTAACGTATTACCGCTCATCGCTGATTTTCGATTCCTGGTGACAATTTTTATTCAGCTGGAACTCAGCAACTAATCATTTTGCAAGAAAAAGTTTTATACAAAATTTGTAGAAAATTTCATGCTCTCCAACTTTAATTCAAACATTTTTTTCGTATCTCCAAAAATTATTGAGTTACTTTACAAAAACAAAAAATTTGGTTTTTTTACTTCAATATATCGGAAAATATCAACAATAGGGGGAAAAGTTTGGTAAAAAAGATGGGAAATTTTGTTCTCTACAAAAAAGATCTCTTCGGTTTTTAACGTAAAACTTACCGTTTCCGAGATATATGCAAAAAAACGGTTTCCAAGATGGCGGCAACGCTCGCGGTTTCGGGCGACAGAAACTCGGTTTTATACTTAGGGGGCACCCTCTGATATAATCTAATCAAAAAATCACTTAGAAGGATTTTATGCAGAGCGGACCGATTTTTGGTGCTAAAATTCCTGGACTAACGCGTGATATTTCAAGAAGTTTTGTATGGTATTCCATACAATTATTATTTTCCTCACATGCACATCTCCACACACTAATGCAATCGGATTTTGGTCTCGTTTTGATAACTCTATTGCCAATCTACAAAATATTATATCTATGGGAAATTTTAACAGCGCCCTAACGGACGTGATCAGAACTAAATATCAGTTCACATTTTACAATGACATTTCGCACTCGCAAACGATTCGAATTCGATCTAGATATAAGTCAAATGTGTACTGACTTTTAGTTCACTTTACGTCCGTTGTGGCGCTGCTGTTCAAGTTTCCATACAAAATTTGACAGTGACATTTCTCACTAGCAAACGAATTGATTTGGACATTCTGTACAACGAAAATTATATTATATTTATTACCTATGTCATCATCATCATAAGAAGGTAGGAAGTCACAAAAAAAACCAAATTCAAATCAGAATTTATTCAAAAATTTCAATTTCTTCAACCTCTGCTGAACATTCTTCAACCGTTCCTCGTTGGTAACTTTCTTCTTCTCCTGGTGAACGTACCCGACATTACACCTCGACTGCGCATTGACAATATTTAACTCGAAGAACTTGTTCCGGCATCGCTTACATTTCATCCTGACACCGGCTTTGCTTATACTGCCTATGTACTTATAATGCCTATTCAGTGTGTCTTTAAAGAACGATTTGCACAAATCGCACACATGCACATTCTTTGAATACCACTGATCCCCGGATAATGAGGTGATGATGTTTCTCTCATCGTTAACAATTTTCTCCTCTTTCCAGCTTTTGTTCGCGCATTCATGTGATTTGTAATCTCTTTTGTTATCGAATGTAAGCATGCATTTGGAATATCTACACACATAGGTATTGTGGTAATTCCTTAAATGTCTGTAGTAATATATGTATGCGAGATTGCATTTTCTGCACCGAGTCGGTGCAGTTGTTGGTACGGTTTTGTCCGGATGTTTTGCCATTTGGTGCGCTTTCAAACCCCACCTGTTGTTGGCCACATACCAATCGCACATGCGGCATAAGAATGGCAATCGCTTCCTTATGCTCATGTAGTTTGTTTCATGTACAATTAATTCGTATCTGGAAAATGAAAAACCATTTTGTCTTTAAAGAAATAAAAACAGTGACGCCGTAGAATTCGATGGAAAAATGCATCAAAAAATGAGATACATAATTGCATAAAAAAATGAGATACATAATTACATCAAGTTATACAACAGTTATTCATGATCTTAGTGTGGTAAGTTGGTTATTACACAAGTACCATGAGTATTCACAAGTAGTCATGACTTTCTAAATACCAATCCGCACGAATGTCATACAATGTTGTTAAACACATTTGCAAGAAAACAGTATACATAATTTAATTAATGAAGCAACTTTTTCTTATAACATTTATTTTTTAAGCATGTAACTGCTTGATGTTTAAATCTAAAGAAAATATAACTAGAGAAACTAGGTATCTGCGGAAGACCAGCGTGGAAGCATCGTTAGATGCTCCGACATTATGCTGAGTAGATACCTTTTCAGCACCATGTATATTACTCGTGTATGTATTATGCATGTTATCAAAATGGTCATGGTACTGAATGTTTTTTTTTCTTTCTTTCTTTCAAAAAATTCCACGCGGACCAGGCAGCGGACGGGACTCGAACCAGCACCCTTCACTATCTGGGCGAATGCAGTGACCAATTATGCTACCGCGGCCCTGATGGCCGCGTCAAAATTCTTCTAGCCATTCTTAACCTGCAAGGCAGCGCATCTCTTCGCATGATAAGTAACGCACAATGTCAAATGAATACTTTTTCAAGTATTAAACATTTGAAAGAAGAAATAGAAATTATAGTTATAATTATTTAAAAAATTATAACTATAATTGCTATTTCTTAATAATTGGGCGAATGCACTGACCAATTATGATCCAAATTGGTCAGTGCATTCGCCCGGATTGCGAAGGGTGCGGGTTCGAGTCCCTGCTGCCTGGTCCGCGTGGAATTTTTTCTAGTTACATTTTCTTTAGATTTAAATATCAAGCAGTTACATGCTTAAATCATGCTTTAGAAATAGCAATTTATAGTTATAATTTTTTAAGCATGTAACTGCTTGATGTTGAAATCAAAAGAAAATATAAATAGAAAAAACTTTTTCTTATAAGAAGATGACGTGCATTTCCAAATTTATAACTGTTGTACCAGATATCTTTGCGTTTGGATTTTATCACCACTTATCATTAGGTAGGGTAGAATCATTTGCCTACCTGCCTATAAAAAAAATGGTAAAAATTAGAACGACATCTTTCCTCTCTTTTTCTTTTTAGTATTTAAGTGAGACAAAGGTATTATAGATTAAAAGCACTTCCAATTTCAACACAGATTCAATAGAAATTAAAAAAAACGTAAAGTATACGCACGGTGCCATGTATGGGAGCGAACAATTTAAATATTAGGTGAGGATTGGTCAGAGTACAATATGGTCGGTCTTCTAAAGCTTGTGACACAAAAATATCACGATTTTTATGTCACAAGCTTCTTTAACAGACGGGCCATGTTTAGTTGCCACCCTTTTAGCATATTTTTGTTAAAGATTTTTAAGATAATATTTTCTATAATCTTACCTATTAGGAAAAGATAAATAACACCTCTTGCATTTAAACAAACCAGGTTTTGTGAGCTCATCGTAATGCACACTTTCATACTTAGTATCATCACGGGGGTACTTCCCCAATATTATCGTGTTACTCTTAACATTAGTGACTAAATTCTGTATATTGCTTCCGTTAACTAAATTCAGATCATTTGGTTCATTCAAATTTAATATATCATCATCGTTATCATCCTCAAACAGTATTCTATCTTTGATACTATTAATTTTACTAAAGCTGTCTACGGAATTGCTATTTTCATTATCAAAAATACTGCTGTCACTATCGGATATATTGATTATTTCCACCTCTTCCTTGACGACTAATGGATTCAGTACAGTTATTGCTTGTTTGTTTACAAAGCTCTCCAAGAGTTTACTCTCCGATACTAATGTATCCGTAACTTTTTCTTTTGTGTCCTGTCCTAATAGGAAGGTTTCTTTCGTCAACACAGTGAAGGGTTGTTTCAATACCAAACTCTGCAGGATATCATTTCTCTCATTCACTCCTGCTTTTGTATCTATTTTTACAAACGGTTCCTTAATTAGAACGGTGTGCGGTTCACTAGTGATTATATTTTTTATTAAATCAGGCGTAAAGTCCTCTTTGTTTGTGATGTTTAAATGTTTCATAACCATATGTTCTTCTAGCGATGTTTCTGACGTAAAGTGGAAGTAGCATTTGGGACACTCGTGTATTTTCTGTTGGAGCAATGGTATTATGATATGCGTAGCATTGTGAACCATAATGTTGTACCTGAAATAGATTGTAACATAATATGTTAATTAGATATTTTTATAAGATAAAATCTTCTTAAGATTTGGTAGTGGTGTCGATTCTGGCATAATTCTCTAAACTTAAAAACTAAATTCAACATCAGTCTCTCCTTTTCATTCTGTTTAGAGAATAACAAAGATGCAATGTGGTCTTTAAAAATTATGTGTGCGTTTCTTGGGTTATTTTGTACTATACACTGAAGTAATATTCAGGTGTATCTAATTATTTCCTATAGCTATAGTTGTAGCCTGGATATGGGAAGTTCTATGTTCAGGCATTAGGTGACGCTTGAGCAATTTTCTTATTGTATATATGCTGATCCAGCATGACCAGTCCCATCTGGGCGCAGGGTGACATAACAATTATAGTTTCTGCTTCATCACAGTGGTACAGCAGCATGTCAAGATTTTGTTGGGTATTAGAAATTTTTATCATATTTGTATGGACTCAGACCATTTATCTGAAAGGCTTCTTTTCAGGTCAACTGTGTGTACTTTGGATTCAATCACATCCAAGATTTCTAATATTGGTGTGGATGGATTTAGATTGCATATTATCACTCTGTAGCACCTCTGGTCTTTATGATTGAAGGTCCTATCAATTGATTTTCTGACTATATGAATGATATGAATAAATGTAATTCTTCATTGATTTCAATTAACAATTTTGAAAGTAAACTTTGTCTTTTCAGCCAAAGTTTGTGGAAGTTCAGAGAGTTTGTTAATATCTTCAACACCATAAGGTATAGGGGGAGGTTTAGGAATCATTTTTTATATGAGCACAGAATCGGAAATCGAGAAACATCAAGAAAACGAGTTATTTAAACACCATACATTCTCCACCGCATTCTCTAAACTTAACAATAACAGTTCTCAAATTAAATTTTAATGCCTAGAGAACCATGCCAGCAACACCATTATGTGACTAAGTTTTCCAACAACAATTTTGTCATATAAAAAACAAAATAATTTGACAAATCAAACATCTGCAAATGAATTTCGCTATCCAACTTTTTAGCCCAGTTTTCAATGTATCATTTTCAATGTGTTTGTTGTTTCTTTATCACTTTCGTTCTTTTGAATTTTCGTTAAAATTGGCATTTAATACGAAAATAATGGTACTTAATTCCATTATATGTAATTGAATTTCGGGGTAATTTGTAGGGGGGGTGGAGGGGGGGCTCCCCCCGACCCCCCCGCCATAAAAGATTTTTGGCGGAAATGCAGTTTTTTTTTTTTTACCTAACCTAAAAATTCATTAAATCTGTTAAATGTAGTGGAATTTCAGGGGGATAGGTATTAGGGAAGACCCCTCAGAGGGAAGGGTAAATCCCCCTCCCCCCTCCCGGCGTTTTTTTACAGAAATGATAATTATAAAAAATTAGAGGGGTTTTATAGGTAAAACTGTACTTCCAGGGCCTAGAGATGATATTTGATTTTTTTGTAGAAAAAGTCTCTATTAACGAATTTTTCTTTCTGGCGCTTCGCCGGCCGCTGCCGCGGCACGCTCGCTTCGCTCGCTCGGCTCGCGCGTTAAGGTCACAACACTAACCTAACCTAACCTAGTGTGAAGTATCACCACACAAGCGGCTCATTAGAGTCCAAAACTCGCACTACACTCGACTCTTCAGGCGAAGGGCCAGCAGAACTCGAGGTCGAAGGCTTTGAGGATGCCATGGTAGTCAGACGACGTTAATATCAACAGGAGTACGAAAAAGCTCTCAACTGCGACGAACACAAACACTGACTGACAGATCTCATTAATGGCGGTAAATTGTCACATTTTGACAATAGTACCAACATAATAAACTTATATTTACTATAGACAACGAGAAACATGTTATTTTTGCATAAAAAAATGGCAGCACTGATCAAAATTGCTGTCAAAATTGACTCATAACCTACAAAAATATTAATTTTCAATAATTTTTTTTTCGAGTTCTATTCGTTTCCGCCTAAAAAGATTTCGTGTACGTGTTTTTAATAGTTAACACTTTGCGTGACAAAAATTTCAGCTTGCAACTCAATTACATATAATGGAAAGCTGAGCCAAAATAATTCTACAAAAAGTTAGAATATTCCACAATATAATAACTTACTTATTGTAATACACAGCATCACAAAACTCACATCTCTCGATGCTCCACTTATACAAATCATTTTCTCTGAATTCTCGACTTCTACTTCTGCTCTTTACAAGAGGTGTGTCACTATCCGTGTCACTAGAGCTGCTATAATGCTTTTTCTTCATTCTATCTGCAAAAATATTTTTTGTTTATAAAGGTATATTAATAAAGAAGCTCGCAGCTGGTGCATAAACCACTTTTAGCTGGCATTTAATTACAAAATACTGCTGTCAATTTCTTTTTTGTACTTCACAGAACTGAATTGTTTAATAAAGTAGTTGTGAAAATTTACGCACTAACCTGTTTACAGTGAATTGAGTACTACGATACACAGGAAGCTTTTATTGAAATAAAATAAGACATGCCAAGTAGAAACATATATTAATGACTTATAATCACAAAAACCATTAAACTTAATTAGTAATAATTATTTAAAATACAAATTAATCATAGTAGTTTAGATTTCTTCAGTGAGTACATTTTTGGATTCAGAATATTTTTTTTTTTGGTTAAGTTCTCCCTTATCAGGGAAGGCAAGGGGAACAATGCCCATACAGCCTAATCTTAAGTTAAATTATTCTGTTTTTCTTTTTACATTAGAATGTCGGTGTGACGCATTCTAATGTTTCTTGAAGTGTTTGGCACGAAATGTATCGAACTGGCTTTTTCGATAAGCTTCTGTGAGGTAGTCAATACTACAATAAAATTCTCACGTCCACTTGACCGGAATAGCGTATATTTTGACGATTCAACTAATTCTTCAGTTACGCAGACAGTTGTAACACAAAATCACACCAATTTTATTTCACAATATCCACTATGAACAAATTTAAGAATAATTAAAATAAGACGCCAACCACACTCGATGAAATCCCGCTAAAAAAACTGGATTCAGAATAAATAATTTCATATTGTTTTTTTTTGTTAAATGCTCCCTTTTCAGGGAAGGCAAGGGGTACAATGCCCATGCAGCCTAGTGTTAAGTTAAATTATTCTGTTTTTCTTTTTATATTAGAATGTCGGTGTGACGCATTCTAATGTTTCTTGAAGTGTTTGGCACGAAATGTATCGAGCTGGCTTTTTCGATAAGCTTCTGTGAGGTAGTCAATACTACAATAAATTTGTCACGTCCACTTGACCGGAATAGCGTATATTTTGACGATTCTACTAATTCTTCAGTTACGCAGACAGTTGTAACACAAAATCACACCAATTTTATTTCACAATATCCACTATGAACGAATTTAAGAATAATTAAAATAAGACGCCAACCACACTCGATCAAATCCCACCAAAAACTCCTTTCAGATTGTTAGTTTTTAATTTCTTGTTTTTTTAATATTAATTCTTTCTATACGAATGAGGGCTATGGGGTATGTAAAAATGTCAACTATGTAATCTTTATGTATGTGTCACTGTTATTGGTGTCGATTCTGACATGATTCTCTAAACCTAAACTTACAGTGGTGTCGATTCTAGCATAATTCTCTAAACCTAAACTTAAATTTGACAGCAGTATATCCTTGTCATTCTCTATACAGAATGAAAAGGAGAGACTGATGTTAAATTTAGTTTTAAGTTTAGAGAATCACGCCAGAATTGGCACCAGTTTGTCTATAAAGTCATGACATGAATGTTTGAGGAACTAACATTATTCATGTGCCATTAATCATTGGTCTGGCAACACCAAACTTATGTACATCAGTTGTCATCGAGTTTCAGTTGTGGAACAGTTTTCCTTTGGTATATTTTATTGTTTGGATTAAACTGTAATAAATTAAGACGAAACTACGCAGAAAGGTATAAAAATGAGTAAAGTAAATCAGAGTGGCACGCGGGAAGTGATTTTTAAAGTTTTCCAGCGATGTTTCGAAGACTACCAAGCTGGACGAATTTTGTGGGATTTGGATGATGTTTATGGGCGAACAGCATCTATGACGGGTATGTAATCGTGTAACTATTTGTTTGTAATCTGCCTGAAGTTACAAATTTACTTAATTTACGATTTTGAGACCAAAAAAGACATTGTTTACATTGCACATTTTTAGGTTAGATTAATATTGTAAATAGGTGATATTGTAGTACGACCATTGCTTTTGATACGTTATTATGGTTCAACTCGGTCAGGTTTTCTACCAATTTTGAATTAATTGCTTCATGTCAATAAGTTATTGTTTTTATACCGTTACATATTTTTTTACTTTTTTTCAGGAAAATCGGATCAGAGAGTCGGATAGTCAACGAAGGTTTTAAGAATGATGGAAAGTTTGAAACTCCTGGGAAAACAGGCAAGGCCGACCAATGAAAGAAATGGTCACGTAAAGAACCATGGCCAGATGCTTTTAGTGAAGATACCTATCACTAATTTTACTAACTGCACATTTACAAATTGTGTCTCTAAATGAACTTTTTATAAAATATAAAATGATTTTTAGTATTATTTTCTTTACAAGTGTGTTAAAAAACGTCGTATGATGATACTTGTGTGTATTGATGATTACCTAAGGCATTGTCCTAATACAACGCGATAACGCGAATGAGCGATGCGATCATCGTACGAGTCGACGATCAAACATATTGATCTAGAATAGGTGTCCTAATAGCCGATCGCGCGATGCATTCGCGCATCTAAAATGTTTAAAAATCTATTCGCGCGAACGCGCAATCAAACCTGTGAATGATGAATGGTGTCCTAACTGAAGTTCGCGCGATGATCGCGTCGCGTCGATAGGAAGCCGGGAGAGGGGCAGGGCTAACCCGTTCCGTATTCGCGTTCTATTAGGACACCCAGTTCGCGATCACGCGATGGTCGCGTCGTTTAAACGCGCGATGATCGCGTTATCGCGTTGTATTAGGACAATGCCTAACGGCTCTGGTCTCAATGGCACCTCAGCGGTAATCACCAACATTACCGACTTTTACACTATAAAGTACTATTTTATCTATAAATTATTCCCAAAGCAGACTAGGGTGTTCCGGTTATACTAGTACGTTACAAATATCATAACGATACCGTGCGTAGCGGGTTTAAAGTCCAAAAGTACTAGTATTCGTTATAGTTTGTAGAAAAAGAGCAGGCCGCGCGGAAATCCGAACGTGGCAACCAAAGTGGCCACGGACTGTAGAGGGGTATGTGCTCATGGCCACTTTGGTTGACACGGACTGTCCAGTGGATAATAATTTTATTCTGATTGAATTAAATATGCTTGGCTAAACTTTTTATAAGCATAGGTACCTACTGTATATAAAACAGAAACAAAATATGACTGTATAGTGTGCCTTATTAATTACCTATTTTACTTGAATGAACTGCTAGTATCAAAATCATTTTGGTCCGACTGTATAGGGTTGCTACATGCATACTAGTGGCGCCATCATTTAATATCACGACTTTATAGACAAACTGTAAATTTGACAACAGTGTATCCTTGGCATTCTCTATATACATAATGAAAAGGAGAGATTGATGTTAAATTTAGTTTTAAGTTTAGAGAATCCTGACAGAATCGACACCATTGTTAGTATTTTTCAACAGTGTCAATTCTGGCATGATTCTCTACACCCAAACTTAAATTTGACGACGGTGGTGTAGATCCTGACATGATTCTCTAAACCTAAACTTAAATTTGACAACAGTGCATCCTTGTCATTCTCTATACATTATGAAAAGGAGAGACTGCTGTTACATTTAGTTTTAAGGTTAGGGAATCATACCTGAATCGACACCAATGTTGTTTGGCATAAATGTCAAAGTTGGCAAGCCATAAATCTTTCAAAAAAAAAAGCTATGCTGTGTCCACAGACGAATAGGAGAAAAAATTGTTATCTTAATGCATCTCTTTCTAGTCTGAGTTTCAAGTTTTTGGCGTGATCTTATAGAGTGCGGTTGGCGACATATTTTTAATTATTCTTTAAATTAGTTCATATTGGACATTGTGAAATAAAGTTGCTGTGATTTTGTGTTAATACCTTCAGAGCAACTGAAGAATTAACGGAATCTTTAAAATATATGCCTTTCCGGTCAAGTGGACGTGACAAATTTATTGTAGTGTTGACTACATCACAGAAGCTTATCAAAAAAGCCAACTCGATACATTTCGTGCCTAACATTCCAAGAACATTAGAATGCGTTACACGTACATTCTAATAAAAAAAAGAAGATAGAGATCTTAAGAATATAACTAAAGACTAGGCTGTATGGACATTGATTTCTTTGCGTTCCCTAAAAAAAATCTTGAAAAAATCCTCGTAACTGTGTTGATCTGTGTGTGTGTGTGTTGCGTGTCTGTGTGTCAATGTTTTTGCATGGTGTTTGGTATTTTATTTGCTACTTTTGACAGTACAATTAATAAAAAAATCGTTTTTATTTTAATAAATGCAAGTGGAGTGGTCTATAGCTATCGAAACATTAAGTAGTATCTATCATGGTTTGTTTTTAGGCTTCTTACAGCTCTTATTATTAGTTTTAACCTCTGCAGCAATTATAATTTTATTGTCAACCATAACTTAAAGGATATTTTCATTTTCAGGATCTGAAAACGTTCGGAGAGGACGACTTCGATCCAAAGAAGTGGATCAACAAAGCATGGAGCGCTAGTGGCAATCAAGAAAAAGAGGTTTAAATATTTGTTAATTCACACAGATTACAAACTTTATTCTGTTCCAAATAAAAATATATTATTGTGATTCACAATATCACTGTAAGTTATATTACGATTAATTAGAATTATTACAGAAGGAAATAATTTTAATAAAAATATTTAATATAAAAAAATATATATAATTATTTCAGAAACTGCACTTACCTTGTACCATGTTTTTGCTGTCAGTAATACAGTGTCATCATCATCATCAGCCTATTAATGTCCCCACTGCTGGGACACAGGCCTTCCGAATGGATGGAATAGGGAGGTTGGGCCATGACCCACCACTTGTGCCCAGTGCGGATTGCACTTGCCTTCCGAAGCATGGAGGAGCTTGAGATAGTAAATTTTTGGTCACCCATCCAATGACCGACCACGAAAATTACTTAACTTCAACAATCGCAGCCGAACGCGCTAACTACTTGCGCCATCAAGCTCCTCGTCGTGTTTCCACATTGCCATCGAGCTCGTGTCATCATTATCAGCCTATAAATAGTCCCCACTGCGGGGGCCATGGTGGGTGCTCACAATGGCAGATGCAACTGGGACCAATAACTTAATGTGCCTTCTGAATCATGGAGGAGCTCGAGATAATGAGTTTTGGTCATCCATCCAATGACGGTTGCAAAAATTGGAATTGAAATTAACTTCTAGGATTGCAAGCGTACGGATGTAAATTTCAGCATCGTTAGAGCTAATACAGTCGAGGTTGAATAGAAATTTAAATTACTATTTTCAAAAGCCAAATATATATTCATTCCCAACTTCTGATGTCAAATTTAAAAGGTAAAATAGGTATCTATATATATTTTATTTATTTTTTTGATTGGCGACAAAGTTACACTTGGACATTTTTTAATTACACATTTATAGTAAGACACTTTATTATTGGAACATTAATTGTAGGAGATTACTGGCAATTAAACCTTATGAAATTTTGATACAAACATTAATTTTAATACAAAGCAATTTTGAATAATTTTTTTTTTTTATTATTTTTAAAGCATGTAACTGCTTGATGTTGTAATTATAACTATAATTGCTATTTCTTCTTTCAAATATTTAATACTTGTAAAAGTATTTATTTGACATTGTGGGTTACCTATAATGCGAAGAGATGGCGCTGCCTTGCAGCTTAAGAATGTCTAGAAGAATTTCGATCCGGTAGTAGCATAATTGGTCAGTGCATGCGCCCGGATTGATAAAACGATGTTGTTGGTATGAGTAATTTATTGCTACTGTTCAATTCACTTAAAAAAAGGCATAAAGAGTCGCGCGCAGCGCCGACGTTAGTAAAATATTTAAACATATAGAATTGTACGGGTTTGCCCATACAAGAACTAAAAATAAAATATTAAATTGTCAATAGTTGAAAAATAAAATAAATTAATGAAAAAATGGATGTGGGCACAACCAAACAAAGATTTTATTCTCTTCAATGTATGTGTATTAATTTAGTTGCTTGTGTTATTTTCAGGTTTTTCTTGCAAACACAGTCTCAAGGTTGCAGCTTTATATGAAGCAGTTAACAAATTCATTGGACGAGACAACAACACAGGTGAAGCCATAAAAATAATTAGGATAAGGATGATAGGTTAGACTATGTTAGTCAGTTATTACAAAAAAACTAAACCAGAAACGTCCAACAGAATGAGGAGGAGAAAAAATCGAAAACCGATGTTAGGTGAAAATTACGAAAAAAACTTTAAAAAAATTATAACTCGAAAAGTACGCAAAATCGTAGAACATACATGGGGGTGATTTGGATACTTCTCATCATAAAGTATCTAAATTTTACTTTTGAACGTCAACTCCCCGGCCACCCTGTATAATGAGATTGGCGCCAAAGATCCGAGCATAGATATATTTAGTGATGGTCTTGTATCCTTTAGGGGAAAGTTCCTGAAACACTTTGGTACTACAAATAAATAAATAAATAGTCAAATAATCTGTTCTTCTTTTGTATGTATGCGGTAATAAATTAACGCAGTCAATCAGTCTATCCATAATATAGTCGTTTAAAATACATAGATTTGTGATCAGGTCAATTAGTTGAATTGTATCAAGTTGTTTATTAACATTATTGTGATTGTTGTGTATGCTTATAATTGGTCTGCATATAAGAAAACTGTATAGTATCCAACACAATCTTTAATGTATGAATATGTGTGACTGATAGCATGCCTAAATAAATAAATAAGTTTCTTGCAAGTACCTCTTTTTGGATTTAAAAATTCGTAGTGCAACACACTCAAAACACACATTTGCTGCGATGCAGATCATGCAACGGCGTGTATTTTGCAAAACGCAAGGTATGGCACATGATTTGCAGTATGGTGCGAGATTATATAAATAACTGCAAAAACAATTCATCGTACCTTTAATAATCTTAAGTAATTCTGAACAAAATCATTTATCGATCTTGTATGTATAAACAGATGTACCCAATATCTTCTGCTGCACTATTTCTTCTAATTCCATTATGCGAAAACCAAACAGATAATTAAATAGCAGCATCCTGAATGAGTTCTGCATTGTCAACCATTTTTAAAATAGAAAAAAATATACAGTCGAACACAGAACATCCACCTTTTTTGAAGTTGGTTACCAATGTATTTGTTTCTTAGGTTTTCACGCACATCACTCATTAAATAAAACTAGTTTTTTACGGGTTAATCAATTAATGATGCATTATTTAACATAAGAAGGAGATAGAAAGCCTCTCTTGAGTTTGTTTCGCCGGTTCTTCTCAGAAAGGTCTCCCAATTTTGGAACCGGTGGTAGTTTACGGTAGTTAGGGTCAAATAAATAAATTCAAAATTACGAAAAAGATTTTTAAATAAAGTACTTTATTAACTAAATTAAGTAATAAATTCATACATAGACAATAAAACTATAAAAATCGAACAATGAAATAACCGAACGCTCAATAAGTCTTTCGAAGGTAGCTCGACAAAACTAAATAAAAAATTAATTCCGACGATGAAACGTCAATAAATAAATAAAGTTTCGTGCATTAACCCGTAAAAAACTAGTTTTATTGGTTACCAGTGCTCTGCACAGTACTATCACTACCGCAAGGTTTTGTAGAATAGTTCAAAAAACGCAGGCCCTTACGTACGTGTAGCGAAATCTGTATGACGATACGGATCTGCACCCGCGCATGTGCTCACTCATGCGCAGAGCCGGATTTATAGGTGTGGGGGCCCCAGGGCAACGAAGGAGTGGAGGCCCCCAAATCTCGGCCGGGTACCATACGTTTTGCAGAACCCCTCCTGGTTCGTAACTTGTCGAATTTCGTTTTTCTTTCTCTGTTGTGGAGGCCCCTGGGCCACAGCCCCGCTTGCCGTGCCTTAAATCCGGCCCTGCTCATGAGTGTGAGAGTCGCCTTGCATTTCTTATTACTAGACTTGCAACGAATATTCGGTTACTATTCGGTATTCGGCCTATTCGGCTGCTTTTATTCTATTCGGCCGAATACCGTATATCTACATATTATTCGGCCGATTACCGAATACTTAAATAATATATTTTGTCATAGAGAAATAATTGGTAAAATGAAAAATGAAAATCGATTGATTACGTATATATTCATATTTTCATTTCTGTTATATAATCATTTAAGTAATCATTGGTACATAAAACAGGTACATAATTTAATAATTTTCTGTATTAAACAAGTTAACAATTTTTAATTCATTCAGTCATGTTATGAATGGTTACATAACAGCAATAATTTAAAGTTTACGCGCCGTTTTTGGCCATATCTCAAAAGTTGGTTTTGTCATTTAGCCGCATTTTAGCTTGAGGACGGCAGATTAGAACAAAACAAAGGAGCTCGAAACAATCACGTCTGTACAAGTTTTTGGCGCTAAAATCCAGCCCAATACTTTTGCCTAATATTCGGCTATTCGATCAGAGGCCTCGCCGAATATTCGGTATACTGCCGAATATACTATTCGTTGCAAGTCTACTTATTACCTATTTAACAGGTAGTATCATCGATCCCGCGGGTGTTACAAGAAGCTTCCTCGTTACACCGCGAGGGGGCGGTGTTACAACAACAGTTGGACTCCCTCCAACAGATGGCGCGCGGTGTCGAGCAACAAACCGGACATTCCATACAGAGCCTGCACAGAATAGATTACCTGAAAACGAGGCTAGAGGTCAGTTATGTTATATTTCTCATAGCTCGTTTAAATAATAGGTAGTATTATGATCGATGGATCTCGCAGGTGTTACAAGAAGCTTCCAGAGCCTGCACAGAATAGATTACCTGAAATCGAGGTTAGAATCTTCATTCTGTTTACCTGAAGACGAAGCTAGAGGTAAGTTATCTGATTTTTCATTGTAGCTTGTTTAAATAGCACATAGTATCATCGATCCACGGGTGTTACAAGAAGCTTCCTCGTTACACCGCGAGGGGGCGGTGTTACAACAACAGTTGGACTCCCTCCAACAGAAGGCGCGCGGCGTCGAGCAACAAACCGGACATTCCATAGAGATCATCTATTCTGTGCATGCGCACAGAATACTTAAACGCCAAAAAGGTACTCAAATCTTATATATATAACTTATTTTCAACCAAAGCGGGTTATAAGCGATTTTGCTTTTAACTGTCAAAAAAAAAATTCAATATCGTTTATTCATTCTAGGCTGTTACAAGCACTTGTGAAAGTCGAAAAGCTACGCCATCGGTTCGCAAATCTACGGCGGGAGACCTTGTACTGAGAAGAACCGGCAAGAAACTCAGCAAGGGCTGTTTTTTTTCTCCCTGTATTATATACAGAGTCGTCAAATTGAAAAATGACTTCAAAATAAGATAACTCATGAAGTCACTTTCCATTACATTAAATGTAAATTATATAAAAGTTATGACTATAAAATCTAATATATAAAATTCTCGTGTCACGGTGTGCGTAATTGAACTACTCCGAAACGGCTCGATCGATTTTCGTGAATTTTTGTATGCTTCAATAAGTCTGAGAATCGGACAACGTCTATATTTCATCCGCTTAAATGTTAAGGGTGGTCCACTCTGAATTTTTTTTTTGAAAAAAATTTTTTTTAAATTTTTTTAATATACATCATATAAAAATACATACAACCCTAAAATTTCACCCTTCTACCACTAACCCCTATTTTTTTATGGCGGTACGAAGTTCGCTGGGACAGCTAGTAAAAAATATAAAAATAACTGATTCAACAAAGTTTAGAAATTTAGAAATGCCGTGTCCTACTCTGTTTAGGCATAATCTCGATGGGTATAGATTATTATTATTCATTTTAGAACGCCGCATCAGCGTTGCGCGAGGCCGACAAATGGGCAGCATTAGCTATGGGCCTAGAAGAAGTGTTGGAAGCAGGGGTGCCAACTGACGCTGAGAAACTGGCACAATTGGCTGAACAGGTGGCAGCAATGACTGCCAGTTTAGAGGTGAGATATTATAACAAAATTCTTAGGAAAATTTTACTATAGAAAATTCCACGCGGACCAGGCAGCAGACGGGACTCGAACACTTACAACCCACAATGTCAAATGAATACAACCCACAACGTCAAATGAATACCTTTACAAGTATTAAACATTTGACATTGTGGTTTACCTACAATGCGAAGAGATGGCGCTGCCTTGCAGCTTAAGGCTAGGAAAATTTCGGCGCGGCTAATAGGGCCGTGGTAGCATAATGGTCAGTGCATTCGCCCGGATAGCGAAGGATGCGGGTTCGAGTCCCGTCCGCTGCCTGGTCCGCGTGGATTTTTTTTTTATATCTAAGCATGCTGAAGTCGGAAAGCCAAATTTTTGTAGATTTTTTGTGTCGTATAGCGCGCCGCGCTACTGTGGCGCTACGCAGAAAACGTTTTGAAAATATCAATGTAAAAATTGTGACTTTGACCTTCAATATCTCCATAACCATAAATTTCACAGGTATGGTCCGGAAGAAAGAAATGATCGTCATGATGTGGAAAATACCTTTCCATGTGGCCTTTGACTTTGTTAAAGAATTTTTTACTTTTTACACCCTGTATAAAATCTCATAATGAAATGGCTGATCTTGTTCATGACTTTTTGTCATTTTTATTTCTTTGCCAATACGCATACCTGTTTTGAGGAGCTCGATGGCGCAACTGGTTAACGCGTTCGGCTGCGATCGTTGAAGTTAAGCAACTTTCGCAGTGGTCGGTCATTGGATGGGTGACCAAAAATTTACTATCTCGAGCTCCTCCGTGCTTCGGAAGGCACGTTAAGCCGTTGGTCCCGGTTGCATCTGCAGTCGTTAGCACCCACCAATCCGCACTGGGCCCGCGTGGTGGGTCATGGCCCAATCTACCTATTCCATCCATAGGGAAGGCCTGTGCCCCAGCAATGGGGACATTAATAGGCTGATGATGATACCTGTTTTATAAGTATGCTCAGGAAACATTTGTTTTGTGAATAGGTGTTGAGTGACGCCCCCGATTACGAGAACAAGAGAATGCAATTAGAGACTTTGTACAACAGATTGGAAGCCGCCATTACTCCGCCACTCATAGATGCGCTTACGCAAATGGATACTGGTAAGAACTTCAATAATTAGAAAAGAAAATAGGCAATATAAATTTAAAAAAAAAATATTTAAAAAAGTTTTGTGGAAGTGAAACTTCTATTCGGAGGGGTGTAAATGGAAAAATCCTATGGAAAAGATGAAACGGGAATGCGTCACGAGCGTCACACGACTATATATATAATAATGCGAAGAGATGGCGCTGCCTTGCTGCTTAAGAATGGCTAGATGAATTTCGACGCGGCCATCAGGGCTGCGGTAGCATAACTGGTCAGTGCATTCGCCCGGATAGCGAAGGGTGCGGCTTCGAGTCCCGTCTGCTGCATGGCCCGCGTGGATTTTTTCCTAGTTATATTTTCTTTAGATTTAAACATCAAAGTTATATGCTTAAAAATAAAAATTATAAATATTATCTAAATATCCTCCTATTAAAAAGTTACGTAGTGCCTTTTTACGAATTAAATGTTGCTTAAACGAAAACCACTTGGCCCGCCATAACATTTTTTGTCAAGCAAACATCAAATTATACGCCAAATAGTAGGTAGTGCGTAAGCGCCATTTATACAAAAAAACGACGGGTTGCACTCCGGGAGTGCAGGCAGAAGTGAAAACTTGAATATTAACGTTGTGCATTTTTGATATTTTGGAACGGTTAAGGAATAATTTTGCACGAATTGCTTTAATTATCAGTATAAAAGTACTATCATGTATGTGGTAGAATACAATATTTATCTATTGCGCCATTCGTACACAAACATGACAATTTATATTACATTAAAAAAGTGTATCTCTCAGAAAAATCAACTTACAAGAATCACGTTTAAGTGCACTTAGCGACATCTATTGTAAGGAAATCAACTTACATGAATCACATTTAAGCGCACCTAGCGACATCTATTGTAGAAAAAAATGCATTTTCTTCGCAATAAAACTGCCACGTGGACGTCCTAGATATTATTATAATACGATAAAATAAAATATTACTTTGTTTCGTCCAATATATTGAAAGTCAACGACGTCTGTTACTGTACTAGCACCGGACGCTGTGCTTACGATATACATATATATATATGACGCGCAGCTCACACGCCGCGTTACGTGCGTATACTGGCGGGCATGGGGCGCGGTCGGGCCGTCGCGGTTATAACCGGGTTATAACGGGTCGGGTTATAACCGCGTGGAGGCGTTTGGACGCGCCCGCTACGGCGACGCTTGTTACTGTACTAGCACCGGACGCTGTGATATTATCTTACGATATATATATATATATATATATATATATGACGCGCAGCTCACACGCCGCGTTACGTGCGTATACTGGCGGGCATGGGGCGCGGTCGGGCCGCGGTCGGGTGCTGGGCGCGTGCGGGCGCGGGGCGGGTTATAACCGCGTGGAGGCGTTTGGACGCGCCCGCTACGGCGACGCTTGTCACTGTACTAGCACCGGACGCTGTGATATTATCTTACGATATATATATATATATATATATATATATATATATATGACGCGCAGCTCACACGCCGCGTTACGTGCGTATACTGGCGGGCATGGGGCGCGGTCGGGCCGCGGTCGGGTGCTGGGCGCGTGCGGGCGCGGGGCGGGTTATAACCGCGTGGAGGCGTTTGGACGCGCCCGCTACGGCGACGCTTGTCACTGTACTAGCACCGGACGCTGTGATATTATCTTACGATATATATATATATATATATATATATATATGACGCGCAGCTCACACGCCGCGTTACGTGCGTATACTGGCGGGCATGGGGCGCGGTCGGGCCGCGGTCGGGTGCTGGGCGCGTGCGGGCGCGGGGCGGGTTATAACCGCGTGGAGGCGTTTGGACGCGCCCGCTACGGCGACGCTTGTCACTGTACTAGCACCGGACGCTGTGATATTATCTTACGATATATATATATATATATATATATGACGCGCAGCTCACACGCCGCGTTACGTGCGTATACTGGCGGGCATGGGGCGCGGTCGGGCCGCGGTCGGGTGCTGGGCGCGTGCGGGCGCGGGGCGGGTTATAACCGCGTGGAGGCGTTTGGACGCGCCCGCTACGGCGACGCTTGTTACTGTACTAGCACCGGACGCTGTGATATTATCTTACGATATATATATATATATATATGACGCGCAGCTCACACGCCGCGTTACGTGCGTATACTGGCGGGCATGGGGCGCGGTCGGGCCGCGGTCGGGTGCTGGGCGCGTGCGGGCGCGGGGCGGGTTATAACCGCGTGGAGGCGTTTGGACGCGCCCGCTACGGCGACGCTTGTCACTGTACTAGCACCGGACGCTGTGATATTATCTTACGATATATATATATATATATATATGACGCGCAGCTCACACGCCGCGTTACGTGCGTATACTGGCGGGCATGGGGCGCGGTCGGGCCGCGGTCGGGTGCTGGGCGCGTGCGGGCGCGGGGCGGGTTATAACCGCGTGGAGGCGTTTGGACGCGCCCGCTACGGCGACGCTTGTCACTGTACTAGCACCGGACGCTGTGATATTATCTTACGATATATATATATATATATATATATATATATATATGACGCGCAGCTCACACGCCGCGTTACGTGCGTATACTGGCGGGCATGGGGCGCGGTCGGGCCGCGGTCGGGTGCTGGGCGCGTGCGGGCGCGGGGCGGGTTATAACCGCGTGGAGGCGTTTGGACGCGCCCGCTACGGCGACGCTTGTCACTGTACTAGCACCGGACGCTGTGATATTATCTTACGATATATATATATATATATATATGACGCGCAGCTCACACGCCGCGTTACGTGCGTATACTGGCGGGCATGGGGCGCGGTCGGGCCGCGGTCGGGTGCTGGGCGCGTGCGGGCGCGGGGCGGGTTATAACCGCGTGGAGGCGTTTGGACGCGCCCGCTACGGCGACGCTTGTTACTGTACTAGCACCGGACGCTGTGATATTATCTTACGATATATATATATATATATATGACGCGCAGCTCACACGCCGCGTTACGTGCGTATACTGGCGGGCATGGGGCGCGGTCGGGCCGCGGTCGGGTGCTGGGCGCGTGCGGGCGCGGGGCGGGTTATAACCGCGTGGAGGCGTTTGGACGCGCCCGCTACGGCGACGCTTGTCACTGTACTAGCACCGGACGCTGTGATATTATCTTACGATATATATATATATATATATATGACGCGCAGCTCACACGCCGCGTTACGTGCGTATACTGGCGGGCATGGGGCGCGGTCGGGCCGCGGTCGGGTGCTGGGCGCGTGCGGGCGCGGGGCGGGTTATAACCGCGTGGAGGCGTTTGGACGCGCCCGCTACGGCGACGCTTGTCACTGTACTAGCACCGGACGCTGTGATATTATCTTACGATATATATATATATATATATATATATATGACGCGCAGCTCACACGCCGCGTTACGTGCGTATACTGGCGGGCATGGGGCGCGGTCGGGCCGCGGTCGGGTGCTGGGCGCGTGCGGGCGCGGGGCGGGTTATAACCGCGTGGAGGCGTTTGGACGCGCCCGCTACGGCGACGCTTGTCACTGTACTAGCACCGGACGCTGTGATATTATCTTACGATATATATATATATATATATATATGACGCGCAGCTCACACGCCGCGTTACGTGCGTATACTGGCGGGCATGGGGCGCGGTCGGGCCGCGGTCGGGTGCTGGGCGCGTGCGGGCGCGGGGCGGGTTATAACCGCGTGGAGGCGTTTGGACGCGCCCGCTACGGCGACGCTTGTCACTGTACTAGCACCGGACGCTGTGATATTATCTTACGATATATATATATATATATATATATATGACGCGCAGCTCACACGCCGCGTTACGTGCGTATACTGGCGGGCATGGGGCGCGGTCGGGCCGCGGTCGGGTGCTGGGCGCGTGCGGGCGCGGGGCGGGTTATAACCGCGTGGAGGCGTTTGGACGCGCCCGCTACGGCGACGCTTGTCACTGTACTAGCACCGGACGCTGTGATATTATCTTACGATATATATATATATATATATATATATATATATATGACGCGCAGCTCACACGCCGCGTTACGTGCGTATACTGGCGGGCATGGGGCGCGGTCGGGCCGCGGTCGGGTGCTGGGCGCGTGCGGGCGCGGGGCGGGTTATAACCGCGTGGAGGCGTTTGGACGCGCCCGCTACGGCGACGCTTGTCACTGTACTAGCACCGGACGCTGTGATATTATCTTACGATATATATATATATATATATATATATATATATATATGACGCGCAGCTCACACGCCGCGTTACGTGCGTATACTGGCGGGCATGGGGCGCGGTCGGGCCGCGGTCGGGTGCTGGGCGCGTGCGGGCGCGGGGCGGGTTATAACCGCGTGGAGGCGTTTGGACGCGCCCGCTACGGCGACGCTTGTCACTGTACTAGCACCGGACGCTGTGATATTATCTTACGATATATATATATATATATATATATATATATATATATGACGCGCAGCTCACACGCCGCGTTACGTGCGTATACTGGCGGGCATGGGGCGCGGTCGGGCCGCGGTCGGGTGCTGGGCGCGTGCGGGCGCGGGGCGGGTTATAACCGCGTGGAGGCGTTTGGACGCGCCCGCTACGGCGACGCTTGTCACTGTACTAGCACCGGACGCTGTGATATTATCTTACGATATATATATATATATATATATATATATATGACGCGCAGCTCACACGCCGCGTTACGTGCGTATACTGGCGGGCATGGGGCGCGGTCGGGCCGCGGTCGGGTGCTGGGCGCGTGCGGGCGCGGGGCGGGTTATAACCGCGTGGAGGCGTTTGGACGCGCCCGCTACGGCGACGCTTGTTACTCTGCTAGCACCGGACGCTGCTACACAGGTTAGTGTTAGAAGAATATCGGAACCTACATCGATCGTCACCGAGTTGATAATAGAATGAAACATTTTTAGCATGACTTTAGTGTATTACAAAATATATTAAAAATGGGTTGCCTATAAAATCCTGGACAGGCTTCTTTTAATAAATTTAAAAAAATGTTTTTTATAAAATGGTCAGAATGTTTTAGCCAACCAATTTTTATTTTAATGGCAATTTTTAATATGTTTTATTCTTTTATTCGCCTACTCGGCCCCGGGTTCGAATCCCGGTGGGGTCAAATGTTTGTGTGATGAATACGAGCATTTGTACTACACTCAATGATGTTTAATATGTATTTCTATATAAATACACTTATATTATGTATTCTATCCGTTACCCTAGTATCCCATAACACAATCCTATAGTGCTTACTTTGGGGCTAGGCTATTTAGTGTGAGTGTTGCAAATAAATATGAGATAAATGTGTGTACTCTATCCATCATATTTTAATTTACAGTTGGATTGGCTGACAAACGTTTTAAAATGCGACACACCGCTCGCGGAATTATTGCGGCTGTACACAGACGTGATGCTGTCGCTAGATCCATCACCGACTAAGGTGAGATTTTATTAAAAATTTATTTTTTTAGCGAAGATATAAATACAAATGCTTTATTTCCATATTGAATTATATTATATATCTATATAAATCAATTGCTATTTATTAGTCTTGCTTAAATTTGAGAACGGCTGAACGGATTAATCTTATCTTGGCCTTGAAATGTTCGTGGCGGTCTAAAAAAACCCTAAAAATAGTGAGCGAAGCCTAAATATTAATTGTTGAGCGAAGATGTTAAATATATTCATTACAATGACAATTTATTTAGTTAATTGTCATTCAAATCTTAGTCAATTCAATGTTAAGTAATATTTAAAATGTAAAAATTTTTCTAGTCTAGTTTTAGAAAACGCTGGCGCAGTGGACGCCGTATTACTTTAAGGTCTTGACTTCATTAGTACTGTTAATAAATGCGTTGCCTTGGTTACGAAAACATTAAAAGTACTGCGTTGCCAGCTGTCACTTTTGCATAGGGGTTTTCAACAAGAACTTTGTTTTCTAAAACCAAAACTTATTTATTTATTTGACATACCATCGACAATATGGGTGATGACGGGGTACAGTAAACGAAATTCTATTTAGTCCGTCAGTTAGATGATCAAAAAATAATGGACACGTATTTTTTCTTTGGGCAATCAACCAGAAAATGACAAAGTTATAGCGCGTCAAGTTTTGGGAGTGGGGCTCGTGACGTCCCTTTTGAGTGAATTTTCACTTCTGAGTGTACTCAAACGTGACGTCATGCGACTTTTCAAATCAATATATCTCTGCAATGTTCATGTTATGTAAAAAAAGAAAAAATACGTGTCCAATACTTTTCGATAATCTACCTGATAAACGAAGAAAAAAAAATAGTCATCATCCCTATTTCACAAATTTCAATAAAGATCTAAGATGCAGGTAGTACTCAACCGTGTGAATTGCCATTGCAGGTATGTAGAACATTGACTATATGTAGGTAGGTACTTATACTTTTAACAGAAAAAAATTACTGTTCGGTTTGAACAGTAATTTTTTACAGATGATTTTTGAGGGCTTTGAGTGGAGCGTGAAAGATGTCAACATCATGGCATATCTCGTTGTATGCATCTTTAATTCTGTTAAACGGTGAAGCTAATTTTGTTTTAAATTGACAGTTAACGAATGATTTGATGGGTTGGCGGGGGATTTTTCTGGGAACCTTTAATTTAATTTCCGCAAGAAGGTCTTGCGCAACAATATTGCCGTGAAGTAATTTGTGCAGAAATAAAATGTCCGCGGTTTTTCTACGCTTTTCTAAGTTATGAAGTTTAAAGTATTTGAGACGAGTGTGGTAATCCGCACCGTAAGGACACTTCCTGTCTTTGAAAGCAAGAAACCTCGTAAAATTACGTTGAATTCGCTCGATTCTATCAATGTGGACTCGATATTGCGGATTCCAGACTTGGGAACTGTATTCTAGTCAGTGGCGGTCTTAGGGGGTGGCGAACAGGGCAATCGCCCGGGGCCTCGCTCCTACAGGGGCCTCGCGCAACAACCCAATCAAATTTTAAAATTATAAAAAAAAAAACTATTTTTTCAATGACACAAGATCGGCTTTCAGCCCTCGCTATTCTTTCAATCGAAAATGACGTAGCTTATTCGTTAGATTATTGTGCTTTAATTAAAGATTTTAGTCTTAGGAAAAGCCGCAAACATCAATTTTAAAATTTATCATCTCTGTATTTGTTAATTTTGTGAATCTTTCAATGTAAAATATTTTAAAATTCCAATTTGATTTATTTGTATAATTTAAGCATTTTTCCTTAAACATGACAAATACCTAAACCAAACAACCAGACCTACTTTCGCATCACATACTTTTCACGAAGGACAAAGGGCCTCGCAAAGACCTGCCGCCCGGAGCCTCGCAATCGGTAAGGCCGCCTCTGATTCTAGTATACATTGGACCAAACTCTTATACAAGCATAAAATTGTTGCGGTGTTATGGAAATTCTTACATAGGCGTTTCAAGAAACCCAACATGTTGAATGCCTTTGCAACAATAATGTTAATATGTTCAATGAATCCGAGCTTTTTGTCAATTACAATGCCCAGATCACGAGTCGAACCCACTTCGGTTAGCTGTGCAGAATTAATAGTATAGACAGAAGCGTTAATGTTTTTTGTCTTTCTGGTAAATTTTATAAATAGACATTTACTTGCGTTAAGAATCATACCGTTGTCTACGCACCATTCCGATACCGAGTCTAGATCTTTTTGGAGTAAAAGTATATCTTCCTCGTTTTTAATCGGTCGATACAACTTTAAATCGTCTGCAAAAAGAGAGCAGCTGCTATACCGGATTTTATTAGGGATATCTTTAATGAAAACGAGAAACAGAATTGGTCCCAAGATCGAACCCTGGGGGACTCCCGACGAGGTGAGGAATGGTTTCGATTTGTAGCCATTCACAACTACCCTTTACAACCGATGCTCTAAGTAAGAACGGAGCCATAGCAGTAGGGGTCCATGAATGCCGTAACGCTTCAGTTTCATAAACAGTATATTGTGGTCAACCTTGTCAAACGCACTGCTAAAATCTGTATAAATGGAATCTATTTCTACGCCAGAGTCGATTGATTTCGTTAGTTCATTGACATACGAAACAAGATTGGTTGCTGCTGATTTATTTTTACAGAATCCGTGCTGGTTTGCATGAATGGTGTTTTTAAAATGCGAAGTTAAAAACGGGCAGATAATTTTTTCAAATAACATTGATATTGCATTCAGAATAGATATTGGGCGGTAGTTTTTAACGTTATTATTATCACATTTTTTGAAGATTGGAATGATATTAGCCTCCTTAAGCAAATCCGGAAAAACACCCGTAGCAATGGATTTAGCTAATATGATTTTAAATGGCAGGGCTTATTTAGCGGTTCTTTTAAGAAATAGTGGCGGAATGCCGTCAGGACCTGCTGCTTTACTTTCGTCAATTTTGGATAAGATCTTAGTGATCATGTGTTCGGATATAGCAACATTACCGAGAGATAGCTGGGGATAGTCACTATCATTAACTAAATCACTGGGTATGGAATCTAGTTTCTGGGTATAGACCGAGGAGAAGTGTGTTGCGAAAAGATCACATATTTCGTTACCGGTAGAAGCTGAAGCCTTGTTGAGATGCATTTCACCAGGAATGTTAGATTTACCACCGCGGAGATCCTTGACGTACGACCAAAGTTTTTTAGAATTTTGCCTAATCGAGTCCTCCACCCCATCTAGATATGCAGCATAACATTTTTGTATCATTTGGTCCACTCGCTTATTGGCAAGCTTAAGTTCAAATGAGTCTCGCTGGTTGTTATATTTATTGAAACGGCACCTAATATTATCACGTTCAGATTATTAAGTTAGTTAAAGCGCGAGTGAACCATTTAGGATATTTTCTACGGCGGATAATAATTTTGAGGATATTAGAATGAATGATGTTATTGAGGATGGATTAAAATTTACGCTTTATGACGTTGACATCCTCGCCCCCCAGTTCAGACTCCCAGTTCACATTATACAATTTTTCAGTTACAACTGGATAATTAGCTCTTTTGAAATTAAGAATAGGTCTTAATTTACTTACAAGGCTCGTCACAACCTTTACATCAATATCCGCTAAGATGAATGAACTTAGATGAATATGATTAAATTTTTTATTGAATTACAAAGAGAAAAGTTCGGCAATTATGAATGAAAAATGATATCTTGCAAATGTCCACCACGAGCATGCTGACAGATGTCGATTCTTTCATCAAAGTTTTTAATCACTGTTTGGCCAAATGGCGGGACTATTTTGCTAATCACATCACGGATTTTGAGTTTAAAGGCTGCAGTCGATTCGAGTGGCCCTGTATACACTCTGTCCTTAACATAACCCCACAGAAAATAATCTAGTGGTGTTAAATCACATGATCTGGCTGGCCACTTAACAGCTGAGTTTAGTGAAATTATGCGATCGGGAAATTTCGTTTGCAATTAATTGATCGTTTCATTGGCTGTGTGACATGTGGCGACGTGTTGAAACCACATATCAGTGATATCCATGTCATCAATAATAGGCCAAAATTCCCCATTTGGTGGTTCTGGATAACCCCAAAAGGGGTGATGTCGGGGTACAGTAAACGAAATTCTATTTAGTCCGTCAGTTAGATGATCAAAAAATAATGGACACGTGTTTTTTCTTTGGGCAATCAACCAAAAAATGACAAAGTTATAGCGCGTCAAAGTTTGGGAGTAGGGGCTCGTGACGTCACTTTTGAGTGAATTTTCCCTTATAAGTGTACTCAAACGTGACGTCATGCGACTTTTCAAATCAATATATCTCTGCAATGTTTGTATTATGTGAAAAAAGAAAAAATACGTGTCCAATACTTTTTAGTAATCTACCTGATAAACGAACAAAAAAAATTAGTAATCATCCCTATTGTTGAGAAGGTCACAGAATTGACAAATTTGGATCTGCTTCAAAACTGTGGCTCACGACTGCGATGCTTTCAGTTGAACGACCCGGTCGAACACGCGTTGGTGTGGCACATTTTGTATCGAGCCTGTCGACTCAAATTTAACGACCAAATTCTTAATAGCGGTCTCAGAAGGACGATTATGTTGTCCGAAAATATCACGAATTTGACAAAATGTTAGTGTTTTATCCGTGCGGTGACGGAGAAAGAATACAACTCACCGCCCCTTTTCTTCCCGTGGGTGTCGTAAGAAGCGACTAAGGGATGTCGGAGCTTCCATCCGCTCTTCTGGTGGTAGGGTGCCTAACACCCGCCTGGTTTGTTACCACCGTGCGCATGGTGAAAAACCCGTGAAGTGCTTCTCGCGCGTTTCGGGGTCAGCCAGCGTACAACCAGAGCTCGAGTGGAAGTTGTCGCGAGGGATTCGGTCCAGGGGAGGCATTCGTGGAACCGATGCCGGGAGGACTGCATCGACCAGTCGGCCAGGGAGACCCGTAGAAACGGCTGTCCCGCTGGCCGCCCGTGGCACAGTACAGGGGCCCAAGCGTTCCTAACCAGTTCGCGAGGCTGCCCCATCATGTCACGCATAATCTCGGGGTGGACCGTCGTGCCGGCTGGTGACCGGGGCGTGGGGTCCCGGCGGCCACTCCCGGGGGGGTGCGGGGGCCCTTCCGTCCGGCGGGTCGGCGCATCTCCACTGCAGGCAGTCAATCGGGAAGACAAACCCCCCTTATTTGCCCGGACTCTTCGCGACGGCGTCCGCTCGTTTTCGCGTCTCTTTTTTTTTCACTTCCACCATGGCAGCCTCAATAGCAAAGTTTGGACGTACAGCGGTGCACACCCCCACGCCTTCAACGCTGTTTGAGGTCGAGTTCTGCAACATACGCGGACTCCACTCTAACCTCAACGCTGTCCACCACCATCTCGAGACAGCACGGCCAGCATTGTTGTTCCTGACGGAGACACAAATACTTCCGCCTGCTGACACAGGCTACCTTAATTATCCCGGCTACGTGCTTGAAGAGTCCTTCAAAGCGAAAGCCGGTGTATGCCTGTATGTTCGGGCGGATGTTTGTTGTCGCCGTCTCCGCTGCTTGGAAGATCCCTCCTTCTCCATGCTGGGGGTACGTGGGGGTAGTCTACGTGTGCCTCTACAGATCCCACACCGGCGATGTTGAGACAACTCGACTTTTTGAACACCTTAGTCGGGCAGCAGATGACGCGCAGGAGCGATTTCCCAATGCAGAATTGGTGTTTTTGGGGGACTTTAATGCTCACCACAATTTGTGGTTAAGTTCTTCCAAAACTGACCATGCAGGGATCTCTGCTCACACATTCGCTCTCACGCATGACTTGAAGCAACTGGTTGATCAGCCCACCAGGATCCCAGATATTCCAAGTCAAGCGCCTTCTTTACTGGACCTTCTGCTCACGACCCATCCACAGGGCTATCAGGTTGTGGTAAGAGCCCCCCTGGGCTCGTCCGACCACTGCCTGATATCTGCCAAAGCACCACAGGCCAAGCCTCCGCGTCCAGCAGTGGTCAAGCGCCGTATCTGGCATTATGGGTCGGCAGATTGGGACGGTATGCGTGATTACTTTGCGTCCGTCCCTTGGAAGCAGCGCTGCTTCAGTGACAGGGACCTATCGGGCAGTGCCGTTGCCATTGCTGATGAGATCATAATGGGTATGGAATACTATATTCCTCATTCTGATCTCATCAGTAAGGGCACACGTAACCTCTGGTTCAATCACGACTGTGCTGAAGCTGCTTCGCGTAAGCAAGCGGCATATCGTGCTTGGATCAGAGGCCGCGCTCTCAAGGATCCCGGGGTCGATTCACTCAAAGCAGCCTACAATTCTGCTTCCAAGGCCTGTAAGAAGGCTTACATCAGAGCGGATGCCCAGCGTGTTGCACGTGTTGGCCAGGAACTTATAACGCATCCTGCGGGCTCCCGTAGCTACTGGCGTTTGGCCAAGGCCGTGCAAAAAAACTTCTGCCAGCCCTCGCTGCCACCTCTGAGATGCCCAGACGGAACACTAACTCATAAGAAAGCCAATTTACTGGCAAAACTCTTTGCGGCTAACTCCCGAATCGATGATTGCAATGCACTGCCACCATCATTACCTCACTGTGGCACAACGATGCCTGATATTAAAATCAGGCAGCGTGAGGTTCGTGCCGAGTTGCAATCACTCGACGTCCGGAAAGCTAGTGGACCTGATGGCATCCCAGCAGTAGTACTTAAAAAATGTGCAGCGGAGTTGTCTCCCGTGCTCACGCGCTTGTACCAATGCTCGTATTCTTTGGGGCGTGTGCCGGAGACTTGGAGAGATGCTAACGTGCAACCGATGCCCAAAAAAGGGGATCGCTCAGACCCGGCAAACTATCGGCCAATAGCAGTCACCTCAGTTTCATGTAAAGTTCTAGAAAAGGTCCTTAATAACCATCTGACCCGCTACCTAGAGGATCACTCCCTGATTAATGATCGTCAATATGGATTTAGACCGAAACGATCGACGGGTGATCTTCTAGCGGACTTAACTCATATCTGGGGTGAGGCTATCGACAAACGTGGCGAGTCGTTGGCTATCAGCCTTGACATTGCCAAGGCGTTCGACAGGGTCTGGCACAAAAGCCTTCTCTCAAAGCTTCCGGCATACGGTCTGCCAGCCCAGTTCTGTTCTTGGGTAGCTGACTTCCTGCATGAGCGTAGAATTCGTGTCCTTACGGATGGTAGCAGTTCGCGGTTCATGTCAGTGAATGCCGGCGTTCCCCAGGGCTCCGTCCTATCCCCCACTCTCTTTCTGCTGCATATCAATGACCTGATTCCTCTTGGGAATATTCATTGCTATGCAGACGATAGTACAGTGCATGCGGGGTATCTCGGACAAGCAGCGGCTGGGCATGCAGTAACCAGGGAGAAACGGGAAAATCTTGTCATTGAACTCAATCAGGCTTTGGACCACATTTCCGAATGGGGTACCAGGAACTTGGTTGGGTTCAATGCCAAGAAAACTCAGGCTTGCGCTTTCACGGCAAAAACATCGCCATTCCTTCCCCTTCCATCTCTTCAGGGCACAACACTACCGCTGCAGAGCAACATTTCCATGCTCGGTATGGAAGTTCGCTCAGACCTGAATCCAAAGGACTACATCGAAACCGTGATCAAAACAGCTTCACGCAAACTCGGAGTCCTGAACAAGGTGCGGCGTTTTTTCACGCCCGATCAACTGTGCTTGTTGTACAAAACGCAAGTGCGGTCCTGCGTGGAATATTGCTCGCACCTCTGGGATGGCTCCGCCAAGTACTTGCTCGATGCTTTGGATAGGTTACAGCGGCGCGTGATCCGCATCATAGGCGATGAGGAGGTGACTAAACACCTTGAGCCTCTTCAATTACGCCGTGACGTGGCGTCACTAAGCGCGTTCTATCGTTTGTACCACGGCGAGTGTTCTGAGGAGTTATTCTCTCTTATCCCACCTTCCCCTTTCCTTCAGAGGACCACGCGCGCTGGCCTACGTTGTCACCGTTTTACTGTGGCCACAATTCCAACGCGTACAAAGAAATTTGGTGACTCATTTCTTTGTCGCACTATCCGTAAATGGAATGCTCTGCCCGCTCACGTGTTCCCTCCCTCTTACAACCTGGGATCCTTTAAAAGAGGCGTGAAGAAGCAACATGCAGGCCGGCAGGGTGAGGATGGCTGGTGTGGCAGGTAGAACTGCTGTATCAGCTATCTTCGCGTCTGGACTTCACCTTCACTTAACATCAGGTGAGGTGGAGTCATTTGTCGGACCTAACTATAAAAAAAAAAAAAAAAAAAAAAAAAATGTAACTGTAACTGTAACAGAACCACTATTTTCATAGTGGACTTTAATAATTTTAATTCGATTTTCAAGCGAATTTGAATTCATTGTAACAATTGCCAATGCATCTACTACGAATACGTCAAAAAACTAAATGTGAAAACTATCATATTGTTGATGAAGCCACAATTGAAAAACAAAGTTCTTGTTGAACAACCCTATACTAGCGGTGTGTGTGACGTAATAATGTGAAGGATACTGTATCTACTATTTCATCATGTTTTAAAACAGATTTAAAAAAACTGAAAACATTGAATTGAATTTTAAAATGCATTTTGTTATTTTATGAATTGAAACTAACATTTTCCGCGTCCTCTTTGCCTAAACTATCGCAATAATAGTTTTATAGATTTTTTTTTCACAATTAGAGTGAAATAGCTAATTATACCTTAATACCTACTAATTATTTGTAGTTGAAATCTGTGTTCATCTTTCAAAGGCCATATTGTTATTACGTATTCCTATAGGTGGTTTCCGCTAATCTTAAACTCTGCTCCAACCCCGAGGAAGGAATATTGATGCTGACTGACCTGAGGTGCGATATTGACGGACTGATTAACTGCGTTAGGGCGGTTGTAGACGCGCCGAGGCAAAATAAGGGTGAGTACTCATACTTTCATCATCATGAAAGGTGACTTCATGAATCATCTCTGAAGTCATCTTTCAACTTGACGACTCTGTAAATGATAAAATAGGGAGAAAAAAACAGCCCTTGCTGAGTTTCTTGCCGGTTCTTCTCAGTACAAGGTCTCCCGCCGTAGATTTACGAACCGATGGCGTAGCTTCTAGACATTCATATGTGCTTGTAACAGCCTAAACTGAATAAATGATTTTGATTATGATTACCATCAGCCTATGTTTCCAGTATGAGCGCGGTTTTGGTTTGACAGCATTTGTGACAAATATCTCCCGTTTCTCAGAGACCATACCGTCGGGTGTGATAAGAGATTTCGGTCGCGCTGCGTACGCGCCGCTCAGAGAATCATTGCCCACTTACACGGAGCTTCAAACGCAATTATTGTTGGCTCAGTTGAACGATCCGCAGCTTAAACAGGTAATTTTATCTAAAGAAAAGTTTACTAGAAAAAAAATCCACGCGGACCAGGCAGCGGACGGGACTCGAACCCGCACCCTTCGCAATCCGGGCGAATGCACTGACCATTATGCTACCACGGCCCTATTAGCCGCGTCGAAATTTTCCTAGCCTTAAACTGCAAGGCAGCGCCATCTCTTCGCATTGTAGGTAACCCACAATGTCAAATGAATACTTTTTCAAGTATTAAACATTTGAAAGAAGAAATAGCAATTATAGTTATGTTTTTATTTCTTTTTAAGCATTTAACTGCTAGATGTTTGAATCTAAAGAAAAGTTTACTAGAAAAAAAATCCACGCGGACCAGACAGCGAACGGGACTCGAACCCGCACCCTTCGCAATCCGGGCGAATGCACTGACCATTATGCTACCACGGCCCTATCCGCCGCGTCGAAATTTTCCTAGCCTTAAGCCTCAAGGCAGCGCCATCTCTTCGCATTGTAGGTAACCCACAATGTCAAATGAATACTTTTTCAAGTATTAAACATTTGAAACTTTTTTTTCTAGTAAACTTTTCTTTAGATTCAAACATCTAGCAGTTAAATGCTTAAAAATAAATAAAAACATAGGTAATTTTATTTTAAGTATTTAAATATGATGCTAGCGGCCGCCCGCGACTTCGTACGCGTGGAGTTAGTTATTTGCACATACTTTTTGACCCCAAAAGGGGATTTATTTCTAAAGATACATTATTAGTACACCTCTACGCCATCTATAGAGCATACATGTTGAATTTCAAGTCTCTTACTTCAAAAACATAGGACTTTCATACAAACTTCCAACCTTAGGGGTGGAGTATCGTGATAATATGTAGCGTATATGTTGACCCGACCTCTTAATAATATTTGTGCCTTTAAAGTAAATCCATGCAGTACTTTTTGAGTTTATTCCGGACATACATACAGACAAATTCCAAAAACTATATTTTTGGCTTCGGTATCGATTGTAGATCACACCCCAAGTATTCTTTTAATAAAATATTCAATGTACAGTTTTGAATTTCAACCATTTTATTATATAGATTATGATAATTTTACTAGAAAAAAATCCACTCTGTTCATGTTTTCAACCAGGATTTGAACCAGCATCTTTCGCTATGCGGAGGGAATAATATATATTACTAGCTGACCCAGCGAACTTCGTACCGCCCTAAAAAAATAGCGGTTGTCCAGCGGACAAAATTGTGAATCTAAACCATTCTCAGATCCCCTTGAACACACACAAAAAATTTCATCAAAATCGGTCCAGTCGTTTAAGAGAAGTTCAGTGACATACACACTCACAGAAGAATTATATATATAAAGATAGCACAAGCGACTGCCCGCTTTTTTTCTACTTATATATAAAGAAATTATTATTATTATATACATACTTACGATTTCAGGGGTTTCATTGGTTAAATATATTATTTTAGTGAAAATATTTTCGTGAGGTTGTTACCACTGAACTTAATGTATTATTTATATTGCTTTTTATAAGGTGATATGATTTTAACAAAGTGTTTTTTTTTTTGTCAAGGAGGATCTTCTAGAGTGTTCTAGAGCTATTTTGTCAGTGGCGGAACGCACTGAAGGGTGGATTTCCAACGCTTACAATCGTGCCAAGAAAATAGCTGGTATCGCCTCATATCCTTACTATATATCTGCTGTCGATGTAAGTATTGTAAATAGGTACTGTTTTTACAATAAAAAAAAATGATTTAAACCTACAACATACACAGAGAGAGAGACACACACACACACACACACACACACACACACACACACACACACACACACACACACACACACACACACACACACTCGCACTTACACACACGCGCGCACACAAACATAAGCCAACATACACACACGCAGAAACATACAAACACACACACAAGCCCCCCCCACGCCCCCCCCCCCCACACACACAAGCCCCCCAATACACACATTCGAGCCCCCCCCCACACACACACACACACACACGCCGACACACACACGCAGAAACACACAAACACACACACACAAGCCCCCCCCCCCCACACACACACATTCGAGCCCCCCCCCCCCCACGCGCACACACACACACACAAGTCAACATAAACACACAAACACACACAAGCAGAAACACACAAGCCCCCCCTCCCCCCCCACACACACACATACGCACACGCACGCACACACACATACGCGCGCACACACACACACGCAAGCCCACACAACAACAAGTATTTATAGATGTAGATGTTAGTATTTTTAGTGTTTATTGTTACTAGTTATCATATTCGAGGTGAGGCGCTAATAACTGCGACACAGCCTCTGACTAATGTAGTTATTAACGTTGAACATTGTTCTATACAAACTATTTATTATACTATTATTACTGTGCATAATCAGCAAACGCACCATTAATTTACCAATTATTTAGCAACCGTATTTCTGCAAATAAATTATTATTATTGAATTATTTATAATTTCAGATAAATGAATAAAGGTAAAATCTTTTTTTTTTCCATACAGAGTTTAATAACATCCATTTCCAATCTCATATCAATGCACAGTCGTCGTATAGAAACGGCTTTCCTGTCTTCGATTAGCGAGGGGGGAAGTGGGGGGGTACTTTCGGCCTCCTTCCCGGCCTCGTTGACGCTGGAGGCCGCGGCCTCGGCCTTACTGGATGTTATCACTGCTAGGCAGGAGTTGGAGGCTAGAGATGAAGGTGAGAACTTTTCATATCTAAACTGCACACAGAAACGGCCTTATTATCTTGGATAAGTGGGGGGGGGGTACTTTCGGCCTCGTTCCTGGCCTCGTTGACGCTGGAGGCCGCGGCCTCGGCCTTACTGGACGTCATCACTGCTAGGCAGGAGTTGGAGGCTAGAGATGAAGGTGAGAACTTTTCATATCTAAACAGCGCACAGAAACGGCCTTATTATCTTGGATAAGCGAGGGGGGAGTGGGGGGGGGGGGGGTACTTTCGGTCTCTTTCCTGGCCTCGTTGACGCTGGAGGCCGCGGCCTCGGCCTTACTGGATGTTATCACTGCTAGGCAGGAGTTAGAAGCTGGAGATGAAGGTAAGAACTTTTCGTATCTAAACAGCGCATAGAAACGGCCTTACTATCTTCGATTAACGAGGGAGGGAGTGGGGGGGTACTTTCGGCCTCGTTCCCGGCCTCGTTGACGCTGGAGGCCGCGGCCTCGGCCTTACTGGATGTTATCACTGCTAGGCAGGAGTTGCAGGCTAGAGATGAAGGTGAGAACTTTTCATATCTAAACAGCGCATTTATTCTTTGATTTCTTCGTTTTTGTGAGTTTTTGGTCTTGTTAATGCTAGAAATCGCGTCTTTATATTTGTAATGGACGTGAAAACAAAAAAAAAGCCTTGCAGCTTAAGGCTAGGAAAATTTCGACGCGGCGAATAGGGCCGTGGTAGCATAATGGTCAGTGCATTCGCCCGGATTGCGAAGGGTGCGGGTTCGAGTCCCGTCCGCTGCCTGGTCCGAGTGGTTTTTTTTTTCTAGTAAACTTTTCTTTAAAAAAAAAGTTATAAAAATATCAAATTTATCAAAATAAACATAGAAGAAAAAGATTTATAAAAATAATTTTAAAAATTACTAAACTCTGTATTCTCGTAATAATTAAACTGCTTCAAATAAAATATGAACAGTGGCGTTGAACAAGCAAAGAAATTTTTTACACACTTTTCAATGAAATAGCGATCTGATGTCATTTAGTAAGTTTATCAACGTACATCTAATCACTGCAGTGCCCCAGCACTACGGCGTGACGTCTAGTAGTCCCGCTATATTTCTAGTAAGGGTCATAATTGAATGTATAAGCCAGCAGCTTCAGCTATATATACACATCATCATCATCATCATCAGCCTATTAATGTCCCCACAGCTGGGGCACAGGCCTTCCCTATGGACGGAATAGGAAGATTGGGCCATGACCCACCACGCGGGCCCAGTGCGGATTGGTGGGTGCTAACGACTGCAAATGCAGCCGGGACCAATGGCTTAACGTGCCTTCCGAAGCACGGAGGAGCTCGAGATAGTAAATTTTTGGTCACCCATCCATCCAAAAGTTGCTTAACTTCAACGATCGCAGCCGAACGCGCTAGCCACCTGCGCCATCGAGCTCCTCGAGCCTCGAGCATATTTACACAGTGCAGTGAAAAGCTATTTAGACCTTTAAAGCAATATTATGGACGTCATACGCTGTGTAAGAGACGAATAACAGATAAATCGAATAATCCTGTTAATTTGAACCAGAATAGATTAAGTATTTTGCAATTAAAAACGTGAATTCAACTAAAAAATTGCAAGAAATACTTACACCTGAAAGTATTTTGTTGTAAAAAAAATGCATGCGATCAGCCCACGTGTTTAACCTGACGCGAGTTTTACATTTTATACCCATCCAAAAAAGGGTACAACGCCGCTAAAGAAGTTTTCATTTCAAAAAAACAATATAATTAATAAAAAATTACCGCTTTTTCTTCTTAATAGCTTTAAAACCAAAAAGTTATGTGTTTTTTTAATGTAGAAATGTGCATCTTTTGATAAGGAATCCAACATTGTAAAAATAAAAATAAATAATTTCTTCGAGATACTGGATTCTAGCTTAGTGCAGCCGAATGAAATGAAATGAAATGTCATTTATTCAGTCTAGGCTGTTACAAGCACTTGTGAAGGTCAAGAAGCTACGCCATCGGTTCGCAAATCTACGGCGGGAGACCTTGTACTGAGAAGAACCGGCAAGAAACTCAGCAAGGGCTGTTTTTTTCTCCCTGTATTGTTATATACAGTGTCGTCAAGTTGAAAAATTACTTCAGAAATACGTCTGAAGTCATTTTCCCTTACATCATCTAGAATATATATATATAGTTACAATTAATTTTATAGTTAACATTATATGTAGTATATAGGAAGCGGCGTTAGATAGGTACAATATTACTGTTATGAAAAATGACTAATACCCATTTAATATCAAATTATAAGAAACACTATGTCCATGCATTACGATCATTTAGATAATCATCAACTTTATAATAGCCCTTATTCATAAGAGTATTTTTGATCTGAGATTTAAATTTAGTCAGTGGACGCTCAATCAGATCAGCAGAATCAGAGAGAATGTTCTTGCACCTTTTCACATAGAGGAAATGCCAAATCAAATCAAATCATTTATTGCACCATGTTGTTACATTGATCTTAGATAGAAATTATAATTATAGATACAAACATGACCCTGCTAGGGCATTGCAAAATACTAAATAAACATAAACATTATCTTAACATCATGAACGTATTCTATATTAACATTATTTATTGATTGCCTGTAATGGCGTCTCCCGTTATAGATACCATGGAGGTTAGAGAGCAGGAGAACGATCGCTACGTATTAAAACATTAGCCCGCCTGACCCTGAAAATTTATAGAATTTATAGTTCATTTTTCAGCCACTAGCTGCGCTGCCGTCAGTAAGTAGTGTCTGTGAAGTTAGCTGTTTCTGAGTACAAGTAGATGAAGTTATGATTTTATTTATTTTTTAAGCATTTAACTGCTAGATGTTTAAATCTAAAGAAAAGTTTACTAGAAAAAAAATCATAACTATAATTGCTATTTCTTCTTTCAAATGTTTAATACTTGAAAAAGTATTCATTTGACATTGTGGGTTACCTACAATGCGAAGAGATGGCGCTGCCTTGCAGCTTAAGGCTAGGAAAATTTCGACGCGGCTAATAGGGCCGTTGTAGCATAATTGTCAGTGTATTCGCCCGGATAGCGAAGGATGCGGGTTCGAGTCCCGTCCGCTGCCTGGACCGCGTGGATTTTTTTTCTAGTAAACTTTTCTTTAGATGAAGTTAGTTAAATAATGTGCAAATTTTCTTCGCGGCATTGGTCATTTCAAAGTAGCGCACAACAGCCCGCTTTTATTGAGACAACTTAGCTATCGCAGCGCCTCACTTATTTTGTCCATATTTCTGGGACACGTATTTTCTACGGCGATCGTTCTCCTTCTCTCTAACCTCCATGATAGATACTAAAAGACGTCTTTACCTTACCCAAAGGAATTGATAACCGAATTCATTTACAGATAATTGATTTGTCGAATTATTTACTTTTGTCTGTGTAGTATAGCGGAATTTTACGCTCTGTCACTTGGCGAACAAAATGCTTTGAACGGTTTTCTACAGTACTTTTTGCTACGCCCCGCCTTCGCGTCGGACGCGCCAATCCGGGCCGCCGCACAAAAGTAAGACAGAGAGCATTCTTTGATTGAATAACGAATTGAATTGCATTTGTTTTAGTTGCAATTTGTCATCCGCATCGTGATCGCGACAGCGCTATACGAAAAAGTAAGACAGCGATAATTACATGTCTATGAATGAATTTTTACTACGCCGCTACCGCAAGCGATTATGGCATTATGGGTGACAGACCGGGTCTTTCCGCGAGTGTACGTGTCGTGTTAGTATTGACTCTTTTTTAGAGAGTAATGCTTCTAGATATCGTTTCTAATAGGCTATTTGACAGTATGAAAAATAAAGTACCAATTGTTGGCATCTGTATTTAAAATGAATATCAGAAGCGTTTTCACTATTCTGAAAGAACAAAAAAAAGCGAGCCTTACACTAGTCGCGTATGATGTGTAACATTTGGAACCTCACCTTATATTAGTGAAAAAAGAAATAAAACCTACTACAAAAGGAATAAGCCATTTGAACATTATGTTCAAAAATCAAATCAAATAGCGCGCGCTTTCGCGAATTGCAGGAAAGCGAGAGGAAAGATGTTACACATAAATTAAAAACTTTTCTTAGAAATCATTAAAAACTTTTTTTGTTCTATTTTCACGTGACCGAAAACGCTTTGGATTGGCCAGGACTAAAATAACGCCACACACTAGTAAACTTCCGGTTAAAGTGACATTACACTGCATTGTTTGACGTTTTAATGACAGTCGTGTGACGTTATACACCAGTAAGACGCCATAATGCCCAAAGAAACGTTTTCACGCTAACCTTCTATTTATTTTATTTTTGATTTAGTTTTTTTATTTAAATACACAACAGAATGATGAATATCTACGTTTTATAGATTCCATAGATATTAGTAAATAATTTGAGATCGTTTTCTAAAATGTGGCAAAGACATTGAGTCCTATTTGGTTGCCATTTACCTATTATCCTATTAACAACATTATATTGATCCAGAACCAAAGGACCAGCATCCTCTCTTGGACTTACCCACATTCCTACTGGACAATGACGTAAGGCAGCGACTGCCGACTTTAAGGGCGGAGCCCTGGGGCTCCGGCGCGGCCTTGAGGAGGGCTAAGGAACAACTAAGGGGGCTCGGCAGGGCGATACTTAGGAACCCTGTTGATGTGCAACTTGGTAAGTAATTCAGCTTTGAATAAATAAATATTCATAACAGTCTCACCAACAACGACGTAAGGCAGCGACTGTGGACTTTAAACTCTCTACGGTATACGGTACGATACCACGGTAATATTATCTATACAGTATTCTCCTTCCTAGTCGTGCACTCTTGACAGAGTGGTCGTGGTCATGTCTCGGTCGATTCTTGTGCCACTGATGCAATCGCGATGCGTCGCCATGCAGTTCGATGCTTTCATCATCATCAACAGCCTATCATAGTCCACTGCTGGACATAGGCCTCTCCAAATGCACGCCACTCAGATCGATCTTGGGCTACTCGCATCCAGCTCCTGCCAGCCACCTTGCGCAAATCGTCACTCCATCGCGCCTGAGGACGTCCTGCACTACGTTTGCCTAGACGCGGTCTCCACTCCAGAACTCGTCTACCCCAACGGTTATCGGTTCTTCGGCAAATATGGCCAGCCCACTGCCACTTCAACTTGCTAATCCGGTGGGCTATGTCGATAACTCTGGTTCTCTGTCGGATTACCTCATTTCTGATGCGATCTTTCAGAGAAACGCCGAGCATAGCCCTTTCCATAGCGCGTTGAGCGACTTTGAACCTGTGGATCAGCCGTGCCGTCAGTGTCCACGTCTCGGCTCCGTATGTCATCACAGGTAGGACGCACTGATTGAAGACTTTCGTCTTTAGGCACTGTGGGATCGACGATGTCAGGACTTGACGTAGCTTCCCAAACGCTGCCCAACCTAGCTGAACTTTGAAGAGCGAGAATAATCATTTACGCTAGAGTGCGTAGCCGATTTAATAAGGTCTGTCCACCTTGTTGGAGAGCGCTCCCGAGAGACCTTTTGCCTTAAACTTTCCCTTGCATCACCAACCGTTCCATGGAGTTCTCATTGTGAGTAATATGCCCGAAGAATTTGAGGATTCGTATCTGCACAGTCGACGATAATCTTTTTTTTTTTTTTTATAGATAGATCCGACAAATGACTCCACCCCACCTGATGTTAAGTGAAGGTGAAGTCCAGACGCGAAGGTAGCTGATACAGCAGTTCTAACTGCCACACCAGCCATCCTCACCCTGCCGGCCTGCATGTTGCTTCTTCACGCCTCTTTTAAAGGATCCCAGGTTGTACGAGGGAGGGAACACGTGAGCGGGCAGAGAATTCCATTTACGGATAGTACGACAAAGAAATGAGTCACCAAATTTCTTTGTACGCGTTGGAATTGTAGCCACAGTTAGACGGTGACAACGTAAGCCAGTGCGCGTGGTCCTCTGAAGGAAAGGGGAAGGTGGAATAAGGGAGAATAACTCCTCAGAACACTCGCCGTGGTACAGACGATAGAACGCGCTTAGTGACGCCACGTCACGGCGTAATTGAAGAGGCTCGAGGTGTTTAGTCACCTCCTCATCGCCTATGATGCGGATGGCGCGTCTTTGATGTTGAGTTCCCTCAGGATTGAAACGTTGGTACGGTGCGCGGTCCACGGAATGCGTAGCAGACGTCTCCAACACCACATTTCCAGAGCGTCAATCTTGCGACGGTCTTTCGTTTTGAGTGTCCACGTCTCAGCTCCATATAGAAAGATTGGAAAAACCAAGGATCTCATTAGCCGAACCTTTGCCCAGTGCGAATTGGCGGGTGCTAACGACTGCAGATGCAGCCGGGACCAACGGCTTAACGTGCCTTCCGAAGCACGGAGGAGCTCGAGATAAAAGATTTTCGGTCACCCATCCAATGACCGACCACTGCGAAAGTTACTTAACTTCAACGATCGTTGCCGAACGCGCTAAACACCTGCGCTATCGTGCTCTTCATATAAGGTATAATAGATAGCATTGCAAGAGTAACGCATTAAAGTGCAGACTCAATCCCCGCTGGCAGAACCCATTTATTTATTTAATCTTTATTACCATAAAAACAGTAAATGGCGAACGTAATAACAATAGGCATTCTCTACGTAACTAACAAACTATCATAGTTTTCGTAACTCGTACTAAGGGTACGTACTTGAGTACGTACTCAATCCCCGCTGGCAGCACCCGTTCACGAGCATGACGCATGCATCAGCCATCGTTTTGCTCAACCGAAGAAACATTTTTGAGAGAGCATGAATGACTACATGCAGTGCCGTCTTTGACCTATTGGAGGCCCTGGGCATATTATTATAATGGGGCCCCTATGACTTCCGTTTGGTGATTAAACAGGAACTAGGGACTTTGTTTTTGATCTGAGGGGGCCCCCTATTGATCGCGGGGCCCTGGGCACTTGCCCAAAGTGCCCAATGGAAAAAACGGGTCTGACTACATGAATCTAAAGTTAGTATTTTTTCTCCTGTAACCAGATAAAATACCGCAGCTTCCGGTGTGGAACAACAACGATGCATTGTCCACCGACCTGCCGGACTTCGCTCTGTCACCCCAGGAATACATCACCGAGGTAAAATATCATTTGAATTTTTTTTTTTTCAATTCAATTCATTTCATTTATTTGCATCACAAATTAATACAATTAATAATAAGTCAAGTGTGTGTCTATGTGTATATCATCATTAGCCTATTAATGTCCCCACTACTGGGGCGTTGGCCTTCCCTATGGATCGAATATGGAGATTGGGCCATGACCCACCACGCGGGCAGTGCGGATTGGTGGGTGCTAACGACTTCAGATGCAGCCGGGACCAACGGCTTAACGTGCCTTCCGAAGCACGGAGAAGCTCGAGATAGTAAATTTTTGGTCACCCATCCAATGACTGACCACTGCGAAAAATGCTCAACTTCAACGATGGCAGCCGAACGCGCTACCCACTTGCGCCTTCAAGCTCCTCATTCTAGAGTTGTTGTACAAAATTAAATATTGAAAAATCAATATAGTTTATTCAGTCTAGGCAGTTACAAGCACTTGTGAATGTCGAAAAGCTACGCCATCGGTTCGCAAATCTACGGCGGGAGACCTTGTACTGAGAAGAACCGGCAAGAAACTCAGCAAGGGCTGTTTTTTTCTCCCTGTATTATGTACAGTGTCGTCAAATTGATATAATTTTCGCCTTCTACAGATCGGGCAGTATTTAATGACTTTGCCCCAACATTTGGAGATGCACATATCGGAGAAACAGGCGCCCTGGCAGTTTTTATCTGAGGTACGCATATTTTAGCTGGCATTCAACTATTTGCAACGAATTAGAAATGTTATGGACACTTTACTCTGTAACAAAGGCCGGTAAAACATAAACGTCCAACCCATTTAAAAGTAGTTATTGCGGAAGTTGCTTAACTTGAAATTAAATGAAATGAAACCTGTATTCGGCGTCTTAACATAAGAAAAACTAATAAACAACACAAGAAAAAAACTATAATTATTATTATTAATTATTAAATTAATTAATTATTATTGTTATTATAATAATTATTATTAATATGAATTAATTATTATTAAAATAATTAATGTTTATTAAATTTATTATTATTTATTTATTTATCTTTAACAAAGTTTCTACAGCGGTTTTTTGTGAAATTTAATACAATAAAATATAGATACAATCTTAAGGCCAATTACAGAAACTCATTATGTACACATTTATTATATGTCAGTAATTAAATTTTAAAAATTGTATAAAAATCATATAATTCACCAACATAAATAATAAAATAAAATTAACATTGGACAAAACATAACAAAAAAAAAAAGAAAAACAGACATTGAATATCCTTATAAAAGGGTTTTCAAGAATTTTAAAATTAAAATTATTATTAAATATTGTTTTAATACTTAACCTAAAGAACAAAAACGGAATAAGTATGATAATCTTAGACGGCCAATCAGGACCCTGCCTTAGCTTATGCTGACACAGTGAGAAAGTACTTTATCATATTGCACGATTACAGAACTACATTGCACCATGGAGATCAATGTACCCCCCCAGGTTCGAATCCCGTCTGAAACCTGGAGCAAAAGGAATTGTTTTAAAAAATAAAAATAATTTATTTATTTTAATTATAATATTAATTATTTGACAAAAAAGTTATATATTTTAAATTAATATATTTGAATCTGAAGATTTTTTTAATAGCAAAACTTTTGTTTAGTCCAGGTTTTCAGACGGTATCCGAATCCGGGGAGGATTTACCCATAATTGCTATTTCTTATTTCAATTGTTTTATACTTGTAAAGGTATTTCGTTTGACATTGTGGGTTACCTACAATGCGAAGAGATGGCGTTGCATTGCAGCTTTAGAAATACATACTAGAGGAAATTCGACACGGCCGTTGAGGTCGCGGTAGCATAATTGGTTAGTGCGTCCGCCCGGATAGCCGTAAATGACGGGTTCGAATCCCGTCTGAAACATGCATCGAGTGGATTTTTGTTATGAAAGAAATAATTTTTCGTTTTTGTTTTCGTTTAACTGATGGTATTTTCAGGTTTGCACGCACACCTGCGAATTGTACGCTGAGAAGATTCTCAATATCAGAAATATGGACGCGCTGGGAACCAAGAGATGCCTCACAGATATTGGTAAGTTAGTAAATCTATATAAAACTAGCTGACCCAGCGAACTTCGTACCGCCATAAAAAAATAGGGGTGGTAGAAAGTTGAAAATTTAGGGATGTATGTATTTTTGTATGATGTATCATAAAAAAATTAAAAAAAAATATCTAAAATTGAAAAAAAAATTAGGGGTGGATTACCCTTAACATTTAGGGGGATGAAAAATAGATGTTATTCGATTCTCAGACCTACCCAATATGCGCACAAAATTTCATGAGAATCGGGAAAGCCGTTTCGGAGGAGTTTAACCACAAACACCGCGACACGAGAATTTTATATATTAGATATATATGAAACAACATCAAAGTTCGTTGCTGTAACGTTGGTGACAAAATGTTAAATTTGAGGAGCTGGCGAACAAAGAGCTCATCATCATCAGCCTATTAATGTCCTCACTGCTGGGGCACAGTCCTACACAATGGATGGCATATAGAGATTGGGCCATGACCCACCACGCGGGCCCAGTGCAGATAGGCTGGTGCTAACGACTGCAGATGCAGCCGGGACCAACGGCTTAACGTGCCTTGCGAAGCACGGAGGAACTCGAGATAGAAGATTTTCGGTCACCCATCCAATGACCGACCACTGCGAAAGGTGCTTAACTTCAACGATCGCAGCCGAACGCGCTAACCACATGCGCCGTCGAGCTCCACTTCAGCCTATTATTGTCCCCAGTGCTGGGGCACAGGCCTTCATTTAACTCATCTATTTTACTCACGGAAAGTACCATCGGGTACAAGGATGGAGATCTGGGATCTTTATTTAGAAGAATTACCGCTCTCTAAACATTGTTATTCCTTATTTGACGACCTCCGTGGCCGAGTGGTTTGTACGCCGGGTTTCATGGTGTCGCCGACTCGAGAGGTCCCGGGTTCGAATCCCGGTGGGGGCAGATGTTTGTGTGATGAATACGATTATTTGTACTCCAGTCATGGACGTTTAATGTGTATTTCTATATAAATATACTTATATATGTATAATACATGTATTCTATCCGTTACCCTAGTATCCCATAACACAAGCCTTACAGTGTTAAGGCTAGGCTAATTGGTGTGAGTGTTGGAAATATTTATTTATTTGTTTCTTAGGTTTTCACGTACATCACTCATTAAATAAAACTAGTTTTAACGGGTTAATGCACGACACTTTATTTATTTATGATGATATGAGAAGGAGATAGAAAGCCTCTCTGAGTTTGTTTCGCCGGTTCTTCTCAGAAAGGTCTCCCAATTTTAGAACCGGTGGTATTTAACGGTAGTTAGGGTCAAATAAATAAACTCAAAATTACAAAAAAGAATTTTAAATAAATAACTTTATTAACTAATAAATTCATGCATAGACAATAAAATGTAAAAATCTTCCAATGAAATAACCGAACGCTCAATAAAAGTCTTTCGAAGGTGGCTCGACAAAATTAAATAAAATATCATTATTCTGATGATGCAGACCTGAAAAGGCTGCGAAACGTCAATAAATAAATAAAGTTTCGTGCATTAACCCGTTAAAACTAGTTTTATTTTATTGTTATTCCTTACCAGTGGTTTTTTTGTTTTAGTGCTTGTAACAGCCTAGACTGAATAAATGACTTTTCATTTCAGTATACTTGTCCAGCGTGGTCGAAGACCTTGGCAGTAATGTGACCCCGGCCCTTAAGAATTTGGAGAAGTCTCTGCGAGCCGCCACCCCCAGCCCAAACGAATAAATTATTTTACCTAAAGACAATTTTACTAGAAAAAATTCCACCTGGACCAGGAAGCAGACGGGACTCGAACCAGCACCCTCCGCTATCCGGACGGATGCACTGACCATCATGCTACCGCGGCCCTGACGATCGTGTCGAATTTTCTCTAGCAATAGGCTGCAAGGCAGCGCCATCTCTTCGCATTGTTGGTACAATGTCAAATGAATACCTTTACAAGTATTAAAGATTTGAAAGAAGAAATAGCAAATATAGTTGTTTTTATTTTTTTAAGCATTTAACTGCTGCTGTCGGCTGCCTGGTCCGGGTGGAATATTTTCTAGTAAACTTTTCTTTAGATTTTAATTATATATATAATAATAAATTATTACATGTTAAATTGTGTTGTTTCATTGGTGGCTCATGTAGCCCTAATTTGGTTTTGTGGGGGTTACTTCTCACACTTGAATTCTTGCTAAGGCCCGTATTATAGAAAGATTCTCAGTGATTGATCTAGTCTTGAGCATAGTTAGAAAGGGATGTCGCTATATATAGCACATAGCGATATCCCGTTCTAACTGTGTTCAAGTAAAGATCAACACTTAGTTGTTTCAATTCAATTCAAATTCTTTATTGCATAGTCACATGGTTAAAAGATGACAATTTAGTAATATATTATAATAGTACATGTGACACCCTGCAAGGGTGTTTGCAATTTATTTGTACATAAACATAATTAATAATAAAAAAATGTGTGCGTGTGCTAGTGTACACACGTAAGAAGTGAAACTTCTTTATGGCCTTATTTTTTTCGAAAAATGATCTACATGCAACTTTCCAGAAATATATATATAGGCGTGCGCTAAGATTTTTCAAAAACTCACCCACTAAAGGGGTATAACTACACCTTACCTTACCTTACCGCATCTTACCTTACCTTACCTTACCTTACCTTACCTTACCTTACCTTACCTTACCTTACCTTACCTTACCTTACCTTACCTTACCTTACCTTACCTTGTGTGAAACACGAATATTTGCTGTCGATACATTTTTTTTAAAGTTGACAGAAGAAGCAATTGTTCGGATGAGGTAAATAGTACTCTTTTAAAAAAAAATGGCGCGTAACCAAAAAACGTGACGCGTAACCGAAAAAATGTGTCGGTAAATTTTTTTCCAACGCTGATAAAGAAGTTTCACTTCAATATTTAATACAATTATATCCATTTTGTATCCATTGTCATTCTGTAATACGGGCCCAAGTGTTCGGTTTAAAACCGAACACAAGAACGAAAGCTGGTAGCCTACCAGCGCTTATAGGCACCGGTTCGTGCAGGAAACCGACGCAGGCATTTCTATGGACCAGCGCCGATAAGCGCCAAACGCCGCCGACAAGTTCCGACATGCGCTGGTGGTCTACTCTCTTTCTCCGAAACGAACTTTCGAAAACGAAGTTCAAACGAAATTAAATTTCTTCAATTTAAGGTTATACTTAATTTGAAAGATAAACTATCATATTGGAGCTTTCTTTGAGTAGGTTTAGAAAATCTACACCTCAATCTATATTCCGTCGCCGAATATTATTATAATTAAAAACGAACCAGAAACATAGTAAGAAAAGTGCGAAATTTCGTTTTTCGTTAAATTAGAGTAGGCCTCGTGGTCAGCGCTGGCACCGCCCTTTGAAATTAAGGCCCGTATTATAGAAAGATTCTCAGTGACTGATCTAGTCTTGAGCATAGTTAGAAAGGGATGTCGCTATTTAAAGCACATAGCGACAAAAAACGGCAAAAAATCGTAATTTTTGTGCGCCTCGATTGCCCTTTTAGAAAAGATTTTGACCATTTTCAATAGAAGTAAACAGTAGATTTATTCTTCCTATTGTAAGTTAATGTAGAATATTTGCAAATACTATTTTCCTTTTTTTTTTGTAGTAATCGTTCTACTGCAGCTAGTTTACGGAAAAAACCATAATATGTACAACTTCAAACGCCTCAATCTCTCAATAATGTTCAATAAATTAGATCAAATTAATTACTACGACATCAGAAATATGTTTTTGTTGTAACATATTGTATTAGAATTTTGATTTTCTATTTCATTAATTATCAAAAAAAAAACATCTAACCTCCGTGAGTTTGGTAATACGGGGGTATAACGGGGTAATACGGGGGTTGGAAGTTTGTATGAAAGTCCTATGTTTTTGAAGTAAGAGACGGTGTAAAGGTGTACTAATAATGTATCTTTAGAAATAAACCCCCTTTTGGGGTCAAAAAGTATGTGCAAATAACTTACTCCACGCGTACGAAGTCGCAGGCCGCCGCTAGTTATAACATAAATTCAGAACATTTTTATCACAGTTAATTACATATTAAAATATTTTTAACAATAAAAGGACATTGGGCAAAAATGTATGGAAAATGTTAAACTACATTTGTTTGAAAGGTATTATAGTCATGATCATGTGTGACAAAGCGCATCAAATTCCATCCCGGTGGTCTTTAGTTATTTTAAGTTAAATAGATACAAGTGCTACCTATAACGAACGAACATTAATAAAATAAGGGAAATAATTTAGTTACTTCGACCCTACATAGAGGGCTCAGATATTATGGGAGGTGGTAAGGTGAAAGGATGCCCGCTTGTGTTAATCTGCCGCGCGAGAGTAAATCCAAAAATCCCCGCATGGGTTGGGGTTTTTTCAAACAGTCTGTTCGTAATAGTAAATTGTCTTCTATGTAAAACGGAGCAACAAACTTGTCCACTCTTCGAAGAAAACATGATTCCAGTTCATCCATACTAATTGACAAAACCGATAATCGTGTCCCAAGATCTAAAGTGTGTTAGATAAAAATCAATCAAATGACAGTGAGGGAGCGCACAATCACGAAGTAAGAACAGTCGACTATTTGCAACTGCAAGTCCTTCATCCCCCGTAAACTGTTTTAAGGTGGCTCATTGAGTGCAAGTGCAGGATGGTCGGCAGGCTTTGTCGTATATCTGGTTGTATAGTACGACATGACATATTATTATGGTTACTAATAATATAAAATGAAGGCACTATAAAGTGAATTTATTTAGCTACTAAAATTTTAAGTGTATTCACTTTACATGGGCATATTTAATATGCCCATGTGTCATATCTTTTGACTACCAGGATATTTTTTTACGGTGTCATAATAAAAAAGGCAGGTTTTTCATAGATCTATCGATTCATACTAATTACATTGTTGGCGGAGCTGGGTGTGTTTTGCCCATTGTCATTTTATACAATTTGCTTTGACATCAATTGAAATTTTTAAAAATACGTGAACTTTGTGTCCTACTGTGGGGTAAAATAAAATATTTGACAGTTTAACCAGTGTATTATAATGTCGATTAAGAAGTTTTTGCAGGTTTGTCTTTAATCACCCTCAGCCTATGTCAATTTTGTGCCATGCATGACCCACTACGCAGGTACTATTGCTGGGCGCTAACGACTGCAAATGCAGCCGGGACCAACGGCTTAAGAACTAGCTAGCTAGAGATTACAATTTTTGAAGTGAAAACTTCTTTAGCGGCGTTGTACACCTTTTTTGTATGGGTGAAAAATGTTAAACTCGCGTCAGATTAAACACGTGGGCTGATCGCATCATGACACACAATAAAATTGGAAAGGTAGTTGACTTTCAATATATTGGACAAAACATAGATTGTGAAGAAAATGCATTTTTTTTACAATAGATTTCGCTAGGTGCGCTTAAATGTGATTCATGTAAGTTGATTTCTTTACAGTAGATGTCGCTAAGTGCGCTTAAACGTGATTCATGTAAGTTGATTTTTCTGAGGGATAAACATTTTTAGTGTAAAATAAATTGTCATGTTTGTGTACGATAGCGCAATAAATAAATATTGTATTCCACCACATACATGATAGTACTTTTATATTGATAATTAAAGCAATTCGTGCAAAATATTTCCCTAACCATTCCAAAATATCAAAAATGCACAACGTTAATATTCAAGTTTTCACTTCTGCCGGCACTCCCTTTTTTTTGGTCACCCATCTAATGACACCATTGCAAAAGTTACATAACTTACACGATCGCAGGCCGAATGCGTTGACCATCTGCGCCATCGAAATCCTCGGTCTTGAATTGGGTAAGTCATCATTTTTTGAGACTGGTGGATTGGATGAATAGAGTATGTGTTTAATGTGTCGTTATAAATAAATGTGGAGGTTACTACCCAGACAGATCTCCTCTCTTACTTCGTTTATACCAATACATGATTCAACAAAATTTATACTGTGCTGTGCTGCGCTGTGTGAGGCTACGCTCTGTATAAAACCCAAGCAGTCTCGAGCGAGGCGCGCTACCCGCCGTGCTGTGCTGTTTATTATTGAGCTCTGCTATGCTGAGCTGTGTCGAGCTGTGCTAGGTTTTACAAACATAGAGCACGGTGTGTGGCCCTCCATCGCCCTCAGACGTCTCTCTTAGTCTCGTACTCCCATCTCGCTCGCACTACTGTATGCGCGCACAAACAAACAAGAACCATTTTTTTTACTGAGCTAAGCAAAGCGCAGTTGATTGTTAAAAAAACGTAGCTCAAGAAACACGCACAGCACAGCAAAGCGCGGTACAGCTTGATGTTGATTTAAACGAGGTGTTAGAAATTCATAAGATTAAAATGAAATTTTCCAGGTAAAAGTATTAAAATATTTATTTGTCTCGCTTAATGATAAAATATTACAGGTATTTTGAATACCTAAATTAATTTATACTGAATTTTTTTTGTACATTAAAGTTTCAGCAGCTCATACCAAATGTTCATAAATTCTCCACTAAGTAGCCTTACTTAAAAACTGGCCAATAAATATAAATCTGAGGTGACACTGACTGACAAGATTCAATGAGCGACACTTCACTCCGTAATCTATCAAAACAAGAGTAGGCAACTGAATACTATATATGGCAACACGGGGCTATAGAAACTCAGTGTTACCACATTTAGCGACCGGCTATCCACTTTGACAAAAAATGTTGACCATTGGCTCCTATCCATCATTGGACCCACTACCTAAGGTATTTGTTAGATAAAAAGAACAACACAAAAAAAGCAAACAAAATAGGATTAATTTTATTATCAACACATTTTCAATGTCATCTGTCACATTGAAATACTTTAAACATTTATCAAAAAAAAATTAACAACATAAAAGGAGCTTGTCGCAGAGTTGTTTGATTTTTATACATTGTTTGATAATATTTTTGTATTTTCGCTTACAAATAACGAAAAGAGCAAATGAAGAGCGGCGAACAAAACCGTACAATTACATAAAATTAAATTTCACAGGAGCTGTATAAAACTGAATGACATACCTACAGTGAGCTTTTGGCATGGTTTTTAATTTATAAATTTAGTAATTTTAGCACTGTTTTAAACGGTTTTGATTGAAAATTATTTGAGATTCAGATTCGACAGGCCCAAAACCTCTGGACTGTTAAAGAAAAGTAGTTTGACCAGATATGTAATTATAACGTTTTGTTTGCCAGCTCCTCATAAATAATATGTATCGATCACATTTACATCATAGCATTAGTAACTCATATAGATTAGTAAAAAACATATGTGAAAAAATCATAGTATCATTTCCTATAATATAGGAAAATTGACTTAAAAGCTAATGATTCTTAAGACATTGTAGTCGATTCCGGCATGATTCTCTAAACCTAAAACTAAATTTGCCAGAATCGAGACCATTGCCTACTTAAAGCAATCATGGAATCAAGAACTTAAAATTATCAAATCATTGGTATATTACTCCTGCAAACTTCTTGAGCGTCAACTACATACAAGGAAGTCTGTGCAGCAGCAGTCCAGGAGACGATAAGTAGACTTATCAAGTCTACTTGGTTGAAGTGAGTACTTATTGTTTACTGCGTTCGTTTGACGTCAAGCGAAGATGGTAAATGATCAATATTCAATCAAATAGACTCGATTGTCTCCAGGATGCATTACATACATAAACATCTACTAGGCAAGTTTTAGCTGTGGTTTCACTCAAGAAGTTGGCTACTACCTATAGCACCGTTAGTTCTTATCAATTTATATTAATAAGAGATTACTTTTAATTTACAATACGGTCATAATTGAAATAATAAACTAGGCTCTTCCGGGCCACTTTCAATAAGAGGTTTCCAGTAAATGGTATAATCTGTGTCTGTTTCGTAGCAAATAGAGGTTAATTACTGAAACTGGACGTAACTGGTGCAGTCATTTAATTCAGTCATCCCAACTCTCATGGTTAGGATCTGTTTCTGGTAGGTATTCCTTCTGGAGTATTGGTTTGGGTGTGGTCAGCGCAGCTCTGACTTTATTGAGCTCAATTTCTGAGAATACGAACGCTTTTGATGGGCAACTGCCCAAATGAACCTTCATTTCAGCCTCAGGGAGTCGGTGAGTGGCGTTGTACGGGCAGATTTGAAGTTGTGGGTGGTTCTTCTGACATTTCACAATGTGAGCTTGCAGACGAGATCGAGGCACGCGGTGAGCCGCTTCGTAAGGGCAAGACACGAACGGATCGTCCATTGTACAGTTTGTAATCTGATAACGAAATTTATTTTATGGTTAATAGGTTTTGTAGCAAAGAAGTTTTTAAAACACAAGTAAGATCATCTATGAAAGTAGTAAGATTTATGTTAGCAACTGAGAAAATTGTAAGCATATATCGAAATAAACTAAAACTTACTGCCGGTTTTCGAAAATTTTCGACGAAAACACGATAGGTACACACACCGGCAGGAGATTCAGGACAATGGACAAAGCTCTCGTAGAGAGTATATTGTTCTGTGGGACAAAGATTCAGAATAAAAAAACTCCAAAAAAAAACCAAACAAACTAGCAGTGTGACCAGAATAAATATTACGAAACTACCGAACTTTTAAAAAAATACTGAAATATATCGATTTGCACCATATATAAAGAAAAAAATAATTATTTTCAAAACATGTATTATATATTCACCAACACATTTTCTGTTTATATAGTCGTCGCTTACATGGTATAACGGGGATACCATACCATGTAAAGTACATCGACTAAAATGCTTTGATATTTGTTAAAAAGTCCATCCATCCATCAGCCTTTCTCCGTCCACTGCTGGACATAGGCCTCCCCCATGGAACGCCACAATGCGCGGTCCTGCGCTATCCGCATCCAGCGGCTCCCAGCACATTTGACGATGTCGTCAGTCCACCTCGTTGGGGGGCGCCCCACGCTGCGTCGTCCGGTACGTGGTCGCCACTCGAGGACCTTTCTTATCCAACGGTTGTCAGATCCTCGAGCGATGTGGCCTGCCCATTGTCATTTCAGCGTGCTAACTCTTCGGGCTATGTCGTACACACCGGTCCTTCTACCGATCTCCGTATTTCGGATCTTATCACGTAGGGAGACACCGAGCATAGCCCTCTCCATAGCACGTTGCGCGACTCTGAGTTTTGTTATGAGGCCGACATTCAGAGACCACGTCTCAGTCCCATAAGTTATCACTGGTAACACACACTGGTCATAGACCCTTCTTTTCAGGCACTGGGGAATTTTGGCCGTGAGGATGGCCTAAGCTTCCCGAACGCTGCCCATCCGAGTAGGATCGTCGGTTGACCTCCTTCTCGAAGTTGGATTTGCCAACTGGACTGTTTGTCCTAGGTAGACGTAATGATCGACAACTTCGAGAATCGCATTCCCAACAGATACTGGTGCTGGAGTGACATGGACATTGAACATGTCCTTGGTTTTATCCATGTTCATCCTTAAACCAACCCGTTGGGAAACTCTGCTGAGGTCATTGAGCATTGTGCCAAGGTTCTCCAGGAATTCTGCCATAACCACGATATCGTCTGCAAATCGAAGGTGAGTGATGTATTCGCCGTTGATGTTGATGCCGAGTCCGGTCCAATCCAGAAGCTTGAAGACGTCTTCCAATGCAGCGGTGAACAGTTTCGGGGAAATTACGTCCCCCTGTCTGACACCCTTCTGCAATGGAATCGGTTTCGTACTTCTCTCCTGGATTCGGACTGACATAGTGACGTTTCTATACAAACACTTCAACACTTCGATATATCGATAGTCAATTTGGCACCGCTGGAGGGACTGCAGCACCGCCCAAGTCTCGACCGAATCGAAGGCCTTCTCATAGTCCACATACGCTAGACACAGAGGCCGATGAGACTCCTCGGTCTTCTGTATGATCTGACGCAGCGTATGTATGTGGTCCATGGTACTAAAGCCCTTTCGGAAACCGGCTTGTTCGGGAGGCTGGAAGTCGTCGAACCTACGCGATAGTCGATTTGTAATGACTCTCGAAAACAACTTATAGACGTGGCTCAAGGGCGAGATAGGTCGATAGTTCTTCAAGCGGGTTTTATCGCCTTTCTTGTAGAACAACACTACCACGCTCCTGGTCCACGCCTCTGGAACAATGCTCCCGAGGATGACAGAGTTGAATAGCTTCTGAAGGGCCACGAGCCAGCCATATTCCAGCTCGGCAATCCTCTCGTCAGTCCTGAGCGTGCGAATATTGTGTGTTACCAGGGCCAGAGTCTGTTTTATTTGGTGGCCGGATCTCGACCGGAGATTCTTAGCACCCCGTACCCCGCCGTTACTAGGCCCGCCACCGTGAGCCGTAATAGCGGGGTCGCCGTGACTCGGGGCCGTTGTGTTTACGTCTTTGTTCATTTGGGGGGTTTTTGCCATAATCGCCACGCTTGGCAGACGGGTTGGCGATCGCAGTAGATGTAATGTTACTCAGGAGAACGCTGCTGCCCGTTCTCCTGGTGATCCCTTAGTCGCCTTTTACGACATCCACGGGAAGAGATGGGGAGGTGCAATATTCTATGCCGGCACCCCACGGCCAAAAAGTATTACTGTATAATTGTATAATTTTCATACATTTCATATAGATAAAAACTAGGATAGCACATCCTAGATTTTATCTTATCATCATCTACGTTGTTTTATTTTTTACACCTGCCTAATACTTTGCTGGAATTAAAATATCCTACTCAACTTTTTCTAGTTAAATAAGAATAATATACATTACTATAGATTCCCTTATTTGTTAGCGTAAATGGCTTACAAAATATGTCATTTATACAAAATCGACAATCTTGGTCCCAATGTACACCCGGATTGTAAGAATGGAACGTGACGTTTGACGTGTCGTCGTCCGTGCGTAGGGATGTACGTATTTTTTCCAAGTCGATATATATGTATATCGATAATCATATCTTAGGAATTGTCCTAATACAACGCGATAACGCGATCATCGCGCGTTTAAACGATGCGACCGTCGCGTGAACGCGAACTGGGTGTCCTAATAGAACGCGAATACGGAACGGGTTAGCCCTGCCCCTCTCCCCGCTTCCTATCGACTCGACGCGATCATCGCGCGAACTTCAGTTAGGACACCTATTCATCATTAATAGGTTTGATTGCGCGTTCGCGCGAACTAAGATCGCGCGAATAGATTTTTAAACATTAAAGTCGCGCGAATGCATCGCGCGATCTCCTATTAGGATACCTATTCTAGATCAATATGTTTGATCGTCGACTCGTACGATGATCGCATCGCTCATTCGCGTTATCGCGTTGTATTAGGACAATGCCTTAGATATGACAATCATTTTATTAACATCTAATTTATTGCCATTGTGTAACGTAATATTTATTGATATTTTCAATATCTTTGGAGCCTTCTAATAAAAAGGGATTTTTTGTATGTAGGTATACATAATCTTTATTAAGATGAAACTTTTATTACATCGTGACATTTTTTTCCTTCAAATTCGGACTTATCAACAAGCATCGGTGGTGCAGTATTAGGGGTGAAAGTTCACCTACTACGCGGGTAGCCCACGTTCGACTTCCAGCAGAGGAAAGACTTTTTTTATTTTCCTTTTATAAACCGAAGTAACATCAATTTAGAAAAAAATTGCAGAAAATTTTCTGTTAAATGCCTACGACCTGAGAAAGATTTGAGCCGATGTAAACATTAAAACATTTTGAAAGTTTCATTTGCATTGTGATTATTTTTGTGCTTAAAATGATTATTTTGTCAAAAAGATTGAAGAAACAGTTTTCATGCAACGCAGATGAAACTAGATATTGCGTCTATAACCCAGTAAAAAGAGTCCATAGTCAACAAGTGATAATAAGAAAAACTAAGGATGATAAAAAGAGCTTTTAATAAATCAAATGGAATAACTGACTGTGGACTCATCAAGGTTTGAAGCTAGTTACAATAACGAATTCTTCAAAATATCGATATTTTACTGTCGATATACATCGGTTTCTCAAACAAAATAAATATCATTACAACCCTAGACGTGCTACCGGCTAGCGACGACTCAAACTCAACCAAAATTCTTCGCCACTATACAAAAGAATACTACAATTAGACTTAATTTATAATACTTCACATAAACTTATTGATATGAATTCAGTAAAACGTAAGGATACAATGGAAAGTATGTATTCTTTAGTGCTAAAATTGTCCACATTTGAAACTTTGGAAACTGAAATCTAAAGTTGAAACTATAAATTATTTCAGATAGCCAAACAGCGAAACGAATAAAAAAGGAATGTAGTTACGGAGACGGTTGTTATAGACGGAATCCTGCACATTTTAGAGAATTTAGCCATACCCACTGTAAGTAAAATAGAAAACATTTACCCTGTAATTTTCTTGCGGGGGTTTCAATTCAATTCATTTATTGCAGACCTTAGTGGAGATACAAAGGTGGTAATATTAACAGATAAAAAGTGCATTATGGACCCTGTAGTGTCCCTACACTACAGGTCCCTTATGTTTGAATGTGTCTGGCTTTAAACTGGGACAGTGAAGTTATTTCTTTTGTAAATCTAGTATTTTTCGTTCATAATTGAGTGTTGTTAAGCAACAAGCGACCAGGGTGCATTTTTGTATGTAAAGTTTGATTCTATTTCATCCCAAAAAATACCAATCAGGTTACTTTCTGCTTTCACAATGATGTCCACAGAACTCATATGCTAGCATCAAAAATGCCAGCTGGTCGCTTTCTGCTTAACATTGTTTAAAAAAAAACTTTTCTATGGACAATATGGCGTCTTACTAGTATGTGAAGTCACACAACTGTTATTAAAACGTGAAATGATACAATGTAATGTCACTTTAACAGGAAGTTTACTTGCGTCATTTTAGGTCATTTTAGGCTCCGCCAATCCCAAGTGTTTTGGGTCATGTGACAATAGATAAGAAAACTATTATCTTTTTCGTGGGTTTTTAGTAAAATTATGATTTTTTTTTGTAAAAATAGTAAAAACCAGATGCTAACAATTGGTACTTTATTTTTAATACTGTCAAATACCCTATTGCTTAAGTAACTTTTATATAATATTTACATTACAGTAGAAGACATATTGGACAATTATGACGGTGAAGGAACTTTCCCAATTCCTGAAAAGTATAATCTTCAAAAGCAAATGTTCAGAGAGCAGTTACAAGTCATCATTGAAAAGAAACTTTACGAGCCTAAAGTTAAAGTTGGAAGTAGCAGTGAAACTAGGTGACTTATTTTTTATTTCTTTAAAGGTGATTTAATATTAAATTAATGTTTTATTATAGAGCCAAGCATATCAATAAGATAATAATAATAATAGCTTTCAAACAGTTATGCAAGACCCATTAAGGCTTTTCTTTGGTCACAAGGAAAAATGAGATTATTTTAAACATATTTTATTTATTCCATAGACAGTCAAAGGACTGCACAAAACTTTATCTTGTAAAGTAAAAAACCAATCTGTAAAGGGCCATTAATTTATTTATTTATGAGGGGATTTGAAGGTCCCATTTTTAGGTTTTTCGCATATATCTCGAAAACTATGCATCCTAGCGACATAAAACTTTAACAAAAGTGAAAGCTGATTAAATTTGCTACAAGTCTTATTCAGTCAAGTTTTCCATTTCCACGGCAATGGACACATGTAACCCGCACTGTGTCTTATGAATAAAAAAAATATTACTTTGTAAACTGAACACTGAAACAAACCAAATGTGTATTCACTTTTTCCTTTAGATTGTTACGCAATAACTATTAAACAGGGGGCAGGGGAGAGGCCTTTTCTTATTTTTTTTATAATAAGGGGAGGGGATCAAAATTTAGCAAAATTAGTCTTATGTAATAAATGAATGGCCCCAAATAGAAGGGATCATGCTGCATAGTTGCACTATTGACTAGACATTTTGTGGGAGCACTTTGTTCCTTACACACTATATAATGCGATTCAAATAAGAATAGGAAAGCCAATGACCTCCATCTGTCAAATTAATGTCGCATGAAAAGTACGGTTTGCAAAAAAACACTTTTTTAGCACTCGGCTAATTCTAGATTAAAAACCTAACATTTTTAGTTATAATTTTTATTATTTTTAAAGCATGTAACTGCTTGATGTTTAAATCTAAAGAAAATATAACTAAACTAACTAACTAATGTATATTTTCTTTAGATCTAACATTTTTAAACAAAAAATAACAAATATTGATAGTTAATATTGGTCTATATTTTTTTTTCATTTATTGAGCTTTGGCTATGGATGGTTGATAACCTAAATCGTCAACCAAATGTCACTTTATGTTGCATTCAGAAACTCGATTTAAAACTTTCGCATACTTAAAAGATGCATGTTCATATGTGACTTGTATAACTACTCCGGTGGTTATGCAGAGATGAGCGGAATTGAAGAGCAAGATAATTAATTTTATTAAAAAATCTGATGTTTTTTCTCACTTAATCTTAGTAAATAAGTTTTATTAAATAGAAACTTTTTTTAGCTCACCCTACCTATTTGGTTTGAATTGACATCTATGACGTCAAAATATGGCGGCCAGTCGGTCCTATTCGTAGTTCATAGTTTATAATTTTCACCCATTTTAGTTTGTTTGAGTTTTCATTATAATTACAAAATAATTATTCTATTCCTACATCATTTATATTTATATTCCAGTATTTGTACAGAATCAACAATCGAGCATACCGCCCAATCTAATACTGAAGATACATCTATGAAGAGTAAAAATACAGCGAGCTTTACAAATATGATCGACAAAGATAACAATCCTATGAGTGGTTCAGAAAGTTCGAGAATTACAATATTGTCTCAAGAATGTTCTAGAAGTGGTAATGATGGCACATCTAATGATGAATCGCAAGTTAAAGAGAGGGATAAAAATAAATTACCGACAACTAGTACAGATGATTATGTGAATAGACCTAAAGGTGAGTATTAGACGGAAACTCTGCAGTATTAAAAACTGTAGATTTAATATCTATACTTATAATAAATCTGTACAGATGTCAATTCTGTACATGAAATATATTTTTAAAATAACTATCAGGGGGTGATTAGTGATCGCTACTGATGCCAAAAATGCAATCAGTAAGATTTTTGTCTGTCTGTCTGTGTGTATGTTCCTTATAGAAACAAAAACTACTCGACGGATTTTAACGAAACTTGGTACTCCTGGGTAGGTTATAGTATACTTTTCATCACGCTACAATCAATAGGAGCAGAGTAGTGAAGGAAAATGTTGGGAAAACGGGAGAAGTTACTCCATTTTTTAAGCTTCAGTCGCGTGTGCAGCCTTAATGGTTAAAGTTACATAGAAATCATGTATGACCGAAATATTCTACATAAAATTGTCTAAAAAATATCCTGCAACAGCATATGTTTGTCTTTTATGGTTGACTTCCAATAACACGTGTAATTATATAAATAAAGTCATTGTTTATAACACAAGCCTGAGAACAAAAACTATAGTTTACACTACAGCTCTACACCGAAGCGAAGCGAGGGCAGGCCACTAGTCATGCATAAAAGAGGAAGGTCTCTCTGGTAGGGCTGCTATCCGTCCGGGTTTCCCCAGATTTGTCCTAGTGTACGGGGCGTCCGGGGAACGTCCGGGCGGGGTTTTATTTGTAGTCCGGGTTTAAAAATTTACGGCAACAATGAGTGGCCCTTGGTGCTGCAAGTGTCCATGGGCAGCAGTGACCACTTATTATGAGGTAGACCGCTAGCTGTTTTGCCTACATCAACATAAAAAAGTTGATTTGTGATATTTTTTATTGGTCTGTCCGGGTTCTAGGCTCCAAAATCCGGGGTTATCACGCGTCTTATCCTGGTTGCCACATTTTAGAGATGGCAGCCCTAGTCTGGGGAAGTAATCTCTACCTTACAGAAGAACACAGAAATAACACTACCTTTTGGTGGTGTTGGTTTCTGTGGGTGAGTAAGGTACCAGGGCTCTGTGGGGAAAGGGGAAGGGATTGCAATCCGTTGTCATTTTCAGTCCGGCCGGATTGATCAAATCAGGATGATTTACGGTTTTTCGTACAAAATAAGTAAGTTAATCAAGTTTCACTGCACTTATATGTACGTAGTTTATAAATATAAATCACAAATACACACATCAAAAGTGTCTAGGGATCAAGCATTTTTATGCGGATTTCTTGAGATTGAGATGTGGCTTTGTAATAAATTTATGATTTTATAAATTTATATGGATCCTTTTTGGTGCATTTCATAATTTGAATCAGGAACTGTGAATCAAATTCGAGTAAAAGATGAAAATCAGCTGTCAATATTTTCCCTATAAAAACATACAACGCAATAAAGACATTATTAGTGCTACTGTTTCCCTACTACTGATTAAAACCAACGTTATTATGGAGCGGCGACGTCATTTAAGCAGGGAAGAAATGCTCAGAGCCGTGGGAATGATAGAAGCTGGTTCCCGGCAACGTACTGTGGCTTTAGCTCTGAATACAAGTCAGAGTGTTATCAGTCGACTTTGGACACGATACCGAAGCACGACCAAACAGTCAGAAACCGCTTGCATGAAGTGAACCTTCATTCCCGAAGACCGCTACGGGTACCACCTATAGCAATGCACAATCGTAGGATTCGATATCAATGGGCTCTTGAACACAGAAATTGGGCAGAAGAACAATGGCGTTTCGTGTGCTTTTCTGATGAGTCTCGTTTTGGTATGAGACCGGATACAAGACGTATACGACACTGGAGAACCCCTGGACGCCAACAGCGATTAAAATCCTGCCAGGAAGTCCATCCTTATAGTGGTGGAACCATCATGGTATGGGCGGGTATTTGGATCGGCGGAAGAACTGAGTTGATTTGGATCAGAGGCAACCTCAACGCTCAAATTTATGCTGAGACGATTGTATCAGACGTCATCGTTCCTCTACAAGTGCAAATCGGTCCCTTATTTCAGTTAATGCATGATAATGCACGACCGCACACCGCAAGAGTTGTAAGACAGACTCTCGCCGCAGCTAACATCAATGTCCTGCCCTGGCCTGCTCAGTCGCCAGACTTGAACCCGATTGAGCATGCATGGGATATGCTACAGAGAAGAGCTCTGCCGAATATGGAGGGTATCCAGTCGCAAGAAGACCTTTTTTTGTTGTTGCAACGAACATGGGCGGCCATTCCACAGCGTGATTTGGATGAACTCATTTTGAGTATGCCAAACCGATGTTCTTGTGTTGTTAGTGTTCGCGGTAGAAATACGGATTATTAATTGTTTAAGTTACCCAATAAAATTTTAGAGAAAACTGTTATTTCAGTCTTTTTTTCGAACTTTTGTGTTAGTGGTTCAAATGTCAAAAATCCCTTTATTAGGAAAATGGCAAATTTCTTTATTAATGCAAAGGTGACTTGGTTTATCGTTACTGTGACAAACGAAAACACTTTATTTGATGAATCCTTAAAGAAAATTTTAATTAATATCAATCAGGAGAAAAGTTATTGCAAAAATATATGTTGATCCCTAGACACTTTTGATGTGTGTATATAGAAACGACTTTTTTCCTAACCAATGTGTGGGTGGTGCATGACAAATAGACAACAAGAAAACAATTAAAATTTGGTAGTGTAAGAGTAATTAGTAATAATTTTACGGCGTAACGAGTAGCTCAGTCTTTCTAGATTTCACTTTCACAGGTAGATCAATTTATGAGTAGCAATATTAATTATCAAGTAACTATAATATCTAACAGATACAATTAACCTTACGTAATTAACTGAAATGAGATCTAAATCATTAATAAAGTATTTAAGAATGCAAAAAAACAAGTCTTATAGGTATTTAAGACACCATGATTTGATGAATCTGACGAACGAATGAATGGCAATAATTATCACAATAATGAGTTTAGAACTCTTTAGCTTAATCAACTTACGATAACTTTTAATTAATAATTGTAAGAAAATAAAAAAAAGTATTAAAAGAAAATCAATATTGATTTTGAAAAAAAGATTGTAGAAAACAAATATTGTTAATTGCGTCATCAGCTAAACGACTTCTAATAGAGGTGCATATTATAGCCTGCGGCCGAAAAGGCCCTTTCAGCTTCAGAAGCGTTTTTGGTTGAGTCCCTGTGTAATCGTCTTAAACGGGTTTCACTGTAGTATTTGATCCCCTAATATAGTAGGATACCATATTATATAGTAGGGTTGGCAACCCTACGTGGGACTGACCTGACCCCCTTTCTAGGGATTGCAATCCGGTCTTCGGATCCGGTATATTGGTACCGGATCCGGTAAACGTCAAATGATGCCGGATCCGCCGGATTACCGGATCCGTTTTTCCGGATTGCAATCCCTAGAAAGGGGGTCAGGTCAGTCCCACGTAGGGTTGCCAACCCTACTATATAATATGGTATCCTACTATATTAGAGGATCAAATACTACAGTGAAACCCGTTTAAGACGATTACACAGGGACTCAACCAAAAACGCTTCTTAAGCGGGAAAGCGTATTATGCGGTATTGAGGTATTAAATGTACAATATTTAAGAATTATGTTTGTCATAAAAAATGTAGTGTATTTATTGTTACGTTATTTAAATTAATCACTTATTTTAGTTTGTCAAAAGATTTTGAAGCATTAGCAATTACAAGATTTTCAACATAATTTGACTTTTGCATTACGTCTTCGCTTTGATTCAAAGAAGTTACATAGCGTGTTAAATTATTAACTGCTGATAATGCCTGGGCGAGTGACAAAATCAGAGTTTACTCATCTTCTTCTTGATCATTATCACTTAGGGCAGGGTAGGCGAACCAATGGCACGCGTGCCACTGATGGCACGCGACACAATATTTTGGGCACGTCGCCAATCATAAAACATGTGTAAAAAATGATTTAAGTAGGTATTTTATGACGATCGAACGCGAGTGATCCTACGCTACGAAGTAACTGTTTGAAGAAGTTAGCACATGCTATTTTAACAATGTTTTCATCTACCTATACCTGCGAGTCATTGTTTTCAGAGATGAATAACATTAAAAACTCGTTTAGAAACCGTTTGACAGATGAATCCAGTTCAGCATGCATTTTGCTAAAAGTAGCATCTTACAACCCTAACATAAATTATTTGTTATCAAACCTGCAGCAACAGAAGTCACACTAATTTTACAGTAATCTAATTTATGCGTGTAATAAAAACATTCCAGAATGTGTCTCTTTGGTTTACTTTATTTCATAAAGATTTCTGATAGTATTTATATTATTATCTTCTAAATAATCATAAAGTCAAAATTATTTGATGGCATGCCAAAGACCCAATTAAAGATTTTTTAGAAAAAATGGCACTTTGATTCATAAAGGTTCGCCTACCCTGACTTAGGGCCTCTTCTTGTGTGTTATTCACATTCTCATTGAATTTTATGCTGCCGCAAGAGGTGATGTGTGGTACGTGTTGGCGATTTAGGCGTATTAAACGAGATGACGAATCGTATTAAGCGTTAAGAAATGTATGAACAAATGTATCAAGTTGCAGGGACCGACGCAAAATGGCGTATTATTATGCGAGAAATCGTTCTAAGCGTGATCGTATTAAACGGGTTCCACTGTATATTTCTAAAAAAGAAAAATAGGCGAAACTACTATATTTTGCTTAAAGCAGATTTTTGCCAGTAAAAGCGTTCTTAGAAATAAATAAAAAATATGGGTGCGTGTACTTATGTAGGCGCGTGAGAAGTTATCCTTCTTTCGCATCGTTTAAAATTAGTTTTTAATTGCATGCAAATAATTAATTACAATAAATTAATAAAAAGTCTGGAAAAGGACACAGTCAATAAAGTTCAGTTTTAATTTGAAAAATTAAATAAATAATCAAAATATTCAATTAAAATTGCTACTGAATATAATTTATTAGACCATATGTGATTTACACTTGTATGAAACTCAAACACGTATTCCGAATATACAAACTAGAAACATGTGGATAAATATTATAAATATGAATACCTATAACTGTTACTTTATTACAAAAAATAAAGATGTGGTTTTTGGTTCTACTACACCAATGGTCAAGAGATGGCGCTGTAGTCTCCTGAATCGCGCTTTGGTTCCGTTGTTCCAGATTAATAAATACTTTTGATATTATAAATATGAATACCTATAATTGTTACTTTATTACAAGAAATAAAGATGTGGTTTTTGGTTCTACTACACCAATGGTCAAGAGATGGCGCTGTAGCCTCCTGAATCGCGCTTTGGTTCCGTTGTTCCAGATTAATAAATACTTTTGATAGGCCTTCACAATGCAGTCGTTAGCACCCACTAAATAGAGATTCTATTTCTATTTTGTTGGTAGATTTTCTTAATGTGCGGTAAACATAAAAGTAAATAATAGTATATATATATAATAGTAGTAATAAATTTTGTGTTACAGTGATGCGCGCGCATCTTAAAATTTCACTCTCATCATTTTTTCATAACGCGCCTACAGAAATATAACTTCAAAAATATTAAGACATAGAACAGAAAAAAGGTATTAATTTAAAAAGAAAGCAGATATTTTAACCACTAACTATTTTTTTTCCATTTTTCTGCTATCTACTATATTTTTAGAGGTAACAGCTTCGAAAATACTATATTTGAAAGAAAAAAAGTTGGTAGAGTCTGTGCGGAAATAGAATGGGCGTGGCGAAAAACGGAACTAACATTAAGATTTTTATTTGGCAATCAAACCCAGCAATCTGTAAAATGTCAAAGTTTTGTATTGATACGGATTTGTTTGTTGTTGTGATTTCTTGCGGTTTTTTGTATTTAATCATGTCTAAAAGGGGTAAAACCTTACAAATACTATAGAAAAGCACTACAACGCCCTCCAATCTAAATCCCATTCTCTTTCCGCACAGACTCTAACGCTAGTCTCACGCCACACAAGCGCCTCTACCGGCAGATTCGTACGCGATTCCCTCATTGGGCTATATAAGGCACTGGGCTGACTACTAAAAAAATTTAAAGAACTTATCGCCTGTTTGGTCACAACCTCGTACGAACTATTAGGACATCACTGATCATCGTACGATTATTTTCATCGAATCGTGTCATCGTACGATCGTGGCCAATGAGGACGGCGCCTTATATTATATTGTTTTAAACTTTCATGGTCACTAACATTATAGCTATTACCTTGTTGGATTGTTACCATATACCTTGTTTTTTATGAGTCTCCGATATTTTTGGCACTGTTGCAAACGCCATGATCACGGAGTAACTGAAGTAATTGCGGGTAGATGTTATTGGCAGACATATCGGTCGACCCTTTGACGTCGTCTTTTACTGCGTTCGATACCAATAAAACAAGGTACATCGTAACTATCTCGTTAATATCTATGACGCCTTATATTATTCTTACTTTTATCATAGACTCGGAATATCGACCAATAGTACAACCAAAGAGAAGGGCGGAAGAGTACTTGAAAGTGGTCCTCCCACGAGGCAAGATGGCCGCCAAGCACTTAGCCAGCGCCCCCTATCACATATTCTATACAACCATCGCGGATGCGAGAGAGACCCACGATCAGCCTTACAGTATCACATTTTTAGGTGAGTCACTCGCATATCTGTACCCCTAGCACTAACCATTATCGAATAGGGTATTTGACAGTGTTAAAAATAAAGTGCCAATTGTTGGCACCTGTGTCTAGAATGAATATTGGCAGGGGTTTTTACTGTTTTTATAAAAAAAAATATTCATAATTTTACTAAAAACTAACGAAAAAGATAATAGTTTTCTTATCTATTGTCACGTGACTCAAAACGCTTGTGATTGGTGGAGTCTAAAATGACGTCACACGCAAGTAAACTTCGGATTACAGTGACATTACATTGTATCGTTTGACGTTTTAATAACAGTCGTCTGACGTCACACACTAGTAAGACGCCATATCGCCCAGAGAAACGTTTTCGCGGCAACTTGAAAATGGCGTTTTTTATTTGGTTATTTTGATTGAAATAATCATCAGAATGATGAATATCCACTTTTTACGGACTCCATAAACAGTGATCAATAACGTGAGATCGATTGCTAAAACTTGTCTAATACCCTATTCGAATAGTTTGCAAACCAAAATGTCAATGTCAAATTTTGTATGGAAACTTGAACAGCAGCGGCACAAAGTACGTAACGAGAACTAAAATCAGTACACATTTGACAATGACATTTCGGACTCGCAAACGTTACGAATTCGATTTTGGTTCGTGCTAACGGTACTGTTCTCCTTACTACATGCTAACCAATATTAAAATTTTAAAAAAATTGTATGTTTGCTTGTTTGTGTGTTTGTTATTCAACTAACGCAAAAACTACTTAACGGATTTGGATGAAATTTGTTACGCCTATAGTTTGTGACCTGTATTGAGACATAGGATACTTTAGGCGACTGCCCAGTCGCTAATTCCTTATAAAGCATGATAGTCAAAAGTCAAAAGGTTCCCAAACTTATTTTGTCTACTGCCCACTTTGAGAATAAATAATTTTTAGCGCTCCCATTGTTTCACCTACTTAAAAACCACTATAACTTCAAATTAAATTAACTATTGTGAGCTATATAAGCGGAGATTAAACATTAATTCTAAACGATACTTTTACTATAACACGCAAGAGTTAATTTGAGACCTGAGTACAGAATGTAGTACACAACACTCCTATTTTTTACCGCCCCCTTTTAGGCCTGCAGCCTGCTCTTAGCGCCCCCTTTAGGCCTGCAGCTTGCTCTTAGCGCCCCCTTTAGGCCTGCAGTCTGCTCTTAGCGCCCCCTTTAGGCCTGCAGCCTGCTCTTAGCGCCCCCTTTAGGCCTGCAGCGTGCTCTTAGCGCCCCCTTTAGGCCTGCAGCCTGCTCTTAGCGCCCCCTTTAGGCCTGCAGTCTGCTCTTAGCGCCCCCTTTAGGCCTGCAGCCTGCTCTTAGCGCCCCCTTTAGGCCTGCAGCGTGCTCTTACCGCCCCCTTTTAGGCCTGCAGTCTGCTCTTAGCGCCCCCTTTAGGCCTGCAGCCTGCTCTTAGCGCCCCCTTTAGGCCTGCAGCGTGCTCTTACCGCACCCTTTAGGTCTGCAGCCTCCTCTTACCACCCCCTTTTGGCCTGCAGCCTGCTCTTACATCCCCTTTAGGCTTGCAGCCTGCTCTTATAGCCCCCCTTACCGCCCCCTTTAGGTCTGCAGCCTCCTCTTACCACCTCCTAGGCCTGCAGCTTGCTCTTACCGCCCCCCCTTTAGGCCTGCAGCCTGCTTCATAGGATTTTTCCATGAACACCAGAAAAGAAGTTTAAATAATAAATAAATATTTCCAACACACACACACCAATTAGCCTAGCCCCAAAGAAAGCACTATAAGGCTTGTGTTATGGGATACTAGGGTAGCGGATAGAATACATAATTATACTGTACATATATTAGTATATTTATATAGAAATACATATTAAACATCCATGACTGGAGTACAATTGCACGTATTCATCACACAAACATCTGCCCCCACCGGGATTCGAACCCGGGTCCTCTCGAGTCGGCGACACCATGAAACCCGTCGTACAAACCACGCGGCCATGGAGGTCGTCAAGAAACCTGTGTAATGCTGTTAATATTACATTGAAGACTATTTTTTCCCAGAAATCCTAGACCACAGTCTCGGGGAGCTAAAGTGCTCTCTACAAATCAACTTTATGGTCGAGATCGGTTGGTTACTCGCACAGTACTATTTCGCCGGATACAGCGAGAAGAGGCTTACTATACTCTATGGCGAGGACATGGAGGATCTGAGGACCATAAACAAGAAGAAGCCTCACGTGCACGCGCACCACGTGTCTATGCCCACGCCTTTTGGGAAACATCATACGTGAGTGATGTTTTGATTGATAACTTTTATTTAGTGACTTCGTGTGTATGGGAGAATTGGGTTCCCATACAAATCTCTCCATTTTCACCCCCTGAAAAGGATGATTTCTGGATTAAAAACTCTTATGTCCTTTTCTGGAACTCAAACTTACGCTATACCGAGATGCATCGAAATCAGTACAGTGGTTTAAATCGTGTAGAGGTAAATGGAGAGACTTTCCCATATATAATATTATGGATAATCAATTGTAGGTTACTCACGAAAATTATTTGGTCTAAGTCGATTAGACAGACGGACGTCGTGAGTAGTGTTGCCAGGTCCAGGTAAATGAGGTCAAAAAAATCGGGATTTAGGGTTGCAGATCGCGACAGTAAACAAAAAACAAAGGGTTTTTAAGTCTGGGTTTTATTTATTGCGTTTTAAACTACTACCGCAAGTATCGTATTATATTAATGAGGGCTATCGCGTATGAATCCGCCGCTAGAGGCGCTAGTGTAGCGTGAGGTCTCCGAAATGTCAAATGTTATTGCTTGTTGGTTGACTACGCGGGTTTATTTCTAATTAAAATAATGTTGTGAATAATTGGTAACAATTCGGCTTAATTATGGCAAATATGAGTTATGTGGCAATGAATGTCAGTTATTAGAAAAATGATTATGTTCCCATTTTTTCCGAATAAAACGGAACTGGGTGTCACTGTGGCATGGCCTATTATGTTTAGGATATGGTTCTTTTGTGTTAAAATACGATCTAAATGTAACCTTTGATTTCATGTGCGTATTAATAAACTTTAAAAGTTACAATTTAGGACCTCACTCAACAGTGGCGCCATCTGGTGAGGCAGAAAACGGTAGCCCTCATTACCTAAATTTCACTTTTGATTAATCTGGACATGTAGCGTCCCAATCAGGTACAAATCGGGACGCGTCCCCAGACCCCTGAAAATCGGGACACCTGGCAACACTAGTCGTGAGTGACATCACTAAGAGGGGAGGCGGGCAATACTTTTTCCATGCTAACGTTCTCGACCGATTCCCTCTTGATTTTTATCACTCAAGAAATGATTTTCATACATAAAATATAATTTTACTCATTCTTTGCTCTCCAGCCTTACTTGCTACTTCAGTGTGGTGTTTTGGATTTCATCCTTCATCGTGTTCATTTTTTAAATACTTGTGGATCTCGCCGTCAGTTATTAGCCACGCAGCATTAGACAGGGACCGTAGTATAACGTTTTGCATTCGCTGGATAATTTAGATGTTTGAGTTACTTGCGCTTCCCCATAGTTGAATGCCATACGTCCAGACAGGAAACCTCGAATTTTTGCTAAATTCATTTTTCAATCATTCAAATTTTCCACGTAATTTTCAGCGTTATCTACTGTAGTCTCTATCGCACTGTCTTTGCCGATACGTGACAGCAATAGTTTTCTCAAATACCTACCTATTTCCCAAACGTCTCTCGCTCGCGTCCGCTCTTAAAGCTCCTTACAACCTTAGTGTATGAATCAAATAGCAAATTTAAAATATTTTCTTTCTCAATTAACACTATAAACGATAGAAAACAAAAACACAGCGTTCACCTTAAGTAATGACAGAAAAAAGCCATTGTATTCAATTACCACCAAAAAAAATACAAAAATATTCAAAAACAACTTCAATAAAAAAGTAAATTTAGTTCTCGTCTAGCTCAATAGATGGCGTTAGTAGTACACAAAACATTTATTAGATACATTGCTTTTTAAAGATTTTTAAAAGATTTTAACAAATAATTATTTATATTTTCTTTTCATAACCTATTAGTAATTGAAATAAAGCACAGACTCAGAAACGCGTCGCCTACAAATACAATGACGTCGATTCTGGCATGATTCTCTAAACTTAAAACTAAATTTAACATCGGTCTCTCTTTTTCATTCTGTATAGAGAATGAAAAGGATACACTATTGTCAAATTTAAGTTTAGGTTTAGGTTTAGAGAATGACACCAGTATGTAATCTTTGAATAAACAAAATAAAAATAATTGCGGTAATACTAACATGTTTTTGTTGATATGATTTTTCTAATCTTGTCCACTCTTAATCTATTTTAGGCAATAGGGTTGACGACGGGGTTTAATAAACGATAATTTATTTAGTCCGTCAGTAAGATTATCAAAAAATAATGGACAGACACTTATTTATTCTGAATCTACCTGATGTACGAATAAAAGTTAGTCGTCAAACTTATTCTTTGCCTGTGGATCTATTAATAACAAATCAATAATAATTAGCACGTAAAATAATTAATTTCTTTTTATGTACGAAAGGACAATATCTTAGATTTTTAGTATTATTTAATAAAAAAATATTGTATAGCATCATCAGAATCGATGGCTAAATGAGTGAAATTGCTATTTTTATTTAAACGAAACATCTCTCAGATTTTCTATCATTATCGAATTTTCATCTATATTTTACCTGCCTAATAAATACCACGAGACAATATTTTTAACATTTTTTTTTTTACATATATTTTGTTTCTGTCAAGCTTGGGCTGTTTATATATTGAAAACTAGCGGCTCGCCCTCGCTTCGCTTCGGTGTAGAGCTGAAGTGTAGACTACAGTTTTTGTTCTCAGGCTTGTATTATACACAATGACATTCATCTATGATTCTTCTTATACCTGCATGCAAAGTCTCAGCCCGATCGGTTTAAAATTGACAAAGTTTCGTACAAACTTTCATTCCCTATTTTATCCCCTTGGTGGTAGAATTGATCAAAATCCTTTCTTAGCGGATGTCTACGTCATAACATCTACCTGCATGCCAAATTTCAGTCCGATCCGTCCAGTGGTTTGGGCTGTGCGTTGATAGATCACTATGTCAGTCAGTCAGTCACCTTTGAGTTTTATATAATATAGATTAGCATTCTCCATACCAAATTTAATTTTGTCCACACAGTAAAATGATGATCCTTTGCTACGAGGACGGATCGCTGCGGGTCGTCGTTTCAACGGCCAATCTGTACGTAGACGACTGGGAGAACAGAACGCAAGGGTGAGTTCAATACACTTATACAATAAGGTATTAAACAAATTGAAAAAAAAATGAAATGTTTATGGAGTCCATAAAAAGTGTATATTCTTCATTCTCTTGTGTATTTCATATTTCAAGTTGCCACGAAAACTTTTCTCTGGACAATATGGCGTCTTACAGTGGTGCCATCTGGTGAGACAGAAAACGGTAGCCCTCATTATAGGAGTAGCTCTAGTTTTTAATTACACTGTTTATTGTATTGGATTAATAATGATGAAAATGATGCGAAACGTCAAGCTTTGGAAAAAAGTAATTAGCGTGTTTCATTTAATTTGTATTGTTCCCATAGTCTATGGTTCAGTCCAACGTGCCGGGAACTCCCCTCAGACGCGATGCCTCACGAGGGGGAATCCCCCACTATGTTCAAGCGTTCCTTATTACGCTACTTGAACCATTACCGCTTGCCGTCGCTGTCTTTCTACATGGAGCGTGTGAAGAGATGCGATTTCAGTCATATCAAGTGAGTAATCCCAAATTTATTGAATAACTAGCTGTCCCAGCGAACTTCGTACCGCCATAAAAAAATAGGGGTTGGTGGTAGAAGGGCGAAAATTTTGGGTTATATTTATTTTTGTATGATGTATCATAAAAAAATTAAAAAAAAAAACTAAAATTGAAAAAAACAAAATTAGGGGTGGATTACCCTTAACATTTAGGGGGATGAAAAATAGATGTTATCCGATTCTCAGACCTACTGAATATGCATATAAAATTTCACGAAAATCGATCGAGCCGTTTCGTAGGAGTTTAACCACAAACACCGCGACACGAGAATTTTATATATTAGAAGGTGAGAGTGACAAAAAAAATATAGTACAGAAGGTAATCTCATGTATGTACTTAACATAAAAAGTTCCCATGTTACCATGTCTATATAAAAGTTATGTAAAAAATGAAAATAATAAATTATTTTCAACTCATTTTGGATTTTCAAAATCCTAAGGTGAACATGATGATGATGATGAATGAAGTCGCGGGTGGCCTCGATATTAAATAAGACTTATTTCATTTTCATTACCAGAATCTCTTTGACATGTATGGTCTCCTGGTACTTTTTCCGGAATAATAATGATACATATATATATATATTAACTTGCCCAATTAAAAAACATATGTAATATTAGAATAAACAAAATGAAAATATCGTTAAAATTGTAGTTTCTAGGCCCAGGACCTGATACGTCACAATTTTTTCTCTATTTACAAGTTTTTTTGGCACTATGGCACATTTTAGTTTTCCGAAAACTCAAATGAGAACATTAAAGTCAAAACAAACCATAAGTGTATCATTCCTCAATGATAATGTAATAAAACCTATAAATTTCCACACTGCTGGGGCACAGGCCTTCCCTAAAGATGAAAGAGGGAGATTGGGCAATGACCCACCACGCGGGCCCAGTGCGGGTTGGTGGGTGCTAACGACTGCTGATGTAGCCAGGACCAACGGCTTAACGTGCCTTCCGAGGCACGGGGTAGTTCGAGGTAGTAAATTTTTGATCACCCATCCAATGACCGTCCACTGCGAAAGTTGCTTAACTTCAACGATCTCAGCTGAACGCTCTAACCATTTTCGCCAGCGAGCTGCTCAGATGTATCAAAATTGTAATACCACACTTATACTATTTAACATAAAACATTTTATCACAAGCAACAGCCAAGTTTGAGATATTTAAGGTATTCAGTATTGATCTAGCCAGTGGATATACAGAGAGAGAAAAATCTCCGTAGATCCGTAGCTTGAAATCATGATCTATAGAGATTCTAGCCAATGTATGTACTGAGAATGAACTATTTTTTTTGTCGAATCTTCTCACTTTGAAAGGCAACGAATAGTAAGTCCATACAGCCTTATTTTTTATATTAATATATCTTCTAAGCCGTTGTTTCGTTTTCTGTCCAGTGTGTTTCTAATACCATCAGTGCCGGGTTCTCACTTCGACATGGAATATGGAATGACTCGAGTGGGCTCGTTGTTGAGGCAGCACTGCTGTATTCCAACTGCTGAGAACAAGCAGTGGCCTTTATTGGCGCAGGCCAGTAGTATAGGCAGCTTCGGGAAAGAGCCTAAGGTAAGAAATGATTTTTTTTAACTGACTTTGCCATAAATGCTTTTTATTAATATTTATCAAAGAATTATAATATTCATCGACCAAATTTGCCCCAGCACACACAGACGAATGTCCTTCACTATTTTTTTTTTACTTTATTAGAAATTAATCTTACTAAACGGATATTGGTGTCGATTCTGGCGTGATTCTCTAAACTTAAAACTCCAAGCAGATCTCCAAGATTGATTTTGGTCTGCTCCCACCTGTTGTTTTTGAAGGTTCTAAAATTCCATTTAGCCTAAGCGTTAAAAATCTCGGCCTTCATATTGATAATACGCTAAGTTGGACGACGCAGATTGCCGAAGTCAGCCGAATCGTGTCTTTTTCGTTGCGTACCCTTAATCGTTACAGAAATTTTCTCCCCATTAAAACAAAGATCACTCTCGTTACGTCCCTTGTTCTACCTCTCATTGATTATGCCGATGTAGTGTATACCTATCGGAAACGTAATTAGGTCATGTCGCAATCCGCTATTTACGTAGATTGTTTTAGCAAGTAAGCAATATTATTAATTCAATTATTTTGTAATGTTTTATTGCACTCAATAAACGGACTTCAAACTATAAACTATGTTTCCTTAAATAACCAACGATAGGCTAATATTAGATGGCGACCCTTGCCATTCGAATCGTGTAATATACTTCCACCAAGAACTCAGTCAAAAGAAGACCAAACCTATTTCCAAAAATTCAGAATCCGTATTTTTCAAGAATACAAGATAAACTTCAAAGAGATACAGAAGAAACAGATAATGGGAAAATCGGCATCCAAAGAACAAGTTGTGATAGCTCAAAACGCAAATGGAGCAGCTTCGGCAACAGCATCCCAATACCAGAGCGAAAAATTGGCTATCCTAGAAATTTTGATCGGAACGACCGTCTGCATAATCCTGTTTGCTGCAAATTTATTCCACCATCTCACGAGCTGACCTCACTACCAGCGCAGTCTAAGAAGTTTAACAAGAGGAGTCCAGGATTCAGCCCGGCCAAAACGTCTGTCATCATCGGTCATCGGCAGCCAGTCATATCACCGTATCAGCACCACTGCAGCCAGCTCGCCTGCCCCAGTCCCTTGGAAGAATCTTAGTAAAAAGGTGTATCTTGAACAACCAAATTAAAAAGTATGTAATCATATAATTTTTTTTAACTATTTTTATTTTCAATTTATCGTTATGAAGCACGTACTTAATATTTTTATTGTTTTTAGTTTAGATAATTATGTCAGGTGTAGTATTTGAAATTCATGAACTACATAAATCATTAGTATATCTTAGAGATTATTTAGTTAAATTAGGACCTAAAGGAAGGCAACAGGACCTTGGTTTGAAAAAAGTTAAAGAGGCAAAAGTTTTGTATTCAAAGTTGGAGAGTATTTTGTCTGTGTTGCATTCTCAAATTGAAACTGAACAGATTTCTACTAGTGATATAACTTCCATCCATAAAATAATAAATGAAATTCATCAAATTTTTAATAAAATTATAGAGTTATCAATTTCTGAGCAGAAACAAAGTGAAACAGTCAAAATTAGTGATAATTGCGAGTTTGATTTAAAAACTGCCATAGCCTTATTGCCTGTAATGACGGGACAAGAGTCTGTTACTAATTCCCTTATAAATAGTATAGAATTGTACAGTAAGATGATCTCCGACAAATCTAAAAGTCAATTAATTGAATTTGTTTTAAAAACTCGACTTTCACCGAGCGCACAGTTACGGCTGAGTTCAACTTACGATACAATTGAAAATCTTTTAAATGACATGCGCAAACATCTTATTCAAAAAAAATCAGAAGTCGCTTTACAATGGAAGTTGCATCAGAGTAAACAAGGCAATCGATCTATCGAATCGTTTGGTTCAGAATTAGAAAATTTATTTGTCAACTTAACAATCGCTCAGTCTAGTGGTGATCCTAATTCATACAAAGTTTTAAAACCAATTAATGAGAGAATCGCTATCAAGCGCTTCGCAGATGGTTTGTATGACCGTAGACTTAGTACTATTATAGCATCGAGACAGTTCGAGACCTTGCCGGAAGCCATCAGAACTGCCATGGATGAGCAGTCCCTGTCTTCATCATTCGAGGTAATGAATGTCAGTCGTCGTAAAGCCTTTTATCGTGGTAGCAATTATTGTCATCGTAATAGTAATAACACTATGAGAGCACGCGGTAATTATTCAAATAATTACAATCGCTATAATACGAAACCCTTACCCAATACACCACGCGGCTCTTACAGCTCACCGCGCGGTGCAATATATCAACAAGGTCGTGCACGTGGATCATATAGCACAAGGTCACGTAGATCAGCTGCACCAATACGCCACACTATCGTTGAGGAGATGGCACCCGTAAAAAACGAGTTGCCCTCCACTAGTACTAATAATCAAAATGTTAATTATGACACGACAAGTGATTTTTTTCGTTAATTCAGATAATTTTATTTTTAATTTTAATAACAGTAGTACAGTAACTTTCCTTGTATGTAACGAGATAATAAATCTTTTAGTCGATAGTGGAGCAAGTCTCTGTGTACTAAGGTATGAATGGCTTAGTAAGTATCCTCAGTTATTAAAATACTTATGTTATGATAGAATAACTATTAAAGGAGTAAGTGGAAGATTAGAATCGGAAGGTTATATTTTTTTAAATTTAGTTTATAATGATATAGTATTTAGAGAAAAGTTTTACGTTTTTAAAAATATGTCTTGCTCAGCTAATGGTATTTTAGGAGATAATTTCTTAAAACGCTATAATGCGATAATAAATTATAAAAATAGTGTGTTACAATTAACTAACAATAACATGAATGTTTCTATTGAAATATCGTATAACGCTAGGTACAGACATTTGATTCCGCCGCGGTGCGAAGTAATAAGGTTTATTCCTACATCATTTTCTAGCGATTGCGTTGTTTTATCAAAAGAGATTCAGCAAGGAGTTTTCGTAGCTGGATTAATTGCGAAACCAAATAATGGTCGCATTCCCGTGAGAATATTAAATACTACAAGTAATGAAGTAGAATATGATTTTCAAAATATAACTATTTATGACTTGAATTATTTTGACGTATGTTGTATTTCGGAAGAACAGAATAGTGTGAGTAGAGTAAAATTATTGTTTGAGTTATTGAATTTGTAAAATATGAATCAGGAAGAAAGACGTAGTATCGAACATATTTGTGCGAAATACGCAGATGTTTTTCATCTTCCAGGAGATAAATTATCGACTACCAATGTTATGACTCATAGCATATCCTTAAAGGATAATGTCTCTCCTTGTTATATAAAGCCCTATAGAATACCTCATTCGCTAAAGCAAGAGGTACAAAGACAAATTGATGATATGTTAGCCAACGATATAATAGAGGAAACAATTTCGGAATGGTCCAGTCCAGTTCTTTTAGTTCCAAAAAAAACAGATAGGTCAAACGAAAAGAAATGGAGATTAGTTATTAATTATAGGCAACTTAATAACAGAATAAAAGATGATAAATTCCCTTTGCCAAATATAACCGATATTTTAGATTCCTTATCAGGTAGTATTTATTTTTCAAAACTAGACTTATCACAAAATTATTACCAATTATGCTTAGACGAAAACTCAAGAAAATATACTGCATTTAGTGTAGATAAAATGTACCAACTTGAATTGGACACAGAATCCCGAAAATATACAGCCTTTACAACTGATAAAATGTATCAGATGAAGCGTTCTCCTATGGGATTAAAAACATCTCCTAGTGTTTTCTCGCGATTAATGACAATTGCTATGTCAGGTATCAATTATAATCAAGCTTTTATTTATTTAGATGATTGCGTCGTTATTGGAAATTGCATAGATAATCACAATAAAAACCTAGTAACTGTATTAGAACGTTTACGAAAAGTCAATTTAAAATTAAATCCAATGAAATGCGAATTTTTACAAACCGAAATTATTTATTTAGGACACAAAATAACGTCGCAAGGTATTTTTCCCGACGATAGCAAAATAGAGACATTGCGCAAGTATCCGGTTCCCTCGAACGCGGACGACGTAAAACGATACCTAGCCTTTGCTAATTATTATAGGAGATTTATACCTAATTTTGCAAATATAGCTTTTCCGTTAAATAAATTATGCAAAAAAGATGTTTTATTTGAGTGGACAACCGAATGCGAAAAATCATTTCAACAATTAAAATCCCTTTTGATGTCCCCACCCGTATTACAGTATCCAGATTTTTCGGAAAATAATATTTTTGAGTTACGTACAGACGCATGTAAAACAGGATTAGGCGCCGTTTTGTCAAACAAAAATGGTCATGTTGTCGCTTACGCAAGTCGTAATTTATCGCCAGCCGAAAGCAGATATCCTATAATCGATTTAGAATTGCTCGCTATAGTATGGGCTGTAAGGCATTTTAGACCGTATCTGTACGGTAGAAGGTTTAAAATCCTTACAGACCACAAACCGCTCGTATATTTATTTAGTTTAAAAGATCCGTCCAGTAGACTAACTAAGTTTAGGCTCTACCTCGAAGAGTATGATTTTGAGATCGTGTATATCCCGGGTCGAAATAATGCAGCTGCAGACGCATTAAGTCGACTCCCGATTAAGATGACGTGTGAGGAATTAAAATCACTTAATGAACAAGTTGTATCGGTACTTACTCGAGCACAAAGTAAAAAGCAAGAGTCTAAAGAACCGGTCTATAAAAATAATTTGACTGAAGAGTTATCTACCAGTAGCAGGCCTGATCAACCTGAGATTGTAGAGATTCTTAAAAAACCCAAGGACGTGACAGAGTTAGTTTTCACTAGTGAAAAAATAAATAAGAACACGGATTGTCTTTTCTCTGATAAGAAATTTTGTATTTATGTGCCTTCACAGTGTACTATATACCTAGATACTCGATCGTTATCTACCCCACAGGTGTTAGCGAGAGATTTAGGATCTTTTTGTGAAAAACAAAATATTAATGAGATTTTAATCATTAAAACTAAGCAAAATGCAACAAATATAAAAATACTTGCAAGTTATATGAAAAAATTGCATCAGAAGGTACCAAAAATTTTAATTACTAGAGATGTGATAAGAATAAGTAGCTACGAGGATAAGAAAATTATACTTAACGACTTTCATATGTTGCCCACTAGCGGTCATGCAGGGGTAAACATAATGTTGAATAATTTAAAACAATACTATTATTGGCCAGGAATGACTAATGACGTCATAGAATACGTCAAAAAATGTAGTCACTGTCAATTTAATAAATTTTCGAATCATAGTATTAAGGAGCCAATGGTTATCACTAATACCGCAAGCTCTGCATTTGAAAGAATAGCTTTAGATATCATGGGTCCATTGCCAGTTGATATTAATAATAACAAATACATTTTAACGCTGCAATGCGATTTATCTAAATTTGTAGAAGCGTATCTTTTGCCCAGTAAAGATTCCGAATCTGTAGCACGAGTTTTTGTAACCAATTTTATTTTAAGATATGGAATCCCTAAGGAAATCATTAGTGATAGAGGCACAGAATTTATGTCTAATATTATGACTGATATTTGCAAAATATTACATATAGAAAAATTAAATTCAACGGCTTATCACCACGAAACAATAGGTTCTCTAGAAAATAGTCATAAGTCATTAGGAGCATATCTGCGAATACATTGTGATAGGAACACTTTAGACTGGAGCGACTGGTTAGCATTTTGGACATTTTCTTATAATACTACGGTACATACACTAACAAAATACACTCCATTCGAATTAGTGTTTGGAAAACTTTGTAAACTGCCTTCAGACTTTGGAATGTCAGTAGAACCATTGTATAATTATAATGATTACCCTAAAGAGATGAAGTATCGATTACAGAGAGCACAGTACGATGCAAAAAAATAATTTATTTTCTAGTAAGTTGAAAAGAAAATTATTGTATGACAAATGTACTTATCCTATTACATATAAAAAAGGTGACCTTATTTTAGTGAAAAATCAAACAGGAGATAAACTCCAAAACATTTATAATTGTCCATTTGTAGTTATTGAAGAAGTGTCACCCAATGTAAAAATCTTGAAGGATAATAAGGAATATCTTATACATAAGAATAATACGAAATTGTATTACACTTAAAAATAATAATTATAACTAGATTAATTTTATAACTAAACTTATGTTACTATAATTTTAAGTACTATGGAATTAGCCTTATCATATACTTAACATACATTATGCAACATGACTTAATTATTCTATCTAATTTTATTTTTTTCCTTTAAAAGGGAAGGGTGAACAGGACTTTTTCCAGGGAGTTGTAGTGTATACCTATCGGAAACGTAATTAGGTCATGTCGCAATCCGCTATTTACGTAGATAGTTTTAGCAAGTAAGCAATATTATTAATTCAATTATTTTGTAATGTTTTATTGCACTCAATAAACGGACTTCAAACTATAAACTATGTTTCCTTAAATAACCAACGATAGGCTAATATTAGACCGATGTCTGTTATCCTGATTTAAATGCAGATCTACTCAATAAATTGGACCGCCTTATGAATAATGCTATACGTTTCATCTTTTGCCTCCGCAAATTCGACCATGTTTCTTTATATCGATCCCAACTAAAATGGCTTCCTATTCGCCAGCGTAGGCAGTTAAGATTACTCTGCACTCTTTTACCATTATTTCCAACCCTCATTCTCCAGAGTACTTGAAATGCAAGTTTCAGTATCTCTGTGATAGTCACGATCGTCCTCTCCGCTCTGCTGATTCATTAGCTCTCTATATTCCTCTTTCTCACTCAGGCTCTCACTTGGACATATCCAACTCCTTTACTATTCAAGCTATACGACTGTGGAATGACCTTCCCGACTCCATCAGAAGATCTCCTAGTAAACTTATATTTAAGAGGAATGTTCACGCTCATCTGTTGCAAAACTTAAGATGACGTGTCATTTTATTAATCATCATCTTGTGTATATATGTGTATACTGTATATATTTAAATATTAGTGTGTTTTGTTTGTATGTATTATATTATTTTTATAGTATGTTTTTATATATGTATCTATGTTAATTTGTATATATATTCGTATTTAGCTTTATACCGCCGTTCGTGTTTTTCATTTTTCCCTAAGGTTGACTGGGAGAGAATGCTTTTAGCATTAAGTCCGCCTTTTGAACCAATGTTATATATTTATATTTTGGTCAATAAAGTTTAAAAATAAATAAATAAATTTAACATCAGTCTTTCCTTTTCATTCTGTATAGAGAATGACAAGGATATGTGCTAATTTTATATTGTTTAAAAGTTCTGTACCTACTACACAATTTGAATTAAAGAAAAAATAAAAATAAAAAGAGCCTTAAGAGACTGTCTCATCTAAATTCGAAAGCGTTAAGTATTAGTTTTATTGCTACCTATTATGTGTATTTTCATTTTTATTTAATTTTTAGCAACTTTGCCCTATCGCCATATTATTTGTCTCCAACGACGTGGAATATTTAATAGTAAAAGTAGCGGCCCGCCCTCGCTTCGCTTCGGTGTAGAGCTGAAGTGTAGACTACAGTTTTTGTTTTCAGGATTGTATTATAAACAATGACATTCATCTATGATTCTTTTTATACGATCGGTTTAAAATTGACAAAGTTTCATACAAACTTTCATTCCCTATTTTACCCCCCTTGGGGGTAGAATTGATCAAAATCCTTTCTTAGCCGATGCATACGTCATAATATCTACCTGCATGCCAAATTTCAGCCCGATCCGTCCAGTGGTTTGGGCTGTGCGTTGATAGATCACTATGTCGGTCAGTCACCCTTGAGTTTTATATACTCGTATATAAATTTTCTTGAGATTTAAACACCTAGCAGTTAAATGCTTAGAGAAAATACAAAATATAACTATAACTGCTATTTCTTCTATCAAATATTTAATACTTGTAAAGGTATTCATTTGACATTCTGGGTTACCTACAATGCGAAGAGATGGCGCTGCCTTGCAACCTAAGAAAGGCTACAGAAAATTCGACTAGGCCATCAGGGCTGCGGTAGCATAATGGCGTGGAATTTTTTCTAGTAAAATTTTCTTTGAATTTGTTTTCTAGTTGTGGCTGACTGGAGACTTCTTACATCATTTCACGAAGATAAAGAGCCCACCGCAAGTTCTGTCACAACCGCCGCAATTGAAACTCATATACCCATCGTTAGGTAAGGAACATTAATAATAATAATAAATATTTCCAACACTCACACCAATTAGCCCAGCCCCAAAGTAAGCACTGTGAGGCTTGTGTTATGGGATACTAGGGTAACGGATAGAATACATATACTGTACATATATAAGAATATTTATATAGAAATACATATTAAACATCCATGACTGGAGTACAAATGCTCGTATTCGTCAAACAAACATCTGCCCCCACCGGGATTCGAACCCTCGACCGGGACCTCTCGAGTCGGCGACACCATGAAACCCGGCGTACAAACCACTCGACCACGGAGGTCGTCCAATTGCCAATAAATATAGTATAATGAAGTTTATTTCTTGTGAACTATTTTGAGAAAATTTTAAAATATCTGTATTAATGATACTGTATTCAAATTGAAAAAGTTCTTGATGAATTGAATCATCCAATATATTTTTCCACCCTCCGTTATCCGGACGGATGCACTGACCAATTATGATACCGCGACCTTAATGGCCGCGTCGTATTGCATCTAGTATTGCTTATGCTGCAAGGCTGCAATAGGTATTGAGGGTGCTAAATGAAAATCAGGACCAATTTTTATACAATTTTTTTTTTAAATATATGTACTCTAAAGATAAAGAAAAAACCTATTAAATCCTTTGATTCACTGTTTCCAAAAATTGGCTAGTCCATTCGGATTGTGCACAGAAAACTTTTATATCATTCGATATACAATTTTCCATTCGTTGAAAAAAATATACACTTTTTAACACCTCATATAGCTCAATTTTTTCTAGTTATAATTTCTTTAGATTTAAACATCAAGCAGTTACATGCTTAAAAAATAAAAATTATAACTATAATTGCTATTTCTTCTTTCAAATGTTTAATACTTGTAAAAGTATTCATTTGACATTGTGGGTTACCTACAATGCGAAGAAATGGCGCTGCCTTGCAGCTTAAGAATGGCTAGAAAAATTTCGACGCGGCCGAAATTTTTCTAGTCTTTATGGTTTCGTGTGAAGCGGGTCGTTACGTTCCCTAAAATATGTTTGAGCGAAGCGATGGCTGGTTCATGCGTCATGCTCGTAAACAGGTGCTGCCAGCGGGGATGAGTCTGCCCTAACTACTTTGATATTTTAGATGTAAATGTCTAGCTACACCTAATATAAATAACACTATTTGTATTTATACTGTATGACACAGCAATTAAAATGCAGATGGAAAAATTAATGTACAATTTATGTAATGATAGGTGGTGACTTCATGAATCATCTCTGAAGTCATTTTTCAACTTGACGACTCTGTAAATAATAAAAAAAGGGAGAAAAAAACAGCCCTTGCTGAGTTTCTTGCCGGTTCTTCTCAGTACAAGATCTCCCGCCGTAGATTTATGAACCGATGGCGTAGCTTCTAGACATTCATGAGTGCTTGTAACAGCGTAAACTGAATAAATGATTTTGATTGATTGATTGATTGCTTTAAATTTAATTTGTGTTTTATATTTATGTAGAAAACGTGAGGCAATCGCACGATAATTTGCTCGGTGGAGGCTGCCTCCCCTACGCGGCCGATGCTCACACCAAGCAACTGTGGCTCAATGACTTCCTATAGTAAGAATATAAAGTATTTTTTAATTTATAAGGTTATAGTTATGTTTTTATTTTTTTTAAGCATTTAACTGCTAGATGTTTAAATCTAAAGAAAAGTTTACTAGAAAAAAATCCACGCGGACCAGGCAGCGGACGGGACTCGAACCCGCATCCTTCGCTATCCGGGCGAATGCACTAACCATTATGCTACCACGGCCCTATTAGCCGCGTCGAAATTTTCCTAGCCTTAAGCTGCAAGGCAGCGCCATCTCTTCGCATTGTAGGTAACCCATAGTTATGTTTTTATTTTTTTTAAGCATTTAACTGCTAAATTTAAAGAAAAGTTTTAATAGATTTTTTTTAAATAAAACTAGTTTTTACTGGTTAATGCACGAAATTTTATTTATTTATTGATTTTTTTTTTGATTTTTTTTTCTATTATCTCTGAAAAAGTATTCATTTGACATTGTGGGTTACCTACAATGCGAAGAGATGGCGCTGCCTTGCAGCTTAAGGATAGGAAAATTTCGACGCGGCTAATAGGGCCGTGGTAGCATAATGGTTAGTGCATTCGCCCGGATAGCGAAGGATGCGGGTTCGAGTCCCGTCCGCTGCCTGGTCCGCGTGGATTTTTTTCTAGTAAACTTTTCTTTAGATTTAAACATCTAGCAGTTAAATGCTTAAAAAAAAAAAATAGCGCGGTAGCATAATTGGTCAGTGCATTCGCCCGGATTGCGAAGGGTGCGGGTTCGAGTCCCGCCTGCTGCGTGGTCCGTGTGGATTTTTTTCTATTGAAACTTTTCTTTAGATTTTTATTTTATATTTTTACACACAAGTCTCCTTCGTTCGCGCGTATTTTTTTTTATACTTTGTAGAGGGTTTTTACGAAAATCTCTAAATGTGATTAAAAAAAGTCAGCCGCTATTATGAGTGATGAAAAATATTATGTCAAACCTGTATCATTAATAGTTTTACATTTGCTGTCAATTTGCAATAAATTATAAATGAATTAAGACTTATACACGGGTATTGAGGAGCTCGATGGCGCAGGTGTTTAGCGCGTTCGGCAGCGATCGTTGATGTTAAGCAACTTTCGCAGTGGTCGGTCATTGGATGTGTGACCAAAATTCTTCTATCTTGAGTTCCTCCGTGCTTCGGAAGGCACGTTAAGCCGTTGGTCCCGGCTGCATTGCAGTCGTTAGCACCCGCTAATCCGCACTGGGCCCGCGTGGTAGGTCATGGCCCAATCTTCCTATTCCATCCATAGGGAAGGCCTGTGCCCCAGCAGTTGGGACATTAATAGGCTGATGATGATAATGATAATGACTCGGGTATTATCGGATAAACGGGTATTACACAATTACATCTAAAAAAATATTTTTAAATAATCCAGTAGTTAAATGGTTAAAATATTTTTTTTCAAAATGTGCTTAAAAGGGATACTAACTTTTTCCTTTACGTATTATTTTAATATTTCAATGAATTTTCATCTCATATAGACTTAGACCCGGGTATCACCGGCCCATACTCGGACCGGGTATTACCTAGTTACATCTCAAAATATGCTTAAAAAGGGATATAATAATCTTTAGATATTATACAGAGCTCGATGCCGCAGGTGATTATTTCTTTGGCCTGCGATCGTGATAGTATAATAGTATTTTAATATCCCCTCAAAACTGCCAAGAGGGTCAAGATTTAATTTGTTTGCGACGAGAAGCTCCAGAACGAACCTAGGCTTATTTTCTCCTATAAATAGAATGCTCTCTCAGTACAATTCACTGTCAAAGTCGACCGATATGGACATCTTCGCGAATACACTGAAGAGAATAAAATCTTTATGTTTGGTTGTGCCCACATAGTTTTTTCATTCATTTATTTTTCATTAATTTATTTTCATTAATTAATTTTTCATAAATTTATTTAATTATTGACAATTTAATTTTTTTTTTCATAATTGTTTTGTATTGAAATTAATGTAATTATCAAAATTTTATAGGATTTAATTGCTAGTTAAGTGTGAAATGCATGTCGTAATCGCCTATAATTAAAGTTTCACTAATAAAGTGTCGTACTATAAATGTATAAATAATAAATGTCTAAGTGTAACTTTGTTGGTGATCAAATAAATAAATAAATAGTAAAACAGTTTATTGGATGGGTGATCAAAAATTTATTTTCTCACGTTCTTCGTGATTCGGGAGGCACGTTAAGCTGTTGGTCCCGGCTGCATCTGCAGTCGTTAGCACCTGCCAATAGTCCCCGCGTGGTGGGTCTCGGCCAATCTCCCTATTCCATCCATTGGGACCTTGTGTGCCCCAGCAGTGGGGACATTTATAGGCTGATGATGATGATGATGATAAAACATTAATTGCTTTCATATCTCTTATACAGGAGATAAAGTCCCAACCCCGAGCACACACTGCAAGACCAACAGATAGTATTAGTTCTTTTTGTTTGCATAATTTAACATAAGAAGGAGATAGAAAGCCTCTCTTGAGTTTGTTTCGCCGGTTCTTCTCAGAAAGGTCTCGCAATTTTGGAACCGGTGGTAGTTTACGGTAGTTAGGGTCGAATAAATAAAATTCAAAATTACAAAAAAGAATGATTTTATTTAATTTTAACCATTAAACTGCTAGATGTTTAAATCTAAAGAAAAGTTAACTAGAAAAAAATCCACGCGGATTTTTTTCTAGAAAAAAAGAATTTTAAATAAAATACTTTATTAAGTAAATTAAATAATAAATTCATACATAGTCGAAGGTATCTCGACAAATTAAATAAAAGTTTGATTGTGACGACGTAGCCTGTAAAGGCTACGAAACGTCAATAAATAAATAAAGTTTCGTGCATTAACCCGTAAAAACTATTTTTATTTATATCTCTTGTTTTTTCAACCAGCCAATGGAAAGCCACCTTAACGAACCGGAATAAAGCAATGCCCCACATAAAGACTTACACCCGGGTATCCCCGGACCACACCCGGGCCGGGTATTACCTGCTCACATCCGGTAATGTGAGTAAAGCTGCGTGGGGACAGATCAACAAGAAGGACCAAGCGCTGAGGGTCATGAGCTATGAGGCCGGGGTTCTGTTCCTGCCACAATTTGTGGTGAGTAGCTTACTTTTTATTGGAAAATATTTCAATTATAAACAAAACAGTAAATAATCACTAAAAATAGTAAGAGACAGTCAATGTTTGTTACTGAAGCGCTTCATGCTTAAACCGCTGAACCGATTAATGAAATTTGGTATAGAGAGCACCCAGTGCCCCTAGCACGAACCATTATCTAATTCGAATAGTTTGCAAACCGAAATGTCAATGTCAAATTTTGTATGGAAACTTGAACAGCAGCGGCACAAAGTACGTAACGAGAACTAAACATCAGTACACATTTGACAATGACATTTCGGACTCGCAAACGATACGAATTCGATATTGGTTCGTTCTAGGGGTACAGGATAGGTTTTGTTCACCTTAATTTTTTTTTGAAAATTATTTCAATGATCACCAAAACATAGTAAATGATCTAAAGAAAATATTACTAGATTACTAGAAAGATCATCAAAAAAATACAAAAGTTTGGTTAGGTTGGCAGTTGTATTTTTGTTGATTGTAATGTTATTGCGAATACATATTGAGTGCAGCAGCAAATTTCCACCAAATGGGGATTGTCCCACCCCACTGAACACAGAGGCTAGAAGGGTGATAAGAGCATAGAGGTATAGCAATAGAGTGGGGAAGGCGGCTCTAAAAGTGTCCGTCTAGTAGAAAGAGAAAGAAGATGAGAGATACAGAAAAGTTTACTAGAAAAAATCCACGCGGACCAGGCAGCGGACGGGACTCGAACCCGCATCCTTCGCTATCCGGGCGAATGCACTGACCATTATGCTACTACGGCCCTATTAGCCGCGTCGAAATTTTCCTAGCCTTAAGCTGCAAGGCAGCGCCATCTCTTCGCATTGTAGCATAATGGTCAGTGCATTCGCCCGGATAGCGAAGGATGCGGGTTCGAGTCCCGTCCGCTGCCTGGTCCGCGTGGATTTTTTTTCTAGTAAACTTTTCTTTAGATTTAAACATCTAGCAGTTAAATGCTTAAAAAATAAATAAAATCATAAGATGAGAGATAGCTAGCGGTCTGTCATCTTCTTTCTCTTTCTACAAGACGGAGACTTTTAGAGCCGCCTTCCCCACTCTATTGTTATACCTCTATGTTCTTATCACGCAGGCCTCAGGTGATTATTTCTTTGGCCTGCGATCGTGATAGTAAAACTACTTATTGGATGGGTGACCAAAAACTTATTATAATTAATATATATATAAATAAAACTAGTTTTTCACGGGTTAATGCACGAAACTTTATTTATTTATTGACGTTTCGTAGCCTTTACAGGCTACGTCGTCGGAATCATCATCATCATCAGCCTATTAATGTCCTCACTGCTGGGGCACAGGCCTTCCCTATGGATGGAATAGGGAGATTGGGCCATGACCCACCACGCGGGCCCAGTGCGGATTGGTGGGTGCTAACGACTGCAGATGCAGTCGGGACCAACGGCTTAACGTGCCTTCCGAAGCACGGAGGAACTCAAGATAGTAAATTTTTGGTCACCCATCCAATGACCGACCACTGCGAAAGTTGCTTAACTTCAACGATCGCAGCCGAATGCGCTAACCACTTGCGCCATCGAGCTCCTCAAGTCGGAATACGAAACGCCAATAAATAAATAAAGTTTCGTGCATTATTAACCCGTGAAAAACTAGTTTTATTTAATGAGTGATATGCGTGAAAACCTAAGAAACAAATAAAATATATCAATTAAGTCATGCACCCATACTCTTTTACTCTGTGACCGTGATAAAACTTCTAAAAGTAAAATAAATCCACAACTGAATCACTTGACATCTTTATAACAAACAAACTTTTCACGTTATATGTTACGTTAAGGCAGTGTTTCCTAACCTTTCCAATACTGCTACCCCTGTAAGCTACTAGGAAAACAGGTTTTAGCCCGACTTTAAAATGTTATCATCAGTCCAAGAAATTCCAATTTGGCCGCTATATCTTCATCTCTAATAATGTCATCATCAGGAGAAAATCTCGCCCCGCTTCCCACACTCAGCACCACGCGGGCTCGCTAGCAAGAAGGAGCGCATGCTCTATTTAGTAGTATTACTAGCAAACCAGTGAACCAAATGTTCACCAAAACCTGATTTATCGAAAACCGGAAGTGCTACGTTACTCAAATCCGGTTTGTAGTCTTATCAGACTATTCTTAACTTATAACTTAAATATTCTCTTTATCTATCTCTTACGGTTTGGCCTCTGAAACAGCACCACAGACAGACGGACTTGTCTAATAGATAAGAGATTATTATATAGTATTTTCTTATTATTTAGATTTGACCAAATAATTAGGTTCTTTGTTACCCCCGGAGGGGTAATTACCCCCTGGTTCGGAACCCATGCGTTAAGGAGTCCGCTAGCTATCTCTCTCTCTTTTGTGGCGCAAGGCATCCAATGGCATCACATCGAAATGATGTTTCGGTTGCCAATGCGCGTGCGCGTGCGCAATTAGTGAGAAAGCCAGCGGTGGTTGCAAGGACTTTTTGGCGGGATCGGGAAGCGTCACTTAGCAGTTTTGTTTTTCTTGTTAAAAATTGTGTTGCGGCGGATGTTAGTGTCTAATAATGGTGGATTATTAACCACTAAGTGTTCGGGAACATGCACAAGTGTTGGCAGGTGAAACGAAATAGCGGGAAGTGTCTTTCAACGTTCCCTCAAGGAGTCCTCGGGGAGGTTCCAGTAAATCCCCACATATTTACTGAAACATAAGGAAAAGAGGATTGACTTGACTGCCACTTACTTTGACTTGATTTATTACTTTTATTGGAAGCTTACTTTTTATTGGAAAATATTTCAATTATAAACAAAACAGTAAATAATCACTAAAAATAGTAAGAGACAGTCAATGTTTGTTACTGAAGCGCTTCATGCTTAAACCGCTGAACCGATTAATGAAATTTGGTATAGAGAGCACCCAGTGCCCCTAGCACGAACCATTATCGAATTCGAATAGTTTGCAAACCGAAATGTCAATGTCAAATTTTGTATGGAAACTTGAACAGCAGCGGCACAAAGTACGTAACGAGAACTAAACATCAGTACACATTTGACAATGACATTTCGGACTCGCAAACGATACGAATTCGATATTGGTTCGTTCTAGGGGTACAGGATAGGTTTTGTTCACCTTAATTTTTTTTTGAAAATTATTTCAATGATCACCAAAACATAGTAAATGATCTAAAGAAAATATTACTAGATTACTAGAAAGATCATCAAAAAAATACAAAAGTTTGGTTAGGTTGGCAGTTGTATTTTTGTTGATTGTAATGTTATTGCGAATACATATTGAGTGCAGCAGCAAATTTCCACCAAATGGGGATTGTCCCACCCCACTGAACACAGAGGCTAGAAGGGTGATAAGAGCATAGAGGTATAGCAATAGAGTGGGGAAGGCGGCTCTAAAAGTGTCCGTCTAGTAGAAAGAGAAAGAAGATGAGAGATACAGAAAAGTTTACTAGAAAAAATCCACGCGGACCAGGCAGCGGACGGGACTCGAACCCGCATCCTTCGCTATCCGGGCGAATGCACTGACCATTATGCTACTACGGCCCTATTAGCCGCGTCGAAATTTTCCTAGCCTTAAGCTGCAAGGCAGCGCCATCTCTTCGCATTGTAGCATAATGGTCAGTGCATTCGCCCGGATAGCGAAGGATGCGGGTTCGAGTCCCGTCCGCTGCCTGGTCCGCGTGGATTTTTTTTCTAGTAAACTTTTCTTTAGATTTAAACATCTAGCAGTTAAATGCTTAAAAAATAAATAAAATCATAAGATGAGAGATAGCTAGCGGTCTGTCATCTTCTTTCTCTTTCTACAAGACGGAGACTTTTAGAGCCGCCTTCCCCACTCTATTGTTATACCTCTATGTTCTTATCACGCAGGCCTCAGGTGATTATTTCTTTGGCCTGCGATCGTGATAGTAAAACTACTTATTGGATGGGTGACCAAAAACTTATTTTAATTAAAATATATCAATAAATAAAACTAGTTTTTCACGGGTTAATGCACGAAACTTTATTTATTTATTGACGTTTCGTAGCCTTTACAGGCTACGTCGTCGGAATCATCATCATCATCAGCCTATTAATGTCCCCACTGCTGGGGCACAGGCCTTCCCTATGGATGGAATAGGGAGATTGGGCCATGACCCACCACGCGGGCCCAGTGCGGATTGGTGGGTGCTAACGACTGCAGATGCAGTCGGGACCAACGGCTTAACGTGCCTTCCGAAGCACGGAGGAACTCTTGATAGTAAATTTTTGGTCACCCATCCAATGACCGACCACTGCGAAAGTTGCTTAACTTCAACGATCGCAGCCGAATGCGCTAACCACTTGCGCCATCGAGCTCCTCAAGTCGGAATACGAAACGCCAATAAATAAATAAAGTTTCGTGCATTATTAACCCGTGAAAAACTAGTTTTATTTAATGAGTGATATGCGTGAAAACCTAAGAAACAAATAAAATATATCAATTAAGTCATGCACCCATACTCTTTTACTCTGTAACCGTGATAAAACTTCTAAAAGTAAAATAAATCCACAACTGAATCACTTGACATCTTTAAAACAAACAAACTTTTCACGTTATATGTTACGTTAAGGCAGTGTTTCCTAACCTTTCCAATACTGCTACCCCTGTAACCTACTAGGAAAACAGGTTTTACCCCGACTTTAAAATGTTATCATCAGTCCAAGAAATTCCAATTTGGTCGCTACATCTTCATCTCTAATAATGTCTTCATCAGGAGAAAATCTCGCCCCGCTTCCCACACTCAGCACCCCGCGGGCTCGCTAGCAAGAAGGAGCGCATGCTCTATTTAGTAGTATTACTAGCAAACCAGTGAACCAAATGTTCACCAAAACCTGATTTATCGAAAACCGGAAGTGCTACGTTACTCAAATCCGGTTTGTAGTCTTATCAGACTATTCTTAACTTATAACTTAAATATTCTCTTTATCTATCTCTTACGGTTTGGCCTCTGAAACAGCACCACAGACAGATGGACTTGTCTAATAGATAAGAGATTATTATATAGTATTTTCTTATTATTTAGATTTGACCAAATAATTAGGTTCTTTGTTACCCCCGGAGGGGTAATTACCCCCTGGTTCGGAACCCATGCGTTAAGGAGTCCGCTAGCTATCTCTCTCTCTTTTGTGGCGCAAGGCATCCAATGGCATCACATCGAAATGATGTTTCGGTTGCCAATGCGCGTGCGCGTGCGCAATTAGTGAGAAAGCCAGCGGTGGTTGCAAGGACTTTTTGGCGGGATCGGGAAGCGTCACTTAGCAGTTTTGTTTTTCTTGTTAAAAATTGTGTTGCGGCGGATGTTAGTGTCTAATAATGGTGGATTATTAACCACTAAGTGTTCGGGAACATGCACAAGTGTTGGCAGGTGAAACGAAATAGCGGGAAGTGTCTTTCAACGTTCCCTCAAGGAGTCCTCGGGGAGGTTCCAGTAAATCCCCACATATTTACTGAAACATAAGGAAAAGAGGATTGACTTGACTGCCACTTACTTTGACTTGATTTATTACTTTTATTGGAAGCTTACTTTTTATTGGAAAATATTTCAATTATAAACAAAACAGTAAATAATCACTAAAAATAGTAAGAGACAGTCAATGTTTGTTACTGAAGCGCTTCATGCTTAAACCGCTGAACCGATTAATGAAATTTGGTATAGAGAGCACCCAGTGCCCCTAGCACGAACCATTATCGAATTCGAATAGTTTGCAAACCGAAATGTCAATGTCAAATTTTGTATGGAAACTTGAACAGCAGCGGCACAAAGTACGTAACGAGAACTAAACATCAGTACACATTTGACAATGACATTTCGGACTCGCAAACGATACGAATTCGATATTGGTTCGTTCTAGGGGTACAGGATAGGTTTTGTTCACCTTAATTTTTTTTTGAAAATTATTTCAATGATCACCAAAACATAGTAAATGATCTAAAGAAAATATTACTAGATTACTAGAAAGATCATCAAAAAAATACAAAAGTTTGGTTAGGTTGGCAGTTGTATTTTTGTTGATTGTAATGTTATTGCGAATACATATTGAGTGCAGCAGCAAATTTCCACCAAATGGGGATTGTCCCACCCCACTGAACACAGAGGCTAGAAGGGTGATAAGAGCATAGAGGTATAGCAATAGAGTGGGGAAGGCGGCTCTAAAAGTGTCCGTCTAGTAGAAAGAGAAAGAAGATGAGAGATACAGAAAAGTTTACTAGAAAAAATCCACGCGGACCAGGCAGCGGACGGGACTCGAACCCGCATCCTTCGCTATCCGGGCGAATGCACTGACCATTATGCTACTACGGCCCTATTAGCCGCGTCGAAATTTTCCTAGCCTTAAGCTGCAAGGCAGCGCCATCTCTTCGCATTGTAGCATAATGGTCAGTGCATTCGCCCGGATAGCGAAGGATGCGGGTTCGAGTCCCGTCCGCTGCCTGGTCCGCGTGGATTTTTTTTCTAGTAAACTTTTCTTTAGATTTAAACATCTAGCAGTTAAATGCTTAAAAAATAAATAAAATCATAAGATGAGAGATAGCTAGCGGTCTGTCATCTTCTTTCTCTTTCTACAAGACGGAGACTTTTAGAGCCGCCTTCCCCACTCTATTGTTATACCTCTATGTTCTTATCACGCAGGCCTCAGGTGATTATTTCTTTGGCCTGCGATCGTGATAGTAAAACTACTTATTGGATGGGTGACCAAAAACTTATTTTAATTAAAATATATCAATAAATAAAACTAGTTTTTCACGGGTTAATGCACGAAACTTTATTTATTTATTGACGTTTCGTAGCCTTTACAGGCTACGTCGTCGGAATCATCATCATCATCAGCCTATTAATGTCCCCACTGCTGGGGCACAGGCCTTCCCTATGGATGGAATAGGGAGATTGGGCCATGACCCACCACGCGGGCCCAGTGCGGATTGGTGGGTGCTAACGACTGCAGATGCAGCCGGGACCAACGGCTTAACGTGCCTTCCGAAGCACGGAGGAACTCTTGATAGTAAATTTTTGGTCACCCATCCAATGACCGACCACTGCGAAAGTTGCTTAACTTCAACGATCGCAGCCGAATGCGCTAACCACTTGCGCCATCGAGCTCCTCAAGTCGGAATACGAAACGCCAATAAATAAATAAAGTTTCGTGCATTATTAACCCGTGAAAAACTAGTTTTATTTAATGAGTGATATGCGTGAAAACCTAAGAAACAAATAAAATATATCAATTAAGTCATGCACCCATACTCTTTTACTCTGTGACCGTGATAAAACTTCTAAAAGTAAAATAAATCCACAACTGAATCACTTGACATCTTTATAACAAACAAACTTTTCACGTTATATGTTACGTTAAGGCAGTGTTTCCTAACCTTTCCAATACTGCTACCCCTGTAAGCTACTAGGAAAACAGGTTTTAGCCCGACTTTAAAATGTTATCATCAGTCCAAGAAATTCCAATTTGGCCGCTATATCTTCATCTCTAATAATGTCATCATCAGGAGAAAATCTCGCCCCGCTTCCCACACTCAGCACCACGCGGGCTCGCTAGCAAGAAGGAGCGCATGCTCTATTTAGTAGTATTACTAGCAAACCAGTGAACCAAATGTTCACCAAAACCTGATTTATCGAAAACCGGAAGTGCTTCGTTACTCAAATCCGGTTTGTAGTCTTATCAGACTATTCTTAACTTATAACTTAAATATTCTCTTTATCTAGCTCTTACGGTTTGGCCGCTGAAACAGCACCACAGACAGACGGACTTGTCTAATAGATAAGAGATTATTATATAGTATTTTCTTATTATTTAGATTTGACCAAATAATTAGGTTCTTTGTTACCCCCGAAGTATGGCTGATTTACCGCCGGAGGGGTAATTACCCCCAGGTTCGGAACCCATGCGTTAAGGAGACCGCTATCTCTCTCTTTTGTGGCGCAAGGCATCCAATGGCATCACATCGAAATAGTAAGATACTTCGGTTGCCAATGCGCATGCGCGTGCGCAATTAGTGAGAAAGCCAGCGGTTGCAAGGACTTTTTGGCGGGATCGGGAAGCGTCACTTTAGCAGTTTTGTTTTTCTTGTTAAAAATTGTGTTGCGGCGGATGTTAGTGTCTAATAATGGTGGATTATTAACCACTAAGTGTTCGGGAACATGCACAAGTGTTGGCAAGTGAAACAAAATAGCGGAAAGTGTCTTCCGACGTTCCCTCAAGCAGTCCACGGGGAGGTTCCAGTAAATCCCCACATATTTACTGAAACATAAGGAAAAGAGGATTGACTTGACTACCACTTACTTTGACTTGATTTATTACTTTGACCACGACTGCTATAGAATTTGTAAACATTTTAACTGCACAAGCCGTGCGAAGCCATTTAAGAAAAAAAAAGCTAGCGGTCTCATCTTCTTTCTCTTTCTATTAGAGGGACACTTCCACTTGTATTAGAGTCTATATCTCCCCTAATCTATTCTTATACCTCTATGGATAAGAGACCGCTTGTACGGGAACTGATGTCGCCGGCTTACACCCACTACGCTTCCACCTAATAGATAACAGCCAATCAAACGACGCGACATTAAACAATCGAACCAATCGGCGCTCACAGCCGAGAGCAACGACGCAATCAGAACCAAGTTTTTTGCAAGTTATGAGCATTTGCTCACACACAACTTTGACGTGCCTGCCCCGCCCACAAGACCCTACTTTCTGTGCTCTTTGTCCCACCCCCTAGCTACGGCCCTGCTATTATAACATGAATAAAGCTTCTTATAGAAACTTACTAGCTGTGCCCCGCGGTGTTACCTGTAGTTTATTAGGGACATTTTCCAGCAGTAAAACGTAGCATATGTGTTAATCCGGGGTGTTGGCTAATAATATAATAATAATAATCATTTATTCATAACCCTCAACATTTTACATTTGAAGTATTAAGCTAATAAAGTCTACGGGTATTTATATAAAAGTCTGAAGAAATGGACCCCTTACCCAGAAACTATTAAAAACTGGTATGTAACTGTAGCCATCTCCATACCATTTTTTTTATTAAAATCGCTCCAGCCGTTTAGTGAGGAGAGTTAATGAGGAGCTCGATGGCGCAAGTGGTTAGCGCGATCCGCTGCGATCGTTGAATTTAAGCAACTTTCGCAGTGGTCGGTCATTGGATGGGTGACCGAAAATTTACTATCTCGAGCTCCTCCGTGCTTCGGAAGGCACGTTGAGCCGTTGGTCCCGGCTGCATCTGCAGTCGTTAGCACCCACCAACCCGCGTGGTGGGTCATGGCCCAATCTCCCTATTCCATCCATAATTCCATCCATAGGGAAGGCCTGTGCCCCAGCAGTGGGGACATTAATAGGCTGATGATGAGCCGTTTAGACGTGAAGAAGTAACAAACATACACACTCACAAACTTTCGCCTTTATAACATTTGTGTGATTAAACTCTTGTTGCAGATCGAAGAAGACTTCTTTCCGCTAGCGGAAGGCGCGAAGAACCGTTTAGTGTTGCCATACGACCTACCTCCTACTAAATATACGAGCGACATGTCGCCTTGGGTCTCTGACTATTTACGATAGCTTGAATTAAAAAAAAAAACGAGCGAGCCTTACAGTAGTCACGTATGATGTGTAACATTTGATACCTCACCTTATGTTAGTAAAAAAAGAAATAAAACCTACTACAAAATAGACATGGGCGTTTTTGGTTTTGAACGCAAACGGATATTTATCGGATTTCAGATTTCAAAATCGATTTTAAAATCCGTTTTTATATATCCGATTTCAGATGTGCCGAACTTAGCCAATTCACTAGTTTGTGTTATGATTTGGTTTTATTAGCTAACGACAATCACAAACAATTAATTGTAGGAAGCAAGGATACTCGTAGATTTTCGCGATTTTCCTTCATGCTTTAAATCTAGGCTTAGGACTAGCAGAAAAGTTATGTTTAGGGTTAAGAGTAAAACTTTTGCGGCGCATTTAAAAATCGGCTTTTATGATTCAATGATATTTTTTTAGTATTTTTTTTTGTTTTTCTGTTTGTTTTTATTATTTTTCAAACCATTTACAAAATCAAACCTAATTACTTCAGGTTAGCGTCCAAAAATGTAAGATGCTCGACTTTTGATGTTTTTAGACGACATATCTTTTCAGTGATAAATAATCCCGCCTCAGAGAAGAGCAATAGATTTCCGTAAACAGCAAATCGAAATCGGACTTCCGAGCACGAAATCTGACTTTTGAAAACGAAAGCATGAATTTCGAATCCGATTTACATTTGGATACTTATGGTATTAGATCGCTAGCGTTTTGGTTCGGTTAGATTTCTGAAATCGGATTTTCTTGTTGAGAAATCGTTCGGTATCGATTTGTGTTTGAAATCGGATTTTGGATTCGTTTTGATATATCGGACGCATGCCTACTACAAAACGAATAAGTCATTTGAACATTATGTTCTAAAATCAAATCAAATAGCGCGCGCTTTCGCGACTTCCTTTTACACACTTCTGTCCCATTTCACGAAATCGCTCCCACAAATTGCAGGAAAGCGAGAGGAAAGATGTTACACATCAAAAGAAAACATTTAAAATATCACAAATATTATACCTGATCAGCAGAAAAACGTATTTTATGCTTGAAAGAAAGAGAGAATTAGCAAGAGAGATTAAGAGAGAAAATGATTTTATGGACAAATAAACACAAACACATGAACATGAAAAAATATATATTTAAATGTATTCTATGCATGTATGTTGAGTTTTTTTTTTAAATAAATATTTATGTAATAAGGTATTTGACAAGTTTTAGAAAACGATCTCACGTTATTGACTCATGTTTATGGAGTCCGTAAAAATTGGATATTCATCATTCTGTTGTGTATTTCAGTAAAAATAACCAAATCAAAAACCCCATTTTCAAGTTGCCGCGTAATCGTTTCTCTGGACAATATGGCGTCTTACTAGTCTGTGACGTCACGCGACTGTTATTAAAACGTCAAACGATACAATGTAATGTCACTTTAACCGGAAGTTTACTTGCGTGTGACGTCATTTTAGGCTCCGCCAATCCCAAGCGTTTTGGTTCACGTGACAATAGATTAGAAAACTATTATCTTTTTCGTTAGTTTTTAGTAAAATTATGAAAATTTTTATTGTAAAAATCGTAAAATCCCCTGCCAATATTCATTCTAAACACAGATGTTAACAATTGGCACTTTATTTTTAATACTGTCAAATACACTATTTGTTTTTATCGGTGAATGATTAAAGTAAATCACTTTTTTTTATTATAGCCGCATTCGTGGATTTCTTTATGCCTAAAGGGTGACTGGCAGATAATGCTTTTATCGTTAAGTCCGCCTTTTTTCTATTTTTGTAATTGTGGCAATAAAGTTTAAATAAATAATAAAAAGATAGATAAACAGAACAATGGTGTCGATTCTGGCATGATTCTCTAAACTTAAAACTAAATTGAACATCAGTCTCGCATTTTCATTCTGTACAGAGAATTACAAGGACACACTGTTGTAAAATTATTATTAATAATATTTTTTTTTCCAATAACTTGTTACATCATGAACACATTAATTAATTAAATTCTACAAAATTTCAAACAATCGTAGATACACACGTTAAGCCGTTTATTCCGGCTGTGTCTGCAGTCGTTAGCACCCACCAATCCGCACTAGGCCCGCGTGGTGGGTCACGGCCTTATCTCCCATATTCCATTCATACGGTAGTCCTGTGCCCCAGTAATGGGGACATTGATAGGCTGACGAAGATGATGGTATAAGATACTGTTACAAATTGTGATTGATAAAATTGTGATCAAGCTGTTTTTATAAATTAAATAAATGTTTTATGTTTCTGAAATACTTGTTTTAATTCGAATTCGATATTAGTTCCTGCTAAGGGTACTGGACTAACACAGGACACAGAAAGAGGCTAGACGGGTGATCGTAGACTGTTTGAAGTACGGACGCGAATGCGTACAAACTTTGTACGGGAACCGATGTCGCCGGCTCGCCTCACCCCCACTACACTTTCAACTGATAGATTATAGACTAATCAAAGGACGTGAAATCAAATAATGGAGAAGTATACGCAAAGCTCGACATAGGTGGCGCTGCAAACGCTTGACCCAAACCACAGCCGAATATTGCAGCTGTCAAATTTTAAACGTGTTTTTTTGTTGTTAAAAATTTCAATTAAGTGGTAAAAGTGTATTCAACATGGTCTGTAATACAGTTGAAAACAGAGTTAAAAAGGAGAGGAGCATCTGTGCAAGACAGAAAAGCTCATCTAGTAGAAAGGCACTCCTTCTGTTATTATGCTAGAATACTCATTCTCGGTGCATAGATGCATTTTCAAGATTATTTTAGTAGTTCATGGATCGCAGTAATTTTTAGCGGGCTCATTAGTCAAATCTATGTTATTTTTGCATCAGTCAGACATCACATAGAGTTAGGTTACCTCTGGCTAAAATGGGAAGTAAACGAAGACATCGAGATGCAATTACCAGTCCCAGATACATACCATGGTGTAAACAGCAGCTCAGTTTTACCCCCCTTGCCCCCCCTTTCAAAGCAACATATAAAATTATGTTTTTGTCGGGAAGCATGCAGTTTTCTCACAACAACCAGGAATTGTACAATTGCATTTGTAATTTGTTTAATAAAAAGGCTTTAAAATTAATATAAGCTAATAAGTACGTATTTGATAGAAGTTTTGGGTCAAGCGATTACAGCGCCCCTAGTGGGAAAATTTTGCAGATTTCTTTTCTATTTGACCAATCCACGCTCACACCCGAGAGTAACGACTCGAGCAGAACTAAGTTTTGGTCAAGTATTTGCTCACACTTAACTGTGGCGCGCCTGCCCCGCCCACAAGGTCCTAACATCTTTCTATGACTCAACAGTACAGTTTGTCTATAAAGTCGTACATTAAATGATGGCGCCACTAGTATGCATGTAGCAATCCTATACAGTCGGACCAAAATGATTTTGATACTAGCAGTTCATTCAAGTAAAATAGGTAATTAATAAGACACACTATACAGTCGTATTTTTTTTCTGTTTTATATATAGTAGGTACCTGGGTCATTCTTTTTTTTAACCTACATGTTGGTAAAATTTTTACTCAAATTTTCAAAAAAAATTATAACGCTTTCTAGTCAAATCTTATATGTTTTCTGGCAGCAGAATGTCTATTCTATCTGAAAAAGTGGTTGGCCGCGAAGTTTACAAATTTTTATAAGATTTTCAAGGTCTTAAAGATGGATTGGGCTAATAATTGTACACCTCCGTCACAATACCTTTTATTTTTTTGTATCAAATAGTTTAACTCAGATAACTTGCAAATTATTTATTACAATAATAATCAAATGGTCCTTTTAGAAAACATACAAAGCAAAATTTCTGCATATTATAATAAATATATATTTTCAATCTTATACCACTCTGTCACAATTGCAGCTAGTTTGAAGTATATTTTTGCTATAATTCAATTTTAACCACTTCTAGCATAGAAATATTAATATCGTAGACTATATTATAGTTAACTATTTTTAATATGATTTTTCCAAAATTGTACTATTCATAACAAAATATAAAAATTGCTATAAACATTTTAAAACCAGGAGACATTATCATGACAGAGTGGTAGAGTGTGTGACAGAGTTGTTATTCTATAAAATATTAGGTTGTATGTTGGAATAAAATCGGTTTTATATGTACTTATTTAGAATCATTTATTACTTCTTTGGTATAATTTTATTTCTTATTATTCAAAGTCTTCCGCTTTCTTAAAATCAAGATACTTACATACTAATAAAATCATATTGCAGAACCTTTGGAATGAGAGATCAGTATTATAGTATAATTAAATTATAAGACTTCTGACTTGTCTCAACTAAATAAAAATAAAAAATAATGTTCAAATTGCCTGAAAAATTAAAATAAAATAATAATCATCAACAACAAATTACTTTCTCCACAAGTCATACTAGTCCTAACCAGTCTTACTTTTCAAACACTGGCAAAGGCTCATGAAATTTGAAAAACTGTCTTCTTTTTTTAGCTACCTTTGGATTTGGTAGAATTTTAATCAAATCCTCATACGGAACATCCGATAACACATTCTCCACTAATTTAAATAATCTCCCACAATCATCGACTGTTTTCAGGAACATCACCAGAACATTGCCTTCTTCGTCAACGTTACTTTTTACTACTCCAGCGTATGTGTATTGAAACTTCGTTTCACTTTTTACTTTAACGAGTACATGTACACCGTCTTCTATATTCCTTGGATGTATGTCCCCAAGGTGAAGTGTTTCATAAGAAGTACTAGAAACGGCAGTTGGATTAGAGGAATCTTTGTTTTTATATGTAGCCAATGGCTGGTCTTCAACAGATGATTCATCCGGGCCATACACATTATCATAAAAACTTTTTCGAGGCATCCTAATTTTGTTCCTAATATCAGTGAGCGACAAATCCTCCATCTCATGAATTACAACGTCGTCTTTATCGTTAGGAAATAAGTGGTCCAAAATATGTTATCAACGTGTAGTAAGTTTAAGGAACGTGACACGAACAGAATTGTTCACAAAAACAACTCAGAACCCTATAGTTTAAGATTCCACGAGTTTCTGAGAACATTTGATGGATTTGCATGGTTCCTTTTAGGGGTAAAATATTGCTTGGAAGAGTCTACGTTCTCTATGTCTTCGTGTGCCACCAAAAACATTTTATTTTGCTGGTAACCATAGGCCTTCTGCGATCTGGGCTCACCTTTAAACAAATCATCGAACTGTAACGACTGTACATTTTTATTTAGATGGACCAGCTACCTAGTATAAGGAAAAGATTAACTTTTACCTAATGGCGTACCGGTTTTTTGAACAGTACAACTTTCATAAAATATCTTGGAATTTTTTTGAATCAGGACATGGAAACGGAGCTGCTGATGGTATTGGCGGAGCTTTGAAACGCCAAGCTGATGCTATTGTAGCAAGAGGCAAAGATATCGGCGATGTGTTAGAATTCTTTTCCTCCCCCTTGAGCTAGATACTTCTGAATTAGTTGGTGTTGCAGAATAAAGACGCATTTGTGGATCTACTGGTATTGGCGTTGGAGCCGGCGTGTTCAATAGTACGTTTTCAAGCATTTGTTTTCCTTTCTTTTTTTATTTCGTTGTTGCCATTTTCTTTTCATCATACGATGCTCTCTCACGGTCATGTCAGCCACAAGCTTCTTACGAGTATGATATCTCTCGAGATCATTGCGTTTCACTTCAGCTACTTTTTCTGGATCATTTTTTTGTTTCTCCCGGCAACGCCGCTGTCTTTTTGTCTTTTAAAAAAGAAAATATATAAATAAGTATGTAAACATTAGATAAACTTCATATCGAAACAGTTACGATAATAAGTACTAGTCCTATTTCAACAGATTCTTATATTTTGTGAGATAATATTGAATTCCTTGCCATTTTTTACTCCTCCGTCACGTACTTTACCACTCCGTCACAATTTGTTTGTTACGGAGTTGTAGCATGACGGAGGGGTAAATCTTACTTACAAAAACGATAATAATTAAACGTTACCACATAATACAAATCTTACAGGTTGGCACGAAAGTGTTTATTATTACGTAAAAGTTAAATAATAAGAAGTAACTATAATTAATATATTTTTGTCCAATACTTACGTGACGAAGTTGTCGCCGAATAAACACACACACATTCTTAATCAGCTTCCGGGCGACTAACGCGCGATCTCTCGGCCTTGCAGAGGTAATCCCAGCGAGGGGGAGGGGGAACTAAATATCCTATCGACAGCGAGAAAAGCGAACTGCGTATACGCGTCGTTCGAACGAAAAAGCACGTGACCGAATATACCTACTAAAACAGTCTTTAGTGAGAGACGAGATTATAAGATTTTTTTATTCTTTTATTAAAAATGTCAAAAAAAATTAGTCACTATTACAAGATGGCCTATATCTTTCAGCATTAAAAAATACTTTTATATTTGCTACTGTCTTTTATATTTTTCGTACTATTATGAATTATACACAGGCCCAGGTAGCGGGAGACAACTGTGATTTGTATGGAATACACCTCTGTCACGCGGATTGACGACTCTGTAACATTATTTTTAGTATTAAAATAGAAATTATTATTTATTTTAAACGTGTATAGTCGTTACATTTTTAGTACAGTACACATTGATACATGAATTATAAAATAATACCGATAATTTTTGATTATATTTTTTTATAACGGATGAAGACACCTTTTTGTAGGTTAAAAAGAAGAACAACCCACCTATGCTTATAAAAAGTTTAGCCAAGCATTTTTAATTGAATCAGAATAAAATTATTATAGTTATAATTTTTATTATTTTTAAAGCATGTAACTGCTTGATGTCTAAATCTAAAGAAAATATAACTAGAAAAAATTCCACGCGGACCAGGCAGCAGACGGGACTCGAACCCGCACCCTTCGCAATCCGGGCGAATGCACTGACCAATTATGCTACCGCGGCCCTCACGGACCGCGTCGAAATTCCTTCTAGCTATTCTTAAGCTGCAAGGCAGCGCCATCTCTTCGCATTATAGGTAAACCCACAATGTCAAATGAATACTTTTACAAGTATTAAACATTTGAAAGAAGAAATAGCAATTATAGTTATAATTTTTATTATTTTTAAAGCATGTAACTGCTTGATGTCTAAATCTAAAGAAAATATAACTAGAAAAAATTCCACGCGGACCAGGCAGCAGACGGGACTCGAACCCGCACCCTTCGCAATCCGGGCGAATGCACTGACCAATTATGCTACCGCGGCCCTCACGGACCGCGTCGAAATTCCT